GGGGCGGCTCTGGACATGGTCGAAGTAGCGGGTAATGGCGGGGTGGGAGTAGTACTGCACCGACTGCAGTTGTGACTAGAACCTGCTTGAGACGATATACACAGAAATATGAAAGTGTTACTCACCAGTGTTGGATGTAGTGCACCATAGAGAGCGACATCTGCCGCCGTGAAGTAGTTGCTCACGAGGTATGTACGGGGAACAAGTTTCGCTTCGAGATCCTGCGTGGCGTCAACTCTTGTCGTGCGCGCTGCATGGAATTGAAGTTGCGCACCTTCAAGCTCTCGGGCTTCACTACGTCCCTTTCGCGACGGAGATAATCCATTCCTCAACCTCCGCCCTGTCCTTCTCGGACTTGCCGAAGTCTTCGCTGCCGTCCTGGACGGCGGCGGTAACGAGATCTTTAAGAGGAGCAGGGAGGTTCGCGAGCGCAGCCTGCACGGACATGTTTCGGAGCAGCACACGAGCAGGGAGATGGGATCGATGGAGCGCGAGCTGCCGCACCACGCCCCGAGTCAAGGAGGTCATTTTCGGAGAACGCCTCAGCACGTGCACGCGTTCGCGCGACGTCTGTCGCGCCTGTGACTGCCTCCGTCACTGTGACCTGCGCGTGACACGCGAGCCACTGGGCCGAGCCGTGCCGTGGCCGCCAACGCAAACACCTCCGCCGACCTCGACCTCGCTCCCGCCTCCCGCCTCCCGCCTCCCGCCTCGACCTCTCCCCGGCTCGCGTCGCGCAGGCAGCCATGCTTTCCTCCAGGCAGGCAGGCACACGCCGCGTCCTCCGCGCCTTCTCCACCTCCGCGCCGACGCCGTTCAAGGCATACATCGGCTCCGCCCCCATCCAGTATCCGGACACGGTCACGCTCACCCCAACGGACACCGCGGTGTACGTCAAGGGCCCGCTGGGCGAGACATCGGTGCCGCGGATGCCGTTCGTCAGGCTCGAGGAGCAGACGCCGCGGACGCTGCTCGTCAGCGTCGAGGACGCGGGCATCCGCGAGCAGCGCAACATGTGGGGCACCACGCGCACGCTCATCGCGAACGCCGTCACGGGCATGACCGTCGGCTTCACTCTCCCCGTCTACCTCGTCGGTGTCGGCTACCGAACCGCGCTCGAGGTGGACCCCAAGGGCAAGCGCGAGGGGTGGAGCGGCCAGCGGTTCAACATGAAGCTCGGCTTCTCGCACACCGTCTACGTGCCCATCCCCGACTACATCAAAGCCGAGGTGCCCTCGCCAACAAAAATGGTGCTCTTCTGTTTGAGCAAGGAGAAGCTTGGGCAGTTTGCGGCGGACGTGCGGAAAATCCGACCACCAGAACCGTACAAGGGGAAGGTGCGTGGTTGTGTGCTGTCTCGACAAGCAAAGTAGCTGACACCAGTGGACAGGGAATTATTGTGGGCAATGAGATAATTCGGATGAAGCGGATGAAGAAGAAGTAGACGACGCGCCCCGCTGCTTTGACTATTATACGCACACTCGTAATGTCCATGCTGTTCTCGTGCTCTTTCCCTGAGCGAGCCTGCGCAGTCACACGGTCCTATGAACGACTTGCTTCTGGTTTGATCGCCCCACGCTAAACCCATGCCTCGAGGCACAAATGCCTATATGTGACTTCTCGTCTCTATCCAGGGCATGTTCTCGTCGAAAGCGTCCCTGCCCCGTCGGTTCCAATCATCGTTCCCGCACTGAAGTTTAATTCAAGGTGGAAGACCAGAAAGACCAGAATACACCTCTGTGCGACACCCTTCCCAGTCTTTACGCGATCTATACACTTCGGTTGCAAAGTTGGTACCGCTTCTCCCGCTCACGAGACGTTGCTGTCGGGTATAACAGACACCGCCGGGCAACACGGTCGACTTCCCTCCTATACATTCTCGCCTCCTCGTTGCCGGACCCCAAACATGTGGTGGCCGTCCGCCTCTGATACCCTATCTCCAGGCAGCACCCTTGGGGTACTGTTGCTCGCAACAATCATCGCCGCTCTGTAAGCTCTGGATCCTGAGAGTCCGGTAGCTCTGTTGACATCTCTCTCGCAGAATATACGGCGCCACTTTCCTTCAGACCATCCATTATTTCGACCGATACCACAATGACCCGCTAATCGTCAAGTTTCTTGTACGCCGGTGTTTTCTGCTTGTCTGCCTCACATTTGACGCAGTACCAACAGGTTATGACACTTTGGTTAGTTTGGGGACCGCCTATTAGCGACACTGCAGACAGACCGATTTCGATTGTCAGGCTCTTTGATACAGTTACCATGGTCCTAGAGGTACGGACGGTATATGTCTACACAGTGAACTTCGGCGGTACTCAGTTCGCTGATGTGCCCATCCCATGGTATGTGGGTAATGAAGCTCAGATGACTATCACGAGCTTACGCCCCATGTAGGAGTTTGCCCATGGAGCGTGCATTCTCTGTACGTCTACCCCATTCAACTTGGTTGTTGCATGCACTAGATATTCAACGACGAACAGTATGCGGTTGTATTTGCGGCACAAGTGTGCGAAACCCTTCTCTTCATTCCCTAGGTTCCGCGGCCGTTTTTTTATTCATCGTTCCACAGATTCTATGCTGTACGCATCCTTCAATGTGAGCAACTACGTCGTCGAGCCCAGATCCCTGCTCAGTGTGAATGATTGTAGTAGGACCTAAATTTTGGTTCCCTCCCGTAATGACGGCACGTATCGCCCTTTATCCCATTACATCATCTGAAAGGAACCGCGCGCCATAGGGGTTTCTTGCCATTAGCGCCATCGGTGAGTATACCCATTTCCCGGCACTCTGACAGCACTGCTAACGTCTATGCCCTGAAGGTCTTGGGCTCAGTAAGTGTCTCAAAAGGTTATCTGCACATTTGCTGCCTGGTTCTCACCGGGTAACAGCGTCAACTGTTGAAGAGTGAGTATGCTGCAATAGCAGCCGTCTGAGTTCTCACAACATGTCGCAGAGCCAAGCGCGGTCTCAATGCCCCCTCGCCCCCTTTATTTTTCTTCGTAAGTGATGTTTGCAGTTCGAGAGGCTTGCTGAGTTTGACTCATATTATAGGTTCTCTCCACGACGAGTGCCGCTTTGCAGATCACGGTCGATATCGTCATCGTGATGTCGCTCTATTGGCTTTGCCGCAATCGCGCTGGGAACATGAGGTGCGCCCATGAGCTACCGCAGCCTGTTGCTAACTACTCAGAACATTGATGGTCACAGCCCTCGCGAGCGCGTGAGACACGTTCTTCTTTGTGCAGTCAATCGAGGCATTTTCTCAACGTACGTCGATCCCAATATTTATTTATTCGGTTGCTGACAGTCGAGCACTAGGATACTGCAAGCCCTAACCACTATAGCCGTAAGGGGCTACTGTCATGCAGGTGTCTCTCTTTTCACCTGGATTGTCTGCAGTATTTCGCCCTACGTCCGAAGTTGGTGTGGATCGCCTTCCACCTGGCGTCAAGCAAAAGTGCGTACAATGAACTCTCACTAAGTACGGACTGTTCATCCTATGCTTAGTACACGCCTTGTCGGTCACGTCCACGCAAGTGGCCGACTTGAATTCTCGTGCGTTTTGTCAGCTGAAGCAATGACGTGCAGATTGAACACCCGGTCATCCGTGGATGGCTTCGGCCACGATGTGGAAATTGTGGACGCCCGGGTGCGGTACAGGCTGGAGCACGAACTTGCTAGGGTGAGGTTGCATGTCCACATAAACGGCATGCTGACATTTCGTACCTAGGTTCGCTCGCATATGGACAGCGAGTTTACGTCCCGCACGGAGTCACCCCCAGTCATTCCCGTGTGTCAGCCTCCTGGCCGCGTGTCGATCGCTTTTAGCTGACCGGTCTGGATAATAGAGCACGGTCGTGTATGATGCGAGCAGCGAGCAGCGGTCGTGGTTCTCCCATAGTGACAAGTCGGATGAGGGGTTCTCACACATGGGTCCGACCTGAAATCGCTCTTTCGGCAGGTGCGTCAAGCTAGTGCCGGATTCTTGGAGGCTTTGGCTAACTGCCGTGAGCCAGGTCGTACACAACATACGTTTGTTCCACATCCCACTTCGTACATGGACAGCACTTGTGTGTATGCGTGAAGAGTACTCACACAAATTCAGTTTATCAGCCTCGCTAATTGCATGTTTTGAGATGCGCTCTGGTGTTATGGACACTTGGAACCTCTGTCCCCGATCGGGTCCCGGCAGAGAATTTGTTGAGATGTAATCGGGAGCTCCACGTGGGAGATCGGGTAAATAAGCGTTGAGTTCCAAAACTGGTGGCAATGACCGACCAGCGCGATTCCGCCTCACCAATTGCTACGGCGGATGCAACACGCAAGCACTGGCTCCACGGCACCGGCGAAAGGAGCGATCGCACAGAGAGCGGGCCCGAGCCTGGCACCACAAGTACTGTCTACATGGTCACCGGCGGTACCACAAACATTCTCTATGGAGAGCGGCGCGGTCGTTCAACGTTCATGTCCTATCGCGCTCGAAGGCCCGTCCGGGACCATCGCAGATCCGCACGGAATGGGCGTCCATAAGCCCGATTATTCATTCCGGGAGCGTCCGGCCCCGCCGGTTGCCTTTGATAACAATTCGGCTTCGCGAGGGGCTGATTGCTCCGTTTGACCGGAGCTCCGCCGGTCAAACGCGTAGTTGTGTCGGCACGAAAACAAGAGCGCGGCTTCGGAGGACAAAAGCATGACGGTCCTCGGTGGTCGCGAAGGAAGGCCAGAGGATACGATACGCCGAGGGCTTGCGTCGTCGCTCTGGCGGCACGCCACCAGTGGAGCGCCGGGCGGGGACTAGTTGCTACTTGCTGTTGGTCAGCGCGTTGGGGAATCATCGGGCTGATGTAGCGCGCTACGGTCTACCTGCTAGTACTGGGCAGGCCAGGTGCCTCACCCACAGCCCTGCCGCGCCTATAACCCATCGACCTCGTCGCTTTTCTCCCTTGACTCCCAACCGCACACAGCGCGCCCGTCCCTTCCCCCGCTCGACTCCCGGCACTCACCACCATTTGCCATGCCCGCCCCCAAGGGCAAAGAAGCCGTCCTGCAAGAGTTCCGCGACGAGCTCGTTCAGCAAGGTTTGCTCCATGACGGAGACACCATCGGGACCGACGACGAGACCCTGCTGTAAGTCGCTCCTCACCTCGGGCGTGCGCAGCCGCTTATTTTTGCTCGTCCTTGACACAGCCGCTTCCTCCGCGCGCGTAACTACCAACTCAAGCAGGCCCTCCTGATGTGGAAGAACTGCCGGCACTGGCGGAGCACTGTCGAGGACGTGGGCATTGACGAGCTCTATCGAGAGATCGATCCATTTGACGTGCGTTTCAACCAAGCTGTATGCGTGCTTGTTGCCGATCATGGCGTGTGCCACAGTACCCCGAGCGCGACCATGTGTTCGACTGCTGGCCTCTGTACTTCCACAAAGTGCGTGCCATCTATTCCTGGCTTGTTCGTAAGACTGTGTGCTGACGATGCGGGGCGCATATACAGACAGATAAGGTTTGTCGCCCGTTCTCTTGTCCCGCGGCCGCCTGTTCCGGGCTGTACAGCCTCCGCTCGCTTGTTTTTGCCCCCGCTCGCGTATCTGGAGATCGAAGGGAGCTCATTCTACGGGAACTTCACAGGATGGCCATCCACTCAACTTCCACACTTTGGTGGCATCGACCTGAACAAGCTGCAGAAGAAGATGACCCTGGAGCGCTTCTGGAAGACTTTCGTGGTCAACTGCGAGTTGTTGCCGCGTGAGATCCTGCCTGCAGCGTCCGAAGCGGCAAACAAGCGTGTTCTTGGGACGTTCGTGATTGTGGATCTGTCTGGTTTCGGGTGAGTCCAACTCTATTGTGGTGGTTGTTGCTTTTCTCACTGCGAACACAGCATCTCCCAATTCTGGCAAATGAAAGACTACGCGCGGAGCTCCTTCCAGGTGTCGCAAGACTACTTCCCAGAAACGTCAGTGTTGTCATCTTCCAGGGGGCATGTGAGCTCACCTCATCGATGCCCTCTACAGCGTCGCTCGCCTCGCCATCGTCAACGCTCCGCGCGGCTTCGCTGCCATCTGGAACGTCATGAAGCCGTGGATAGCCAAGGAGACCGCTGCGAAAGTCGCCATCATGGGCTCCGACTACAAGAGCAAACTCCTCGAATTGGTCGACGACGACGCGCTCCCCGCCCGCCTCGGCGGCAAGTGCACATGCGAAGGCCTCGGCGGCTGCATGAAGAGCAGCGCGGGCCCGTGGTTGCGCGAGCGCGCTGCGAGGCGACAGGCGTGGCTCGCGGGCGAGCGCGATACTCTGGCGCTTTTGCCTGGGGAGCTCACGGGTCCGGTTCAAGTCAAGCGTGCTGTGCCCCCTCCCGCAGTCACGCCGTCGATGTCTGCCGACACGGACGCGTCGTGCCGGCGGCAACCCACTCGGGCAACTCATCGGATTCGTCGTCTATCCACTCATCGCTTGGAACGCCGCCAAGCGAGCCTATGCACGAGCAGACACACGCAAAGGGCGAGCTTGACGTCGCCGTCGAAGAAGTGCGATCCTCGAATGCCATAGCCGTTGCTTCATAACTGTGTAGCGCTAAGTTATGTTTTAGTGTATTATGTTATAATATAGCGCTGTGTATTTTATTTTCGCCTGGCTCAATGTTTCGTTGGCATACGCTACGAGGCTCGCAGGAACTGCAAGATTGACGAACTTAAGCAACTTGTGTCGACTCCGAGCCCACGCGGCCCGATGTGCTCGAAAGCGTGGGAACGTACGTAGTCACACCCAGCTGGGACTGGCGCCTAACGGCGTGCTGCTCGACATGGAGGCCTTACTCTTCAACGTGCGCTGCCCCCTCTCGCTCGCTCCCCGCACCCCGTGCTCAACCTCTTTTCTATGCGCAGGTTTCGGGCGGTTTTCTGGAGGGCATTGTCCGGGGCTACAAGGCTGGCCTCCTCACCCAGAACCAGTACAACAACTTGACCCAATGCGAGACCATTGAGGGTGCGTTCCGCCCTTGCCGTATGGTGTTGCCTTCGAGGCTCAAAGTCGACATTTGCACCCGCCTCGCCATTCTTTGAAACGTACAGACTTCCGTACACAGCTATCTGCAACGGACTATGGCGGCTTCCTCGCTAACGAGCCGCTCCCCATCTCCACTTCTACCATCTCGGACAAGGCGACACAACTGCTTGTGGATCAGTTCAACTACCTTCGGAGCAACGCAGTCGCTCCTCTGAGCAAGTTCTTGGAGTACATGACGTGAGTTCACCTCCGGTCTGGCTAGGTACAGTTGCTGAAGCGCATACAGTTACGCATACATGATTGACAATGTCATCCTCATCATCACGGGCACCCTGCACGGCCGCAATACCAACGAGCTTTTGCAACGGTGCCACCCGCTCGGTGTCTTCGACACAATGCCTGCCCTTTGTGTCGCAACGAACGTGGAGGAGCTGTACCACACTGTGCTGGTGGAGACCCCGCTAGGTATGTTCCTCGCCTCCTCTCCCGCGCCCACACACCTACCCCCACTGCTGCTTCCCAGCGACATACTTCCGCGACTCCGTATCCGCGGCGGACCTCGACGACCTGAACATCGAGATCATCCGCAACACCCTCTACAAAGCATACCTCGAAGACTTTGACGACTTCTGCCAGACGATCGGCGGCCCGACCGCGGAGGCCATGCACCAGATCCTCGCCTTCGAGGCCGACCGGCGCGCGATCAACATCACCATCAACTCGTTCGGCACGCAGCTCACCAAGGAGCAGCGCGCCCGCCTTTTCCCCACCATCGGCGGCTCTTCCCCGAGGGCAACAACGCGCTCGCCCGCGCGGACGACATCGAGCAGGTCCGGCAGGCGTGCGAGGCCGTGTCCGAGTACCGCGCCTTCTTCGAGTCGTCCGGGTCCGGGTCCGGGGGCGCGCGCGGGGCCGCGAACGGCGGCGGGGAGAGCAGCGCGAACCTGCTCGGCGACCTCGAGGACCTCGGCGGCGCGGCGGACCTCGAGGACCGGTTCTTCGTGCACGAAGTGCACCTGAACAAGCTCGCGTTCCTGCAGCAGTTCCAGCACTCGGTCTTCTACGCGTACATCAAGCTCAAGGAGCAGGAGATCCGGAGCATCACCTGGATCGCGGAGTGCATCGCGCAGAACGCGCGGGACAGGATACACGACTTCATCCCCACCTTCTGAGCGGTGCCCGGTCCGCATGTTATCGCTCGGGGCTCGGGGCTCGGAAGCTTGGCGGCCCAGTCGGAAGCTAGGAGTCCGTCTCGCGGCGTGAGCGAAGGTGGTTAGCATACGCAGGCTGTGGACGGACTGGCTCAATCATATACCTCTTTTTGTATTTGTTTGTCTCGCTGCCTCTGCCCCCGCTGGGACCTGTCTATGTGCAGCTTCACACGAACCAAAGAGCGTCAGTTTGAAGTACTCCGCGGGCTGTTCTCGCAGCGACGCTGGACGGGCAACCATCTATCCGGTGCTCCGCCTCTACGTCTGTTTCGCTGTCGGATACTGTCACTCGGCGAGCGTCATAGCAGCGGTGATACCGAACTGGACGGGAGAGGAAACGTCGAGGCCGAAGGCGGGTGCCCATGCCGCGGAACGTCCGCTACCACCGCCCGCGCGGACCGCCACGCGTGGGCGTGAGGCCGCCACCACCCGGCAATAGTCCGCCTGTTTCTTACCGGCATATACAGGGCTGACTCTCCCGGCCACCATGGCGGCCCCCCGCCTCTTGTTCCTCTCCTTGCCGTTGCCCTCGTCGCCACCGCCTCTCCTCCACTTCCTCAGGATCGGCTCCTCGCTACACTGAACCCACAATGACAGTAACGGCGCAGAACACGTCCGTGAAGACGACCAAGGTCGCGATCCCGCACCCTCAGGACGAGCGCTGCACGATCGTGGGCACGCTCGAGCAGGTCGAGCCCGAGCGGCCTACGCAGGGGCGGAACATCGCTTTGGTACGTCTGCACGCGCTGGGGACGTACGTACTGGCCAGATGTTGAACACGTCCTCGTCTCCGCGGCTGCAGATCCTGCACGGCGCGATGGGGTAGGCACCTCCCTCCCAGACCGAAGATCCGCGCTCGCTGCTCACCACATCCCCGCGCCCGCGCGTGCAGGCACAAAGACTACCTCTTCCAGAAGAAGCTCGCCCTCCGCCTCCCGTACGACTCCTTCCGCTTCGACTTCCGGTGAGCCCCACTTCCACCCCTACGTCTCTCCCTCCGGGCACCCACGCCCACACCCCCGCGCAGCGGAAACCACGAGACGCCGGGCGAGTGGCGGTTCGGCCACTTCGAGGATGACCTGGCGGACCTCGACGCCATCGTCGCCTACCTCGCGCGTGAATATGGGTACGTCGTCGACATGCTCGTCGGCCACTCGCGCGGGAGCGTCGTCGCGATGCTCTGGCTGTGCCGGCACCGCGACGGCCCGCTCACGCGCGCCGTGCGCCGCTTCGTGAACGTCTCGGGGCGGTACCGGATGGAGGTGCGTCGCGCGCCCGTCGCCCATGCAGCGAGTGCTGACCGGTGCTGCGCGCGCGCAGAAAGCGTATGGTGAGCGAGCGAGCTTCCGTGTGCGGCTGCGCGCGTGGCGTTGACGGACATGACAGACGAGATCGAAGAGCGGAAGGAGGAGTTCGAGAAGCTCGGGTACATAGAGCGCAGGGCCATGGTCGCGCGCAAACCGTTCGTTGCCAGGCGAGTCTTGTCCATGTCGTGCTCCCATGACGCGAGCTGACGGTGACGCTTCCTCAGAATATACCAGACAGACTTTGACAAGTTCGCAGCGATCGATACCTCCGTGGTGTGGACGCAATTTCCCCCTCACATCGACGTTCTGTCGTTGCACGGGCTCAAGGACGCGGTCGTGCCTTCGTACGACGCATTCATCTATTCACGTGCGTACGGAGCTCGCGTGCCCGGTACGCATCTTCTCCGTTATGTAGAGGACGCGGACCATAATTTCACTGGGGTATGGCCTCTTCATATTTTCCGACCATCTCCTGAACTGGTTGTCAGATGCCCGAAGAAGTCATCGAAACGGTGTTAGAGTGGATGGAGCTTCAGGAACAAGACAGGTTGTACTCTGGAGTATGGAACACAGGTGTGAAGGGCAAGCTCTAAGCTCTGGACTACAGAATTTGCATAGAGGATGTGATACCGACCGAAGGTCCACTCTTAATGATCTACAGCACCAATGTAACAACATCATGATAAGTCGTATACATTTGTGCTATCCCGACTTTCCTGTCATTATTTCTATACGGTGTTGGTACGTACGAAACATCCGGGTATTGCGGTATCGATGTCGACAGCCTTGTGTCATCCTTCGCTAGGTGGGGTTCCCCCAGTCACCTCATACACCAACGCTTTCGCCCTCTTCCGCTCCTCCTTCGCCGCCTTTGCCGCCTTCCAGTCGTACTCCAATTTCCCCGCGGTCGCGAGTTCCTCCTTGACCTGCACCACCAACGCACGCACCTCCTCGTCCTCCATCTCCACCAGTGCGCGCTGCCACGCCTGCGCCCCCGCCTCCCCGACGTCCGCCGTCTCCGCGTGCGCGCCCAGCCGCTCCTTGACCTCCTCGATCACGAACCGGACCGGCATGCCCCCCACGCCCGTCCACGCCTGCACGTTCGTCCCGTTCAGCACCGCCTTCGCCCGCCGCTGCGCCGCGGCCGCGCGGAGCAGCGCGTCGTGCTCCGCCGCGCGCCCGAAGAACTCGAGCGCCGCGCGCAGCTTCCGCGGCGCGTCCGCGCGGTCGCACGACGCCAGCACGGCCGCGGCCCCGTCCGACGGGTCGGGCGCGGGGAGCTCGTGCGTGCGGAGGTAGGCGAGGAAGCGGGCGCGCATCGGGCGCGCGGCGAGCCCGTCCTTCTTCGCCGGCGCGGCGTAGGCGGGGGAGCGGTAGCGCGCGGCGAGGACGTGCGTCGCGGGCGAGGTCGCGACCCAGGCGAAGAGCTCGGCTTCGGTCGGGAAGCCGGCGAGCCAGCGGGCGTGGGAGAGGCGGAAGAAGGCGAGGACGGCGGGCATGGAGGACGTGAGCCAGAAGGTTTGTGGGGGGAGCGAGGCGACAGGCTCGGCGAGCTAGAGAACGGAGAGGGTGTTAGACAGACGGAGCGGAGGGGCGGGAATGAGGTGTGCAGATACCTTTAGACCGAAGGTGTTGAAGCTCGTCCCCACGGTCTGCGCCAGGAGCCCGAGGATGAAGTTCAGGTCACCGTAGGAGTGGTTGAAGACGGTGCGTTCCCACTGGGCGTGGTTCTCGCAGACGTTCACATCCACCTGGAAGACCTGCTCTCCTGCGCCTTCGTCCGACGCCGGGCCGTCGGTGAGCAGTTCCGGGGCGGCGTCTGGTGGTAGAACGTGCTTGAATGCGCTGAATGGCAGGGCGAAATTGCTCGTCCGGTTCCCCTCCAGCGGGATGCTGCAGCGCGCACGCAGCGCAGTCTTGAGCTCCTCGTGCTGCAGCCCTTCGCGGGGTTGGGTAACGACGAAGTCGAGGTCGCCGTGGTGGGCTTTCTCTGGGGCTTCAGCTGGGACCGCGGCGTGCTCGTAGAACTGTTGGACAATCGGTAGGAGATGTGCCTTGAGTGCGTCATACACTGCTGGAGCCATCCTCGGGAAGGACGCGGACGGGAGCAACTGCTTGAAAGCGTTTCCTCCCATGCTTGGACGTAGGAGGTGATGTTGTTTGGCAGGAGGCAGGTGGGGGTATGAGAAGAAAAGCAGCAAGGCGAGAGTCCATGTTATTATACCTGCGCCTCTATTCCAGCTGAGCTGCGGTGACTCGGCTTAAACGGGAGTCAAAGAGCCCAGACGATCGATGCACACGGCGGTGTCTGACAACCAGCTACCGTAGCTGTGGCGGTGCGCTCTACCAGCCGGCACGTGATCGAAGCTGCCAGCCCTAACCCTGTGACCAAAGCATCTCCCCCCGCTGCCACTCGGCTTACAACGTCTCTCCAAGTCTCTCCACCAAAACAGCACGCAATCATGTCCAAGTTCGCACCCCACCGGAAGTCAGGTAATGCCCTCGTGCGACGGCCACGACCGTGTGCCAAAAGTGTCTCGGGACAGGTGAGCACCATGTTGACTGTTGAACATCCTCTTACTCATAATGAGATGCTGATTCTGCGCCCCTCATAGGGCACTTCATCTACGAGTGCAAGGGGACGCGTCCTTACCTCTCGCGACCCTCGCGCACGCAGCAACTGGAGAACCCGAAGGTGCTGGCAAAGCTGAAGGCAGAGGGCAAGCCGTCGGTTGAGGTCCCAGAGGAGTTCAAGACCAAGTGCGTGTCCACCATCCCGCTCACCTCGCACGCATCTTAGGTACTCACGCGCTGCCCCCCGCCGTGTAGGAGTGGCACCGCGAACCGCATTCTCGAAGCCAAGGAGAAGGAGCGCGCAAAGGCGCAAGACAAGGGGGAGGGGTCGAGCAAGCGGAAACGGTACGTTCGTTCTGCGCAGTGCAGCTCATCAGGTGTCTCATTCGATTTTATCAGTTCGGGTTCTGCTTCGGACTCGGACTCGTCCAGCGACTCGGCTCGGACTCGGATTCAAGCGGCTCCTCCAGCTCGTCTGGCTCCGACTCAGACTCAGACGCTCTCGATCGCGGCGGAGCGACAGCAGAAGCCCGGCTCGCAAACGTCGCAACCGCAGTGAAAGTCGGAGCAGGAGCAGGAGTCCCCGGGGCCGGCGATGAAGCTTGGAGGACGTTGTTCTTCATCGGTCTTCCATGCATGTGAGCCGCCATCTGGTGGGGTATGTATAATATAGACATTGTTCCAGGCAGGTTCCATCAATGACGGCGGGAGCATCGACGATATGTAAGTACGATGCACGACGGGGACCTTACGGGCAGCTCCCGGCCTCTGTCGCTCGCGAGTTCATGATGAGTGCCACGATAAGCCTGGGGTCGGAATGAGCGCATGCAGTGCGGAGAGGAGGGGAGACGTACCCATACAGACCCAGTACCTCGCCGAAAATGAGAATGAGAACCATTGTGACGAAGACACGCGACTCGAACACATATGCTCGTACGCACTGGGTCGCCTCTGAGCATGTTGGAGTTACGCATGAGGGATCGAGGCACTCACCGAGTCGCCGACGAAACCAATGGCGTAGCCGGCGCAAGACCGGTGAACCCGCACGCCAGACCGGCACCCAGATGGATGAAGCCAGCGTAAAGGAGTAATCACCAGGCTTGACTGTTGGAACGACGACGGGTCAGCCCGGAAGTGGCACAGACAACAGAAGGGACTCACGACCACCGGCAATGAGCACGGACACTACCAGGCCATACACGCGATGATACCGGACATGACCACCGGGATGAGAGACTGTCCGCCGAACACACGTTAAGTCCAGTCCGGCATGTCCGTCGCGCGGAGACTAGGGAAACACGCACCTTCATGATGAGCTCCGGCTTGAATGCCCCCAGACCCGCGATGCCAATGCCAGACTTGGCCGTGCCAAACGCAGCACCCACAGCTGTCAACCCGTCCATGAGCTTCATCCATTCCTTCACGCCGAACGCGGAACCCACTGCTGAAGATCATCTAAGTTCGGGAAAGCGGGAGGTGGTCAGAGCGGAGGTGGAACCGGAGGCAAGGTGAACATACCGCAGAAGCGACGCCTGCGAAGCCAAAGAAGGGAGCGTACGGAGGACAGACAGACATGTTGGCGGAGAAAGCAGGGAGGAAAGCAAAAGGAAGAGCCTGGTGGACACCGTTCAGACGGTGCAGTACGTCGACGGCGGTACGGCACCGACGAGGTCGCTACCCCTAGGGTTCCCGAAAGGGTAACGGCATGGCGGCAATATATCGCTTGCCGCCCGTGCTCTACAAGCACTCGCACCCGCTTTCAAGACATAACGAACATGTAATTATATGATACAGAGGAATGCGACCGCTTGGACATTCGCCCTGGTATTACGCTCCGTTCTTCCAAGCATCATCCCATCCCAGCGCACTCCTATCCCAAGACCCAGTCTTCTGCCCGTGTGTCACCCAACCGAGCGTGTCCATAACCACGCCCGCGGCGCGAACGAACAGAGAGCCATCCAGCTTCGCCATCCCTGGGTGCGTCTCCCTGCCGTTCGTATCGAACGCGCCAATCACGCCGCCCGGGGGTGTTCGTCCGTACCGCTGCGCCCCATAGTAGAGCACGCGGACCGCCTTGAGCGTGTGCGCATCGGGCGCGTGCACGACCGCCGCGACGATCCCCGGCCACGGGTTGAAGTCCGCGTCGTCTTCGGGGGTCCAATTGCACCGGCTTCGGCGGGTTGACGCCGTTGGCCGCGACGGGAGGCGGGCGCGGCACCGCGTGGTAGGACATCGCGAGCGTGGCGTCGATGCGCGGGCGCCCGCGGATGAGCAGCGTCACGAGGAGGGCGGGGACGAGCGCGCGGAGGAGGGCGGCCTTGCTTTGCGTGGACGGGATCGCGGCGAGGAGCGAGGGCACGAATAGGGAGGCGTTGAGGAAGTGCATGAGGAAGAAGTCGAGGCGCGGCTTGCGCCCTGCACGCCCGGAGCCGACGAGGAGCAGCGTCGTCGTCCAGATGAGTTCCTCGACCTTTTCGTCAATAGCGATGAGGGAGGAGGCGTCGACTTGCCAGAGCGCACTGAGCCGGCGGATCTCGGCGACGCGCTCGGGGGTGCACGCCGCGGCATATCGTGCTGTGATGAAGGCGTTGGGATCGTAGGGCATGACGGGGTGCATGATGTCGGAGTCGTATGCTTGGCGTAGAATAGATAGAAGAGAGTGCCATGGACGGGTTGTCGATGTTCGGGATCGACAGCCGTGATAGTTTGTAGTGGCGGATGGACAACATTCAGATCGTATAGCTGAGGTCGGTTACCTCGATGCAAGGCCGTTTGAGCGAGCGCTGGAGATATGCGTTAGCTGTAGGGTGTGTCTATGGAGAAGATCGTTTACCTTGAGCAACCATAACATCACTTCCGAACTCCACACCATACTAAGGGGCTAAGATCAGTCAATCCTCCATATTTCAAGGTGTCGTGTACGCTTACACCTGTCTGGATCAAAGGATGCAACCTGGCACCGTGCGCGTAAATATATACGCTTCCCATGGGAAAGGACTTCACTCACACGCCGTCGACAAACCTCACCAGCATTTTTGCGCCGTTGTCGTTCGCAGCAGGTGAGAACACGAATTGTTCGAGGGCCTGCCCACTCCAATTGCTCCGACCTGGCTCTCGAAGAAGGTAAGAAGCGCAGCATATGCTCTAGAAAATCGCTTTAGTATCGGGTAATGTGGCCGAGTGAGCAGGATCAACTCACTTGTCATTTCCGAGGTAGTCAGTCCAGGTCTTCGTCGTGATTTCCTCAGGCGTGACCAAGACCTCGCCGTCCTGTCTTCCGAATGAAAGGATGTCGGCGGTCTCGTCTTTGGCCTCGGCCTCGTATACCTTTTCCAAAAGTGCGCTGGATGCACCGAGGTCATATGCCACGAGGATGCTGAAAAGGCGTGAGCGGTTTCCGTGTCGCAGAACGTAAGACTTCGAATCGTGTCGAATGTACTCACTGGTGACTAAGATGGTTGTGAAAGCAACCCTTCCCCAAAGCAGTGGTGCGTCCTTCTGTCTTGTTCGAGGAGCCTTTCGGCGACCTGCTTGTGTTGAGGGTCGGACCAGGAAGGTTGAGGATGCCTGATGAATCGTGGGTGGGAGCCGAATGCCGTTCGACGTCATGGTGGTGGGAGGCAAGATGTACGTGGACCATGTGGGAGACGTCACAGAAGTGCCAACTCTATCATTCTGCTTCTCGACCTCTCACTGGAATGGTCAGCTGTCCGACCAGCGCCAACCGGCCGTCCACACTCTGTGAGGGCGCTGACGGCTCTGATTACCAATGAGGGGCTGAATGGCGCAAGTGGTGCAAACCAACGCAGGAGTCACTGCTTTACAAGCAAACTTGTGTCCACTCAGCCCGACAGCTGATCATACAAATTCTTGGAAACGTCCGACAGAAATAACACTTGAGCAAGGAAATAGCAGCACATAGACAGAGCACGGATTAGAACGCAGCGGAACAATCATGCGCGGCCTCTCCTTGCTTCCAATCGCCTTCGGCATCTTCCTGTCGCCACTCGCCAGCTGTTCCAGATCGGCGGGTTTGAAGTAATGAGGAGCAACTGCAGAGCGGGAGAGACCATGAGTTCCGAGCAACAATCTCTACCATTTGACACGAGCGCACCTTCCATGAGCCATGCAGGCTTGATCTCCATGACCTGCCGCATGTACGACTTCGACGTCATGACGAGCTCGTAGTACAGCATGGCCTTGATTGGGGGCGTGTGGTTGAACATGCTCGACGACGGGTGGACATAAACCGTCTGGTTCGTCTTGAGCGTCCGATACGAGTCACCGCTCTTCTGGAGTTGCGCCTGAGATCGACAATCTGTCAGCCGCCCCGGTTTGGCACAAAGTATTAGCGACATACCGTGTTGTAGAAGTAGCCTGCTGTCAAGGCCTTCTGCACTGGGGTGATATCGTTTGTGTTCGGGTTGGTTTCGACAACGATCTCCACGCGCTCGCAGAGGCCCGCAAGTTGGTCGCGGATGTCGCGGGCGCGACTCAGCTCTTGAACTGCAGGAACTGTTCGTAACAGAACTGCTGCGAGTAGTTCGTCTCCGCCCACTGCTCCCAGACATTGAGGAGGGTGAAGTGGTCGCCACCTGCGCGAACGAAGTTCTGTCGTGCTTGATCGGCGTGGAGCTTCTTGTCCTTGGGCCGGTAGAAGAGCGAGGAAGACTCTTGTAGCATGGAAATGATCGTCAAGACCTAAGAGGGAGCGGTGAGTACGGTATAGAAAGCTTTGCTAAGCAGCATGCACACCTCGTCCGTGCACTGGTAGCTCTCGCTCGCGATGATCGCCTTCGAGAGCATAGGGTCCACAGGGAATTCTGCCATTCGTCGTCCAAGCTTCGTCAACTCGCCGCGATCGTTGAGCGCACCCAGCGCATACAGCAACTCCAGCGCACGCATAAGCGTCTCGCCTGGCGGTGGGTCCATAAACTCGAAGCCGATGAGATCGTTGATACCAAGCGACTTAAGCAGCAAGACCACAGTGCCGAGGTTGGTACGCTGGATCTCCGGAACGGTGTTCTCTTCGAGCTCATTGGAGAAGGCCCATTTCGTGTAGAGACGGAATGCCTTGCCGGGACCTACACGACCCGCACGACCCGCCCTCTGGTTGGCGGATGCACGTGAGCACTGAAAAGAATGCAACCGAAGCGGATCAACAACGTTACTTGGATAGCAGATGTTGAACAAGACCTACCGGAACAACAACAAGGGACGACATGCCTGTTCGCGGGTTGTAAGAGTTTTGCTTGACGAAGCCGGGGTCAATGACGAACACAACGCCATCGATGGTGATAGACGTCTCCGCGATGTTGGTAGCGAGGACGACTTTACGAGCACCTTCCGGAGTGGGCTCGAAGATCTTGGCCTGCATCTCGCTCGGAAGGTTGGCGTAGATGGGACAGATAATAAGCTCTTTGATCTTGTTGCCCAGTGCTCGTGCGGTTTCCTGCAAGTTCTCTTGCGCGGCTTCGATCTCATCTTGACCCGTGAAAAATACAAGGATATCACCCTTCGGTTGAGTGGTATGGATCTGGAACACTGTGGTGATGGCTGCGTGAAGATAGTTGGCCTCCGGTTGTGGCGTGTAATGGATGTCAACAGGATAACGACGGCCAGGGACTGATACACGCAGTCAGTAATAGATCGCGGCGAGATGACTTGGCTGTTTACCGTAAAAAACAGGGGCGTCATCGAAGTATTCGCTGAACTTCTCGGCGTCCATCGTCGCACTTGAGATGAGCAACCTGAGCTCAGGCCTGAACCTAGCGATGTCCTACGCTCGGGTGTCAACGCCTGTAATGCAGGGGCGTGTGAGGAGACTACGCACCTTGACAAGAGCGAACAGGATATCTGTACTCAGTGTCCGCTCATGTGCCTCGTCGATGATAAGAGCAGCGTATCCCGCAAGATCCGGTTCAGTAAGAAACTCGCGGAGAAGCATGCCGTCGGTCATGTACTTCAGCACCGTCTTATCGCTCGTGCAGTCTTCGAAACGAATGGAGTATCCGACCTCGTAGCCGACCTTCGTACCCATCTCGTCGGCCACACGAGCCGCCACAGACATCGCTGCGACTCGACGAGGTTGAGTGCAGCCAACTTTGAGACCGCCAGCAGTATATCCGGCTTCGTGTAGGTATTGAGGAAGCTGGGTGGTCTTGCCTGAACCTGTCTCGGCGACAACGATGAGCACTTGATGCTCTTTGATGGCTTCCAGTAACTGCTCGCGATAGTGATAGATAGGCAATGACTTTCGGGTCTCGTCCATGCTTTTGGCTATAACACCAAATGAGTACGTGGGTGCAATCAAGGCCATCCATTGCTCACCTCGCTGCTCTGCTTCGTCGATCTGCTGCTGCAGAAGCTTGTCCGCGGCGCTCATGGTGTTCTCTCCACCGAGAGTAGATTCCATGACGAACTTGATAGTCTGACTCTCGTCGAAGACGTACTCATAATCTTCGACGACTTCAACCTTGTCCATCGCTCCAGTCTTGAACGTGCTGTGTTTTGTCTGGGCAGCTTCCCACTGGTCGACGTCAGTGGTGAACTGGTCGTCCTTCGGTTTCGCCTCATCGTACCGCTTGTACAAAACGTTCTCCTTCTTCTTCTTGTCGATTTTGCCCTGCTCCGTGAAGTAGTCTTCAGGAAGCTGGTATCCTTCCCATTTGTCGTCGATCTTGAGGCGCTCTTCGACAAGTCTGAGCAGTTCCTTCTTGCGCTCGAGGTCCTGCTTCTCGCGTTTCGTCATCTTCATACCGTGGAAGAGAGCCTCGTCGTCTTGGATTTCGCGTTTGAGCAACTCCAGCTGTTGCAGCTCGCGCTTCGAGAGATACGCTTGCCGTGAGTGCTCGCGAAGATCAGGCATCGCTTCTCGCCGGGCATTCGAGTCGTCCGCGAGTCGTCGTCGCTCCGCCGCCTCCGCCGCCGCCCCGCTGTTCTTCGACGACCTGTCCTCGACGACCTTCTTCGTCTTCTCCTTGTCCCTCTCCTTCACCCGCTCCGCGAAGGCATCGCGCTCCTTGAGGTCCTCCAGCCGCTCTTGCTCCCGTCGCGCGTCCTCGTCCTCCATCTCCCCGTCATCCACCTCTCGCCCCTCATCCTTGTCCCCATACCGCGACCCCCCTTCCCGCCGATCGTAGTCCTCTTGTCGCGGCCGCTTCCGCGCCTTCTCCTCATCGTCGCTCTCCCACTCGCGCGTGTCGCCTTCGCGCTTGCGGAGGTGGCGCTCCTTCTTCTCCTTCTTGCGTTTCGACCCGCTTGCCTCCACTACGCCGGGGTCGTCGTTATCGAGCAAGAAGTCAAATTTGCGGGCAGCGAGGGCCTTTGAATCTTGCTCTGCTTGTCTGCGGGACGCGTCCGTGGCCTTCTTGTGTTTGTGCTTGCGCGGTGCACGAGCGAAGACCTCTTGTGCGAAGCGCTGAGCGTCCGCAGAGTTGGGGAGACCAGAAGCGTTGAGGGCGGAGAAGAGAGCCTCGGGAGTTTTTGAGGATGACGCTACATCATCATCAGCACGAGATGTATTGTGAAAATGAGAAGTATACGCACCTGAAGCCACTACATAGTCGACTATGCTCCTGTCGGAGAGCCCGAAGAACTGTAGGATTCGACTGAGTACAGTGGACAGACATAGGTGTTGCAGCTTACCCTTAGCGCATTGTCGGATATGTATCGTTCCAAATCCGACATAAGGACGGAGGTGTGAGAAGGAGTGGTCAAGAAAACGCTCTGAGACCGCCGCCGCCCAGTCGACCGCGGAGGTGCCGGCGTCAATTCAGTCATGTGCTGTCATGGCATAAGCGACCCTTCGAAGGCGACGCCATATGCATGGTGCCTCCTACCACCATCCACTACTGCTCCTTGCGCTCCTCCTTCATGCACTCGTCATTTCACCTCTGTTATTTCATGCCACCATTGCCGCGGACTGGAAAGGCTTGTGACTTGGATAAGAAACCAATGCGACCAAGAAGATGATCTTTTGCTACATTCAAAAGACGGAGACGTCACGCAGGTCCTCCCGTTCACACAGCTCGATGGTGCAAGCTAGCGCAGCCCATGCTTTGGAGGGTGCCTGGAGCTGGGCTGAGACCATGCCGCGTGGGTCCCAATGATCTTGTCTATGCGCTACCGAGATATCAGGTTAACTGCATTGACGATCCCAAACAGGTATTCACCATCCGCGGCCCTACCCGCGCGCTGGTGTTCCGACGATGCGCGGAAGCATTCACGAAAACCCGCGTGCTTGGCGCTCGCAGGGACGAACGCGGATGTTCGCGCACGAGCTCAGGAGAGGCTACCAGACAGGTCGTTGCGTTCCTCCCATCACGACCGCTGTCACTTGTTATCGATTCATCCCCGGGGACTTATTCTTAGCATGCACTCTCTATTCATTCCGTCTGTACGATTCTGGCCTCCTCCGTAGCTGCGTGGCGCCTGGGCCTATTTCGTTGTCTATATAGCCTCGCAGTCGTGCACGGCTCTCTTGAGAACGCTCTCGAGTTAAAGCGGTCTTGCAACCTGCCTTTCCTCTGCGTGCATCGCTCTACCTCGACCCTCCCACTGGGCGATCGCGCGCAAACGTGGATCGTAGCGCCAGGCTTTTTGCACCGCTGACTCGCTGAGGGGCTCAGGAGGGGCTTGTTTTGTCGCCAGCCGCAGCAGGCTCTATCCTATTCCTTCTCTCACCCGTTTCGCCAGTCATGAACCCGACTCCCGCTCCCAGTAGCGTCAACGTACATGCCACTTTGGGGATGGTGTTCCTCGGCGCTTGCACCTCATCCATGTACGCGCGCCTCGCATCGTTTGTTGCACCCAAGGCTGATTCTCACCGTCTGCAGGTTATATGGAGTCACTTGCTTGCAAACTTTCCATTACTATCGCTCCCTGCGATCCAAAGATGATAGAACAGCGTTGCGTGTGCTGGTACGTCGACAACGCCGGCAAGTAGCTGAACACCTTGCTGACGACGCTTTGGCTCTGGCTCTCACAGGTCGCGTTTCTCTTGTATGCTGTCTCATATGCTCTCCCCTTAGGGGTGTTGACGATAAACCCTAGTGCAGTGGACACGTTTCATCAGGCCCTTGTCATCCACAGCGGCTACACGTATCTCATCATCAACTTCGATGACGTCAGTGCACTATTCACGTACAATGTTTGGTGAGTGTCTGCCATAAATTGGGTTTAATATTTGCTCAAGCCGTTATACGTCCAGGAGTGTCCCCGTACGTTTTCCACTCTAGACATTTGCAGAACGTCGTCGCTCATGACTTTGACTGCCCATGCAGGCTGAGATTTTTGTGAATGCAAGCCGCCGCCTTGCATGCCGTGCACGCTGCCGAGACTAATCCTAACCATCACAGGGGTTTACCAGCGCAATCATGAACTCGTTTGTCGCTATGCTCCCTGCTGGCCTTCATATTACTCATCAATGCATGTCCAGATTTCTCATTGCTCGTCTATATCGCTGTACGTGTGCCACATCGAACCATCACTCGGGCCATTGACTCATTCCCTCTAGTGAGCCATCATCGGATCCTGACAGCTGTAGCGGTACTACTGTTGCTTCGTGTGCTCTATGCAGAACTGACGCACGACTGTAGAGTGTCTGCGCAGCCGCGACGTGTGGTGCGTCGCAACACTAAGAGTATCGTGATCGACTACGAGTGCTCATGTTTCCCTTCAACTCCAATAGTCCTTATCATCAGTGAGTAGCCCCTTTTCAAAAGGAACGCAAGACGCTATATTGACGCGTACGAACAAGCATTTTCATGCCTATTGTAAGCACGATCTTTGAGCAGCGGATCGCAATCTCTGTTGAGTCGTTGAGATTGCTCCGTCAGCTTCACTTTCCCAAGCACGTTTGCTGGGTTGTTCGCGCTCCGAGTAGGTCGTGGACTGATTGTTTTTTATCATGCTCAAACTTGGCTCTGTGTGGTAGGAATACGTGATCGCAGGCCTTGCGTCGTCCGCCGCAACAGACATGCTTATCGGCTTTGCGCTCTGCTTCTACTTGCAAAAAAGCCGTACCGGCCTCCACCGGTGAATTTCCATCCCTCGTACAGGAACGCATCCGCTAACTTCGGAGCGTGCTCCAGCTCTAACGATATGATAACAAAGTTGATTGTGATCTCGATGGGAACGGGACTTCTCACAGTGTACGTATCTTCACCTCGCTTGTTCTAGTGTAATCACTCAACTCCCGCCTCAAGCATATTCGACCTCGGGGTTCTCATCACTGTAGGTTGAATGCCTCCAGAACGATGCCTTCGCTTACGTATCCTGGCAGTTTGTGGCAGCAACGAATGGTCTGTACGACCTGCTGCTCAGTTTCATGCTAGGAAAGCGTAAGTGCTCACGGAGCATTGTGTGAAACTGAACTGAGCCGTCATTCAGTATACGTGAACGTGGTGCTCACCACGTGCGTGGTCACCGAATTTCTACTGACGTGCCCAACATGCTGAACCTGTTGTTGATATGACCAGCCTCAATCTTCGAAAATACGTCCGACACTCAACTGAGGATGGTGTACGGGGGCGCCACACCAGCGTAGTCACAGATATTATGTTCATGCCAGGAGAAGAACGTCCAATAGAGCTGGTCGAGACTTTGTCGAGAACATCCACAACAGCGAACACGATTATGGAAGACACTTCGGGATCGACCAGAGCCGAGAAGGTACGTCAATCATTCAATATTGTGAGTTCCCGTCGCTCACATACCTGTGTCCAGTAGCATTGCGCTCGGTCCGACAGTGGGTCCTCACCAATCGATACTCGGCATAAGTCATAATGGGAGGAGACTGCATGTACTTGGTTTCTCTGTGTTGACAGCTCTCGTTCCCTTTGTTGTATCATAGTTCCAATTTCGTTGGGTTGCTCGTGCTGTTTTACTGCGATGTCTGGTCGGTGGGTTATACGCAGAAGTGAATGTAGAAACCCGGTAACGCAGCGGCGAGCAACATGGTCCACGAGGATGCCTGGAAAAGGCGGGGGAACGAGTTCAAGCGACGTTAACGGTGGACGCGTCTCGACTGCGCGTCGGATCTTGCGCGGAGGTATACGTCACGTGTTCGCGTCGCAGCCTCGTGAGGGGCATGAGTTCAACTCTTCCTGGGCGCCTCCAAAGTCAACCCGACTCCAGTCACTCGACCGCTTCTCTCCCGCCACCCCCTCCCCCGCCCCGCTCCTCTTGACACCCGCAAGCACGTATCGACGCGTTACTATAACACCATAGCACTTTGGCTCCTGCGCATACATCCCTCGAGACACTGACCATCGTTCGTACTCCCACGCAGGATCACTTGGCCATTGTCTGACCGTGTTTCAAGCTACGCATCGCGACTTTCCACACTGGTCTCTCCCCGGAAACCTGGGAACTGGATTCGGGTACGTTCGCATTCATTTCACGAGGTTGAGATTTGCATCTACGGTGTCGTATCGAGGATTGTCGCCGCCATCCAGTGGGTTCGCCATTGTTCATGGGCTCATCTTATTGGTCTGGGTTACGCGCGTGGCTGCTTGTGGTGGACTATCCCCGGTCTCTTCGGCTCATGCTCGTCTTTGTCTTGTGACATTGAACTCACGCTCACACAGCGACATCAAGACACTGGCAACCTTCGACTTCCCAACCACGATGTCTTCAAGTTCTTATACGCTTGTCGACGAGGCACCATTACTCCCTCTTACGCCCGGTCAATCATCACCACCCTCCCGCGACAAGGCGCAAGTTTCCCCGGCCAACTCTGACGACTCCTCACTCGCCTGCGACCTTTCCGACCTCTCATTCGACTATGAGCGCAACTCGCGCGGCGAGATCGCTCGCGCCTCCAAGGGCTCTTCGAAACCCTCATCTCCTCCTACACCTGCCGACTCCCCGCCTTTGAAGTCCACCTCCCCAGTCCTCGTGCCTTCCGTCCATTCCCGACCCGTCCCATTGACGCGCTCGGAATCGATGCCTCAGGAATCTATCTACAACCCACGACAATTCTCGCGCGCGGCATCAGGACCTCTTGCAATTACACCGAGCACGACACGCGGCATCACCGGACTCGGGACGAGCAGCGTCGCGAGCGGACGCAAGATTGGTGGACCGCGACGCGTCAAGCTTGAGGATGTTTCCGAAAGCGAGGCGCAGCCACGGATACCCGTCCCGTCCATGTCTGGAGTGTCGCTGGATGAGAAAGAGAACCAGCGGACAGGACGTTCCCTGCGTCCCGCGAGGTCCATCGGGAAACATCTTGGTTATGACAAAATCGCGGAAACGCATGAAGACGTCGAGCCCCCACCACCCCCGGTCCAGCTGTACACTTCCACCCCGGCCACGGCGTTCGGCGAGCTTAAGCGACGCCCCCCCTCCAATCGACATGCTCCCGGAACGCCCTCTCGCACACGCACGGCCAATGACGAGTCTCGGCGCCCGACGAGTGACCGTGCAAGAGAAGCTGCAGCAGGAGCGGACGATCGCGCGAGAGGAGGCTTATATGGACGCGCGCCGGGAAGCGGAAGAAGCAGCAGGTACGTCGCCGGCGCATCGAGACAGCCTGCACTGTCCCTCATGTTCCTCGGCGCTGGCCACACAGCCCGCGCTCAAATGTCCCATTTCCCTTCCCCCCGCGACCATCTGCGCCATTCTCGAAAAGACTCGGACACGATGCGCGGCGGCTCCGGGTCGCCGACGGCGGTCGAAGTTGGGAGGCTGAGACGTAGTCCGACCACGATCGAGGCGCACAAGCAACAGCAAACGCAGTGGGATGATGAGCTACAGCAGGGGCCCACACCGAGCAGCAAGATGCCCGCAGTGGCCCCCGTACTGGCCAGCAGCTCGCGCATGCTGACAGTATGTCCCCACCGTTTTCATTCTACTTCGGGAGGCTGAGGACGGCTTCTAGGTGAACAAGAAGCATTACAACCGCATGGACATGATTGGCAAGGGCGGCTCCTCGCGCGTTTACCGGGTCACCAACAGTAGCCATGAGATGTTTGCGCTTAAGCGTGTCACACTCGATAAAGTCGACCAAGACACGATGCAAGGTTACCTTAACGAGATTTCCTTGCTCAAGCGTCTTGAAGGCAACCCTCGTATCATCCGCTTATATGACAGTGAGCTCAAGCAAGGAGGCAGCACGGGCAAAGGCAGCCTGATGCTCGTGATGGAGTATGGAGAGATCGATCTCGCGAAGCTGGTTCAAGAGCAGCAGAAAGGACCGATGGATCCCGTCTGGGTTGCATACTATTGGAAGCAGGTGGTCGTTAGTCCGAAGTCGGCATGCAAGACGTACTGAACCATATATACGCAGATGCTGCAAGCTGTCCAGGTGATCCACGACGAGAAGATTGTTCACTCCGACCTGAAACCTGCGAATTTCGTCTTGGTCAAGGGGCAACTGAAGCTCATCGACTTCGGTATTGCGAACGCCATCGCCAATGATACGACGAATATTCAGCGCGATCACCAGATCGGTACCGTCAACTTCATGTCTCCGGAAGCCATCGAACTTCCCGAGGGTACGCGCCGGCTTAAAGTCGGTCGTCCATCCGACGTATGGTCGCTGGGATGTATTCTTTATCAGATGGTATACGGCCAGCCCCCTTTCCACCTATACAGCGTCTACCAGAAGATGAAGCTCATCCCTGACGAGTCGCACGTGATCGAGTTCCCGGAATACGCTATTCCAGTTGCGCGGAAGACGGCAAGGGATCCTTCTCCTGGCATACGCGGGGGTTCGCCTCAGCCACAGGCAGAACAGGCGATGGAGCATCTCAAAGTTCGCGTGCCGCAGGCAATCATCAACACCATGAAGAGCTGCCTGATCCGCAGTCCGAGGGATCGGGCGACGATTCCGCAACTGCTGAAGCAGAACTGGCTAGAAGGTATATTGTTACACGTTGTCCGCCGAGACCCGTGCTCAACTATCTTTGCAGCGGAGGTGCCCTCAGAAACCATCACTCCTCCGTCTGCGCCAGCGACCCCACCGTTGCCCGAGCTCGCTCCCGACGAGACCATCATCAACCCTCATTACATGATGCAGCTCCTCATTTATGGTATCCGCATGGGATCAGAAGGTGCTTTGGATTGGGACGAGGCGCGATTGATGCAGGAGGGCGAAGTATGTCCTCCAATTTCCCGCCCATCCTCTTGCTGAACTTCGGTTGTAGCGCCTCGTACACGAACTGCAGAATATGAACCGCAACGCTGGACGGATGCGCTAGGTCGCGTCCCGACGATCTCCGCATCCGCGTCACCACCCTCGCTCCGCCTAATAGCAACCTGCCACCCCCGGAACCCTAGACTGTGTCTGCGCCGTGCCGCATGCCGAAGTGTATATGTTTATCCATGTTGGGTGTGTCTGATTATCTTTCGCTATGCTATGTCGTCGCTTCGCCGTTGCTGTCGCACCACCACGCTACCCCTGCCCCACTGCACTGTACACCAACCCCCCGCATGTCCCGTGTTCCCGTCGCTCTCAAAAGTTCTTTGTACACCGCACGTAGTCCCGATGCCTCCGGCCCGCTCTCCTATGCCCTCACCTCGACGTGCTCGTCGCCACCCGGACCGGCCTTGCGATCTACTTGTGTCGTTTATTGTCTCCATCCACGTGGAAGCATGCCCCTTCGACCTTCTCCCCTCTGCGTATTGTACAGCATTAGTCTCCTCCATAGTCACACACATCACCCCCATTTTACCGCATCTTCCCCCTCCCCCATACGTCCACACCCCGCACATAGTCTGCCGTCCGTTCCCCCACCCGGAATCGAATCGGTCTCTCCGCCCCCTTCGCTCTGTGCTCGCTGTGTGGAGCCCCCGCCGAGCCGTGCTCGCGCGTGCGCGCCCCGTTCGATGTTGTCATTTGCACCTTGCAATGCTATCCCGTCCGTCCGTTCGGCGATCACCAAGCTTCGAGACGTGCCTTCTCAGACACTGGACCAGCGAGACCTCTCGAACGCGCATGCCAGCTGCGTCTTCTGCCGACGACCGCGGACCCACATCTGAACTGGTGCACACGGTCGGATACGAGCGGCGCACTGGTTTGAACAAATCCTTCGCTTATGTGTTCGGAGGTAAACATCGGGCAAACGAGAGCTTCAGAGCCGGAACACAACCTCGCACAAGACAGCCCACCGTATAAATCAAGACGAGAAAAATGAAATAGAACTACAATAATCATACAAGAGCCAAGCCACGGGTCTAACGATAAACAATAAGATAAATCACGTCCTCTCGCCCCGGAGGCGGCGCGCGAGCTGGAGGTCTTTCGGCTGGATGGTGACGCGCTTGGCGTGGATCGCGGCGAGGTTCGTGTCCTCGAAGAGCGAGACGAGGTACGCCTCGGACGCCTCCTGGAGCGCCATGACCGCGGACGACTGGAAGCGGAGGTCCGTCTGCGCCGAGATGGCGAGTCAGCGACCCGGACGCAGAGGGACAGACGAAGAGAAGCGAGTCGCACCTTGAAGTCCTGCGCGATCTCGCGCACGAGCCGCTGGAAGGGGAGCTTGCGGATGAGCAGCTCCGTCGACTTCTGGTACCGCCGGATCTCGCGCAGGGCGACGGTGCCAGGCCGGAAGCGATGGGGCTTCTTCACGCCGCCGGTCGCAGCCTGCGGCGGAGAGGCGGGTGAGATGGGAGTCCGCATGAGCGGCGAGGAGGGCGACTTACGGCGGCGGTTTTCCGCGCCTGGGACTTGGCAGCGAGCTGCTTGCGGGGCGCCTTGCCACCGGTGGACTTGCGAGCGGTCTGCTTAGTGCGGGCCATTGCTGATGATGGGATGTGTGTGAGGGGGTGAGGTGGTTGTACGCGCGGGAGGGCGAGGGCACTAAGCGGGGTAGGGACATGACGGGAGGAGGGCAGGGGCTACTTATACAAGCGCGCCCCAGCCAACGCGCGCGACGCGTCCGAGGCGCACGTGACGACGCGTTGAGAGGCCGTCAACAAAATAAGGTTTGACATCACGCACACGTGATGCGACGCGTCCGCGCCCAGCGCCCCATATATACCCGGCCTCCACGGACTCCTTTGCCCCACTCACCCGCTCGCCCTCTGTCTCCGCCGCCTCCGTCGTTGCGCCACAAACAACTCTCGCGTCTTTCGCACTCCCCATCAACTCTCTCAAATCACAATGTCTGGCCGTGGAAAGGGTGGCAAGGTTAGCTCAGCTCTGAACACTTGTCTCTTCCGACGCTGACCACCTTCGACTCGCGCAGGGTCTCGGAAAGGGCGGTGCCAAGCGCCACCGCAAGATCCTCCGCGACAACATCCAGGGCATCACCAAGCCCGCCATCCGCCGCCTCGCCCGCCGCGGCGGCGTGAAGCGTATCTCGGGCCTTATCTACGAGGAGACCCGCGGCGTGCTCAAGATCTTCCTCGAGAACGTGAGTGCCCTCGAGGCTTCCGCGTCGTCGCGTTCTCAACCGTTCGCCGCAGGTCATCCGCGACTCCGTGACCTACACCGAGCACGCGAAGCGCAAGACCGTCACGGCGCTCGACGTCGTGTACGCGCTCAAGCGGTCAGGGCGCACGCTCTACGGTTTCGGTGCTTAGACTGTTTTCGCTCTGGTTCTTTATTGGTATACTGTGTACTGTATAGTGTAATCTATTCTTCCTTCCTTCCTCTGAACCGCTGTGTGGACGCCTGGACTGAATTGTCACCACGCACTGGCTGCTTAGAGTGTGTCGCGAAGTTGAACTCTTCCGTGTTGCTGTGGATCGGCTCCGCTGAGAATATGAAGTATATGCGGTCAATGAGTCCCGAAGAGCCTACACGTTGAGACAGTTTGGCACTTCATATATCAGCCGGAGAAAAAGACTCGCGACCGACCCCCAGCGCATGTCCTCCGACGCCCGAACTCATAATATTACAGACGCTACGGACACTCGCAGGCGGTACTAGGGGGCAAGGCGCGAACATATAAAGGGTAACGGGGAACAAGAGAGAAGCCTCGGGGTATTCACAAACGACCTGGCCTGACCTTCGGGCGGTGGAGGGGGGACGGGTGGGTAAGGAGGTACTCGTGGCACGCAATATCAGCAATAACGTATCACCCAGCCTGCAAACTTTGGGGGGCACAGCACGCAGTACGATCCGACGAACGCCAAGAAGGGAGCGAGGGCGGGAGGAGAGGAAGGGCGGGAAGAGGAAGGGAGGGGCGCGCGGGGAGGTACGAACGTGCCGTGTGCATAAATACATGCAAGCAGCACCGCCGCGGAGGGCGCACCGCTCACCGCTTCTCCGCGGGGAAGTCGTTCTGGGTCTCGACAGTGATGTGGACGCCGTTCCCGCTGGGACGTTGGTGTCGATCGGGAAGATCTCCGCCTTGTGGTCGCGGCCGCCGACGGAGCTCTTGCCGTCGTTCCACTCCGCGCCCTTGTCGCCCGCGGTGGGGTCGCCGAGCGGGACGGAGAACGTGCCCTCGTTCCCGCGCCCGCCGCCGACGGAGAGCACCGGGTTCACCGCCGGGCGGTTGCCCGAGAGGACGTGGGTGGTGTTGCCCGAGCGCGAGGGGTGCGAGTGCGAGGAGACGGCGAAGGAGCCGCCCGAGACGAGCGAGCCGCGGACGGCGAGGATGATGCGCATCGACATGGACGCGGTCAGGACGGCGGTCATCGAGGTCACGATCGTGCGCACGGGGTCGTCGGTGCCGGTGGGCTTGATGATGAACCAGAAGAGCATGTTGACCATGTTGACGACCCAGACGGCGCCGTAGAGGTTGAGGCCGTCACGGAGCATGAGCTTCCAGTAGGAGAGCTGCTTGATCTGGAGCGACTGGAGCGATCGGTTGAGCGCGAGCGCGAGCTGTGCGGGCACAAAGCGGTGCGATCAGCGAAGTCAAAGACGCAAGCGGTGCAGATATGACATACGGAAGCGGTGTAGAGCAGCGTCGCGGACACCCAGTAGATGCCCACCCAGCCCTCCTTGGGCTCGGCGATGCATCCCTGACCTTCGAGGAGAGGCGTTGCTGGAAGCGCAGAGTCAGTAAAGGTTTGGAAACCGCACGGTCTTGGTCTCATGAACGGGGGGACGCCGGGATGGATCGCCGCGCCCAAAGGGAGCAGCAGGGTCGGCCGACGGCGGACATGGGAAAGGCGGGGAAGAAGCGGACGAAGGCGCGGAAGGTTCGATGATGGGTTGCGACGGTACTCACAGCGATAGAAGCCACAGCAGATGGCGGTGATGACGACCTGGAGGGCGAAGAGGGCGCCCATGCCATAGAGAACGGTCCGGCTCTTCTCGTAGATGGCGTGGATGCGGATGACATGGACGATGGAGCAGGCGGCGAGGAGGATGGCGGTACAGATGGGCTCGAAGAGGAAGAAGTGGGAGCATTGCTGCCGACGGAGGGAAGGAGATTAGCTCAAGCTCTGAGTTCTGCCGTGTGCTCAGCGTGCGCTCCGGGGGCGAGCGGGGGCCGTGGAGCGGTGGTATCGCTGGCGGATACGCCCGGCCGGCTTAGCGCGCCGTCGCTTGGGACCGCGCTTGGGACCGCAGCACGGCGGAGACAATAGAGCGCGCGCGAGAGAGAAAGGAACTCACGACTTGCGTCCAGTTGATGTCGAAGAAGGCGACGCCTGGAGAGAGAAGAGTGAGACAATACAGTAACCACGGAGGGAGCGATAGACGGACCGACGATGATGAACTCAAGGGGCATGAAGACGCGGAGGAAGTGGAAGAGGATCTTGAGTGGTGGCCACTCCTTGGTGCGGAGCAGACGCCATGTGCGCGGGGAGAGGACGAGGGTGTCCCATGCGGCGACGGTGAGGGTGCAGACGAAGAAGTACTTGTGGGCGGAGAGGTGGGGAGGGAGGTTGAGGTAGGGGGGGAGGATGTCGGCGAGGCTGGGGTCTGTCGAGTTGGTCGAGTTGTCAGACATGGCGCGCGGCGGGTCTGCCTGAGAGCCGAGGGGAAAGACGGACGGGAGGAAAGTCCGGGCGAGGGCGGGGGCGAAGGAGGGGAGGGAGGCCAGCCGGAGATAAGTATTCGCACCAGCAAACGCAACCGCCCACGCCCCGCTGGCGCCCGTCGCCCTCCAATCAGCGCGAGCAGCCGTGCGCTTCCAAGCCCGCCGTTCTCGGAGTTCGCGGCGTTCGCCTCTCCCGTCAACGCCTCCGCGGCGGCCACGGCGGACGTGAGCTTGTCAGGCCAGAACGGTCTCCAGCCGCACCGAACTCTGTCCCGACCACCCTCCGTCTCGCCTCACAGCCCACGCCATCCTCGCATCCTGGCCCGCACCGCCTACAAACAAACCTTGGACTCCCGTCGCCTCTCGTCACTCGTCGTCCTGACAGACTGATCACGCCACCTCGATCGAGTTGCACGCGAGGACTCCCGTACCCCTTCCGCCGGGTCGGCACGCGTGCCATCCGTTCAGGCTATTCCCCTCGTTCCCTGACATGTCCATCGACTTTCTGATCAGCCCCGCGCTCACTTCCCGGCCCATCTTCTCCTGAGATCCCTTTCCGGCGCCGGCCGGCCAACCACCACGCCGGACGCTCACCGGCCCCGACATCGCCGGATGGTGGCGACGTCACGTTGGCAGCCACACCTGGATTGCATGTATCGTGTTCAATTACAATGAAGACATCCCTACCTACGTACTGTGGACCGTGCAGAGAGCAACGAAAAACTGTCCAAAACATGCAAAGCGTCCATATTCAAACACAATCAGAAAGCGAGCCGAAAGCTGATTAAAACGAGAAAGGTACACGTAGTTACGAAACTCACGGCCGTGCTAAACTTCCAACCCTACCACCCGCGCGGGGGTGGCTACTCACGACCGAGATCCACCGATTGGACCATGCGCAGAATCTCGTCGAGCACGTCGTCTGTGGCCCCGTGCTCCCGCGCGTGGGACGAGCCGTCAGAGCCGTCACGCATGCGGAAAGGCGGCCTACGCGTCCGCCTCAGCATCACCCCAATCTCCTCAAGCACGTCCCCGCCGCCCGGGATGGTCGTCGCCGGCCAGAGAGGGCAAGGGACGTGCGAGGTGGAGACAGCGTGGACAGTCGCCTCGGACGCGCGCCCCGTCCGGATGGGGACGTGCGTGGGCACCGCTCCCGGTCGCGCTCCCGCTCCTGGCGACGGTGCGAGTTGTGGTGCCGCTGCTCGCGCCGGTCGAGGCGGTCCTGGCGGTCTTGCTGAGGCGCGTGCGAGACGACGAGAGCGGGCGAAGATGATGGGTCTTGGGGCGCGCACGAAGCGGACGATGTGTCGGGGTGCAGAGCCAGGGGAACGGTGAAGGGCTGGTCGTCGTGGGGGTCACGGTCGATGTCCTCCAGAGCCAGTACATTCGTGCTGCAGCGTGATCTAGAAGTCGATGCATGACCAGCAGAGCCCGTCAGGCCATGGCGATCAGAGCGGGATTCGGAGGAAGGGGTGGTCTGGGGCGGTCCCGAAGGCGTGGCTTTCGTCCAAGCGAGGATACTTGCTCGAGTGGGGGCAAAGAGCGTCGCCGAGATGCCAGACGAGGAGGTCGACGTAGAACCAGCGCTGCCCGGGTCGGAGACAAGAGACCGAGGTTGGGCAGGGATCATCGATGGCGATTGTTGGCGATCTCGAAAGGTGGCTGCGAGCACGTCGTGTTTCGTCTCTGACGGGTCAATCTCGAGCCCCAGACAGTCAACAGAGGTGAGAGAGGATCCTGGATGTTGTGGTTTCGATCGGAAGGAAGGGATCGTGGTGGCACGTCCCGAAGAAAGCTGGGTAGAGAGGTCGGACGCGCAGACGAGTCGGAGCGGGCCGAAAACGTACCGTGCTCGATGAGGACGTAGAACCAGGATTACAAGCGGGGTACAATACTGAGGTTGTCCGATCAAAGGGAGGTGGGAAGTAGGCATGAGGGTTGTGGATGTTGACGTGCTTGTGCTGTCGTTGAGAGCGTATTGGGGGACTGAGACCGAGAGACAAGTGCTCCGAGGACCGAAGAGTGTTCTGATGGTCAGACATAGCTGTTGGACTGTGTGTATGCGCGTTTGAGCGCGACAAGCTAGGGCATGGCGGGAGCCGGGGGAAACATAGGGTGAGAGACGAAAACGAGCGCTGGCAGCTGCTGGTCTTTCATCGTCACCAGTCACATGAGCACCGATTCCGAGGCGGCGCGAGGGGCCCGTGAGCAAGTCTCCTGAAGTCGATCCTCCTCACAGGGACATGCGTGGCTAGGCCACATCGAACCATCATCCGCCCTTGGCTGCTTTGGCTGCTCCTCCGCGCGATCACATGTCGAATCGATGCCCGTCCTTGAACCCTACCGGGATTATAGCTGACGTCCCCAAGTCAAGACCGGCAGCCTTGAAAACAACATAGCGTGGACGTTAATTGCATGTTATTCCCATCCTAGACGCGGCCCCCTTGTTTGCTTTGCGCGATCGACTTATTTAAGCGAACCTGGCCGCACGATCTGCCTTCACCGAGGTGATCCGCCAGTACTTAATCACCATGTGTCAATATCGTTCAAAGCCCTCAGCACACAACCAGCAATGCAATGCCTCCGCCGGACATGCCACAGGGACGCACACCGCGGCATCTGAAGGATGATGCGGCCGTGTTGTTCCATTTGACGCGATGGGCCACTTTCAACGTTTCAACAGCCGGCACAGGCTGAGTACAACATTGCGGTGCTTACCCCAATCTTCGCACTCCGTAGAAGGTTGATATAATCCAGTACCTGTGCAGATGGAAGGGGCGGGGCTGGACATTTGCAAAGATTCTAATCTTGGCACTCGATACCTACGCTCGGTGGCACCTCAGATGCAGTGAGAAAGTGAACCTGTATAGTTAGGCGACCAAGTATACTAGACAACAATAATGTAAACTATCACATATGAGACCATACGATAAGCAGCACTGTTGAACGCTGAACGCCGTTTCCTTGACCGTCCAAGAGCCCATCTATGTTTCTATGGAGCCTGTCTAATAAATAGTTCGACGCGTTCAATCGACTCTTCTAGTAGAACGCACGAGACTCAACCATTCATTACCCCTCCCTCTTCGCGCCGGCCTGCTCGATCCCCGCTTCATAAATCTTGCCAGGGCACTCCTCTAACTCGCGCCGGTGCTCCGCGACCCACGCCCTCGCGTGCTCGAACAGCGCGCACGTTGGCCCGAGCTCCTGTTCCGTCCAAAGACCGGTCATCAGCACAAACACACGCCATCCCAAACGACACGCAGCACTCACCTGCCACCCGCTCGCCCGCGCGAGCGCGTCGTCCACCGCGTCGAGTGCGCCCAGCTCACCCAGCGCGGCGACCCACCCCGGCAGCGCCGCCGTGCGCGCGAACCGCTCCACGGGTGCGAGCACCCCCCGGTCCGCCCGGTCCGCCTGCGCAACGTGCGCGGCCCAGTGGAGGCGCGCGTACCGCACGTCGTCCTCCGTCTCCGCCGCCGCTTTGTCCGCCTGCCCAGCGCGGGACGCGAGGGGGGAGAGAGGGGGCGGAGCGGAGGAGTGCGCGAAGGCACGCGGCCGCGAGCCGTGCGTGCGTGCTCGCGACAGACGCGCGGGGACGCGCTCGGCGAGGAGACGCGTGAAGTAAGGGTGCAGCGCGCGCACCGGCGCGTCGGCGTCGCGCGGGTCCGAAAGCAGTGCGGCGCGGAGCGGCACCAGCGCCGCCGTGACCTCGGGGAGCGGTACCCCGACCAGCGTGTGCAGCGCGCGGGGGGAGAGCGGAGCGCGGAGCAGCACGAGCGCGTGCACAAGCGCGGCCTGCGCGGGGTCGTGCTCGGCCGCGGGGAGCGCGCGCGAGAGGAAGGGGAGGTCGAGCGCGGCGAGCGGGCGGAGGAGCGCGCTGCGCGGCGGGTTGGAGAGGAGGAGCTCGGCGCGCTCGTCGAGGTCTTCGGGATACTGCGCCAGGAAGTCGGCGGCGGCAGCAGCGTATGTGAAGAAGCCTTCGGAGCGTTCGGTGAGGCGGTCGATGAGCGCGGCGCGGCCGCTGGAGAGATCCTGCTCAGGCACCATATGGGCCAGCCGGTCGTGGAAGAACAGCTTGATGTCGGCATCTACAGACTTCCGAGGTTGCAAGTTTAGGTTGATTGAAAATACTGCTTCTTTGCTGAAGGTGGAGATGGTTTCTTCTATGCGGTCTTCGGGGCGCGAGGTGAGGAGAACTTTATGGGAAAGGGGGAGTGTAGGACCCAAGAAAGAAGGGGCTGGAGCATCTTTGGCCGAGAGTTGGGTCGTCGTCGGCGCACTCGTTGAGTGCGTCGACGACGACACACACAGGACTCCGCTGACGAGCAGCACAGGACAGGGGTTCTTGAAGAAGTCTATGTGCTTGATCCTCCACCCTGGCGTTGGTTCCAATCGGGTTGAATTCCTCTGCCGCAGTGGCCAGCACATTGCAGAGTTCCTCCTGAGAGTGAGCGAGCTGGTAGGCGATTGACGGAAAAAATAGCCGGAAGATGAAGTTTCGACGACATCCCGAGCGAAGAAGAAAGAGGCTCCAAGCCTTCCTTCTCCGTCGAGACGTCGCGAGAATTCAGAAGCGATAGTGGACTTGCCGGTGCCTGCACCGCCAGTAAGGAAACAAATCCGTTGCACAGCACCTCTGGTCTTCGCCTTTCGCCCACGTCGTCAGCTCTTCGAACACGTTGCGTCGCGTCCCGAGGAGGTGCTTGCTCTTCGTGCCGTTTGATGCCGTACGATATCCGGCGTCAGCTCGCGCAAGGCATTCTAGTTTGTCGTAACTCGCTGCTGTCTGATGAGGGTACAATGAATTTGGAGATTACTTTCCTACTCACTTGTGTCTGTGCCTTTAGTCTAGTGTACGCGGTGAGCACAGAATTCGTAAAGTCCATGAGCAGTATATTTACCTTGTCCACTGTGCGTTTACCATGCCCAATCAGGCTTTCTAGTTCTCTAGTAATGGGGGACGCGCACAGACACTAGATGGCATGAACACCCAAGACTTCGGCACCGGAATTGACTAGACTTACGTCGAAGTCTTTGAGCACGCTCTGAACCTTGCCTATCAAGTCATCCACTGGGACCGTAGATTGACGAAGGGACGGAGGAAATAGAATAGTATGCACTTGGAACGCGTGTGCTTGCTTCCGGAGCTCCTCCAGATTTCTGCGAGACGCTGTCACACGAGAAGGGGTATTGCAGTAAAATCGACGTACGCTGTAAGGTCGGTCGTCCTTTTCCGGACCAGTGGAGATCGACTTAAGGCATCGAGGATCTCCTTGCGATCCTCGGGCGTAGAAACCGCTTTCATAAGCCGTGCCCTGAACTTGGACGATGTGGCGACAAAGAGATTGGCCAGTCTACCAACGCCCCCCACTAAATCGTCGAGCCACCGATCCTTGGAGGCGGCCTTGGGGGACTGAACAGAGATGGTACGGGATAAATATGCTGCAAGTCAAGAAACTAAGAGACTGTCGGTTGATAAAACGGATGCTCGACGCACCTCGAGCAAACTGACCACCTTCAAGAGTGACTCTGCGGCCGTTGGTAAATTGACGATAGGGACGGTGTCGAGACCTCGCTTCTCGTTCTCCAGGGAATTTCTCGCAGTGGCAAGGGCGTCGTCGACATATTGGCTGTGGGACCGAGCAGCGCAACAGAACATGAGCGGTGAGAGGAGCATGAAGGAGAGGGAACAGGATGAGCGGACCTTCAAGGCTTGTCGTGGTCCGATTCTTAGAGTCGAGGAAAACGCTGTGCCGCTGCCTTGCGCGGTAATGGACGGCTTCGTCTGGACAGCTCTCGGCATGGGGGCTGGATGTGAGAGGACGTAATCTCCCGCACTGAGCAGGTGCTGACAGTGAACGGCGAAAAGCGCTACCAGGCGCGACCATGCCGTACTAGGAAGAGCGACGCTGTGAGGATACTAAGTTCGCTCGCTGACGGCTCGGAGCGGAGATGAGTATCGCATGCAAGGGGCCCTGGCTAGGCTACCACGGGTACCGCCCCCGTAGTATTTCGGGGCATCTGTTCCGACGACGTCCCTTTTCTTCCGCTCTGTGACTCGACTTCGGAGTGCTACTATCTGTGAATTACGCCTATCATAGGGCTATGCCCTCGAGCGCGTTAAACAAGGACGACAAAACAGAGCATGAGCTCGGACCCGATAAGGCGTCGTTGTGAAACAATGTGCATTCACAAGGACCTTGATGGAAGCGTGGCGGTATGAAATGCACGCGGATGAGAAGAGACAGCATGCACGATTACCCCAGCACGTGCCGAGGGAGAACGGGTGTGAGTAGGTAGGTCTGAGCCCGAGGTAAAAGAGCACTCACGTGGAAGGGAATATCAACGCAACGCTTCACGGTGTGTATGCGTCGAGATGTCAACCCGGGTGATCACGACTGAGGAGGGAGATCTGCTTGTTCGAACTTGGAGTCCTGTTCAAGGTCTCGGTGCATGGACCTGAAACGCTCATTCGTACTTTGTTCCGCTGAAGCGCTCCGCAAATTTCTCCCCCGCTTTGCCGGCAGAGAACGCATGCATGCAACGTGTAGTCCATCGTCGGATCAAGTTTTGGGATGAAAGTCGTACGTGTAGACCGTTGTAGACTGCTGCCTAAGTCTAGCTGCGTATTAATTACAAACTGCAAGGAGGAAGACTGCGGCTCCAGTAGCTGCGAGTTAATTGGAGTAGTGAACGGGAAAAACTGACTGGGATGGTAGTGGATGAGGTTGAAAGAGAGCTCTGAGTACTTGCCCACCATAGGCGCTAGAACGGGCGACGATCATTACTCAAGCGCCGGATTTCAGTTCCGTCGTGCTGGAATGTTGCTATTCTTCGAAACGTTACTGTCCCGTGAAATGTCATACTGCATCGAACAACCGCAGCATTCAGTATGGTTTGCGATTTCGGATATAGTACATCTTTGACAGGGGTTAGGAGATCGTAAACGAGAGTGGGCCTCATGCATTCTAACGAGGCTGGTCAGATGTAACGAAACTATGGAGTACAAAAGGTACGTATATGCTATGTATGCGATGGTCGATGCTGGATCCAAGACACTAGTATGTGAGAGATGCGTAGCATATGCAGTCGTCAAGGACGGAGGAGAAACGTGAAACAGCGAGTGAAAGAATACGAAAGCATGTCGACGAGGAATCCAGAGAATAACGTTAGACGACAAACCACACCACCCACAACACTCAATGAGAACCGTGCACAGCCGCGCTCGGGCTCATGAACCTCGCAAAGCTCGGCGAGTCGTACTCGAACAGGTCCGAATCCGAGTCCGAGTCCGACCCGTCGTCTTCAGAGTCCTCGTACGTCGGCGGCAACCCGCTTGGCAACATCGCCCCACCTCCTGCGGGCGCGCCGCCCACATGGAAGACGTCTACAAACGGCGTCGGTGGCACGTCGGACGCCGCGCCGCTGTCCGTCGATGACTTGGCGAGGATAGCCGCAACGCGAGCCTCGAGCTGCCGCACCCCGCCACCGACCCCGTTGGTGGTCCCGTTCCGGCCCCTTGAGGCATGGTGGTGGTGAGTCCGCTCATCATCCTCCTGGAAGAATGAGCTGAGTTCGTGCAGGTTCTGCACCATGTCCCCGAGGTCGTCTTCCTCCGCCGCCGCGCCCCGCGCCCCGTCGTCCGGCTCAAAGTCGATGCGGCTGGGCCGCTGGTGTGCCGCACCCGCGCCGAGCCCCTGTCCGAACACCGCCGCGACGTTTGCACGGGCGGCCTCGCGGGCAGCGTGTGCGTGTGGTACGCACCACCCGGAACTCTGGGGCAGGCCGAACACTTCCGCGACATCTTCCACCTCACGCGCGGAGGTGCGGAGGTGGTGATGTAGCGACATGCGGAGAACGTGTTTGGCGGCAGGTCCGCCCGAAATTTGCATGAGCGGCTCGTCGAGGACGTCGAGCGCCTGTGCGGCCAGGTCGCTCTCAAGTAGGCGGAGGAGGGGCATGAGCAGCTCGGACCCAAGCTTGTCCACCTGAGACTTCGTTTCGCGCTGCTGGAAGAGGACCTTGAGGAGTTGCATGGTCTGGACACGAAGCCACCGCTGGCGGTTGAGGACAAGGCCCATGAGGAGCGTAATTACTTCTGTCCAGTGATCGACGCCGTAGTGCTCTCGGAGGCTCGCTACAGACTGGCGAAGGAAGTCATCTCGCGTACGGAAGCGGCTCTTGGCAAAAGAAATCATGATCCGCTCGATACTTGGACGTTCTTCGGCCTCTGCAAGGCGACTGATATTCAAAGCGAACTCCTGAAGCGACTCGTCCTTGATGTCCTCGGCCATCGCGTGCAAGCACCACGGCAGACAGAGCGTGTATAAGTCTCGGACGCGGCCTTCGGAAGGGTCGATCAACCTTGAGTCCTCGATCTTCGTCAGCCGCTGAAGAAGTTTGAACGCCAAAGTTGAGGTTTCCGACGAGCGAAGTCCCATGAGTAGACTTGACTGTAGAGTGCCCCAGTCTGTCCAGTTGGGCGGCATATAGACGAACAGGAACTCGCCGTTGCCGGTTCGTTGAGATCGACGCGCGTCACCACCGCCTCGAGGAGTGCATAGTGTGGAGGAACTCGGCTTCGACAGTAGTCGGAAGACACGCCACCGCGGACCAGTACAGCTGTGCCACCTGTGGACCTTCAATCTCTCCTGTCGACGCGATGGATGTAAGAGTTGACAAGATCTCGACATTGAACTTCTGGATTGAAACTCTTCATCCGAGATGGTGTTCGTGAGGCGTCCTAGAAGCATGCCGACGTGTGAGGGGCCAATGCGTGGCATCAGGGCGCGGTAGAGTTGTAGTGAGCGGAAAGCCACGGGGCGGATGGAGCAAGCGGTCCCCCAGTTGAGCGCCAGGGTTCCCCACTGCACTGACAAGGATGGATGGAGGGCTCGATCAGGTTGAGCACAGCAGTCCCAAACCACTTGAGCTTCGGTTCCGCTGCGATCCCATCATCATCTTCCTTCCACAACTTCTCCTCAGCCTCCTTTTCCAACTCCTGTATTGCCGTCTTCAACTCGGCTCGGGTACGAACAACGGAGCTTCCGGGGAGCTCGTCGTATCCACTGAGACATGAGCGAAGTAGCTGGAACAGCATGTGGCGAGATCGTTGTGCGACGAAGGGCTGTCGGTGGTCAAGGTGCATGAACAGTGCGTGGAAGAGGACGGGAAGCTGGTCTTGGAACTCCCAATACCGCTCCAGGGCGGTCTCAGAGAGGAAGAGAAGGGCGAACTGCGCGATGCCCAGGGATAGCCGCGGCTTCTCCGAGAACAGAATGTCGAGATCCGACCAGAGTTCGAGGTCTTCGTCGTTCGGGTGGGCAAGCTTGTGCTCGATGCTAGGCAACATCCGCGCGGGCTCGATGACGCTGCAGACCTCTTCCACGACCTGTCGTCCGATCGCACTCTGCGAGAGGCAGGCCACAATTTTGGCGGCACAACGATGAAAATCGTGCTGCCGACTTTATGTGATTGCTCGAGGAGGAACCGGATGACGGCGTGACCATTGGTTTGGTTGGGAGGGTCCACTAGGCGCGTCCACAGGACTAGGATCTGTTCCGCGTAGGTCTCGGAGAAACGCAAAGTGAGCGCCATGAGGTGGTGCATCGTGAGGCGACCCTCTCGCGAGAGCTCCGTCCTATCTTCTGACATGAGGTCGATGTTGGGGACCCAGTACTCCAGCGTCTGTAAGAGGAGGATTAGGCCTCGCTCCGAACGACCATCGAACGCCCTTGGGATCCAGTCGGCGAGCTGTGCTAGGACTTTGATCGCTTGCTCCGGATGTTCTCCAGCAAGGACGTCTGAGATAAGGCGATGTGCGTGCATGTATGTGCTCGGCGCCGAACTACCGATGGCAGCTTCGTATTGGCAGAGGGAAATGATGCCTGCAGACTGCTCGTGGAGTGTTTCCATGATGTTAAAGGCCTGACGTCGGATGGGGAGGAGAGGGTGACAGAGGTTCGACAGTCCAAGACACACGGTTTGAGCGAAGCTGAACGTGGTGGCTGCACCGGAGTAAATGGCGTCGGCCACGACCTCGAAGAACCGAGCGTTACTGGTGTCCAATTCCCGAGTGGTTACGAATGCTCGACGGACGCACTCCTCGAGGAACATCTCTGTGGGGCGATGGTGGCACAGAAGCGACCGCAGCGCCCTCCTACACAACTTGATTAGTAGGTCCCATGAATGAGAGCCGAAAGTTGCTTACTTTCCGGCCTCTTGGTTCGGCTCATGGAAGGAAGCCAAGATCGCAGTCAGACGGTCAAGAGTGGGTCCTACTTGAAGTGGTCGAGCGAAGTCAAGCGTCTGACGATCTGTCGGGGAATTATTCTCAACGTCCGGAGGGAAGAACGCCTTTTGCTGTGAAGCAGAGGGGATGAGCAATGGACTACGTCTCTCCTGGAGCTTGCTTACGCAGACGGCCGCCATGGCACCAATGGCCGCGTTTGACAGTCCTCTTGTTTCCGTCTGGAAGATCTGAATCGCCTCCGCCTGGCCTCCCGCGTCGGTAAACGACTTCGCGGCCATGGTCTGCATATACACAAGGCGCTTCTTCACGTCGTCCGACTGCTTGCCGAGCTGGCACCACTCTTCGCACATGGTATACAGCGTTAGGTAGAGGTTCGACGGGATGAACCGATCCGAGTCCTTCAGGGTTGCAAGCGCATAGAACAGCCTCTCGATCGTCCCACAGAAGTAGCGTCGTAGACGCTGCAGGTCGAACCGGTCCCTGTTCTCTGTGGAGACAAGAAGTGTCTGCGTATTCCGGATATACTTGAGCACGAAGGTGAGCGCGGCCTGCTTCCCGGAAAACCGCTGGTCCTGCAGGAGGTCCCCAGTGAGGAAGTAAATCCGAGCGAGCGCGGTGTAGAAGCGCTCTAGTCGACGGGCGCGTCCGACGGAAGGCGTGATGCCGTTGCTCTTCAAACGAGGGTCGTCGTAGTGTTGCCTAGCCTGGAGCTTGCTGAGGTCCTCGAGAAGCTGGGAGTAGTTGCTGGCGGGGAAGGAGCTCATGCACGAGACGGCCCCGTCTCGGAAGATGGCGTAGTCCGAGTCGAGGAACTTGCTGAGAGCCCAGAAAAGGTCGTGGCTACTCTGCATCTGCTCGGCGCTGAGGTCAGAGTCCGAGCGGGCGCGCGAGTGGTCGCGCATGTTCATCATGGGCCGCGAATCCGTTGTCGAAGGGGCCGTCGCGCAGATGAGCTTGATCCAGAAGTGCCACTGGTTGATGAAGTCGCGGTACTCAGTGATTGCTCGCGTGCCATCCCTGTCGCGGCGGGGCCGGCGCGTGCAGTATTTTGGGCGAAGCGAGAGGGAATGCCTGCGAGTTGCATGATGAACTGGTTACCACGGATGGCAGCGGCGACGAGCTTCTCTCGGAAGATGGCGGTGATGGTGGGCGACAGGTACATGCAGCTTTGAACGAAGAGTGGGTACACTTCAATCCACAATCGCCTGTCTTGCGGTGTATCACTCTCAGCCAATGCGACGAGTTTACCCGGTGTTGTGCTTTGCCTCCATTTCGTGAGTCCAGCTACTTCCTCGCTGGTCTCAAGAACGTTGTCGAGCCCACGGAAGACGGTCTCAGGTGTAGAGTCGTCAAAGATGTCGTGGACGAAAACAAATCGTTCGTTCGGAGGGATCGACGTTGGCGTGGAGGGTTCGGGGTGCATGTGATCCATGAGGGTCTTGAGCAGCCGCATGGCCTTCGCTCCAGTTGTAAACGCGTTAGCTTTGCGATGGCCCAGTAGGAAGAGCGCGCCAGCTTGTATCATCTCGACATGTGCCGTGACGCTGTCGTGCTCCTCGGTCGTCCATGTGTCCACGCCTTCTGCTTGACATCCTGCACCCAGCGGTCCACGAAGCTATACCAGAGGTTGAGCAGGCGTGTACACTCGATCGGAAGCCGTATGCCGGTCTCTTGGGAGATGTAGATGGGGTCGAAGAGGTACGCGGAAAAGCGATTGAGGACGAGTGACGACTGAGCGGGGTCGGCCATGATCCTTTGCAAGGCCAAGGTGGATGCTTCGCCGACCGAAGGTTCGATGTGTATGACGCCACGGATCAGCATGTCAATGGCATCCTCCAGGGCGAGAGAGGAGTGGAGAAGGCGTGGCCACGACTGGTAGATGACTTGCAGGGTGGTGATATGTCCAGCAAATTGTTCCGAGTACGCCACAGAGCCTTCCGGATGATGACGGATGACGTGGTTATGCGTCTCTTCATAGGTCGGACCTAGACGGGAGGCGGTCCACTGGTCATCAAGAACTGACCAGCTGCCGACGAGACGGAAGCACGATAACGCCACGCCACTCAGCGCGACCGTCGCGCGATCCAAAAAGTCGTTCCAGGACGCCTTAGCTGTAACAGAGGCCGGAAGGGGATTGGATGATGTTGGGTAGTCTGCCCTGACCGGCATGCTGGCGAAGTCGAAGTTCGAGGGCCATGAAGGGACTGGCTCTTCCCGCTCAATGAGGTGGATGGAAAGGAGGATGGCGTTGATTGCAATGGTGACCTTCTCCGGAGCCACGTTTAATTGGCCTCCGTTTATCGAACGTTCCTGAAGAAGGTCGAGGCAAAGCTCGCTGCCGGAGTCGAAATGACGGGAAAGGATAAAATGGACGACATAAACGAAAGGCTGGAGATAGTCCTCATGCGATGTGGCCACGAGACGATTCGGAGAAAGCAACTGTTTCATGATCGTGTCGATCTTGGAGGATGCTGTGGCCATAGACTCATGACAGCGATAAAGGTAAGTCCACAGCAGCCGCAGCATGCCGTTTAGCACAGGTATTCGATGCAGTTTCTCCTGAATCAGGTGTCAGTGATTGCACATAAAGGCGAGTTGTAAATATACCTTGAGTTTGCTTTGACCAGCTTCGAAACAAGCAAGCCAGTGCTTCTGAAAGAACTCCGTGGGAGCAACACAAAGTGAGGTCACAGCTAGCGGGTAGGCCACCTGCCAGTATCGAGGCTTGACCATCATGTCCCGTGCCTTAGGATATATCATCTCAATCGCTTTCGCCCAGTCGGGATGGTTCACTTCGGCTTGAGCGGTCTGAAACAAGGTTAGTATGCTCCTCGCAAAACCACACTTCCAATTGGCACACCTTAGCAATGGGATGCAAGATCTGGACCAATGTCTCCGCAAAGATGGTCTTGAACCGGTATCCATGAGCATTGTCGAACGACTTGGAGAGGGACGACAGGAATTCTGCGCCTTCTTCGAACGACTCCGGAGGCCAGACCTGAACCGCCATATTGAGTGCATACTCTTGCCCCCTCCGCATTTACTGACCTTGATGCGTAGATGCCTCAGACCCTTCACCAGGTTTTCGAATTTCGTGTCGTCCTTTCCGACCTGTCCAGCAGCAACCGGCCCAAGCTCCACCAAAAACCTATCAGACACCGTCTCGAATCTACTTCCCGTCAGATCCTGCGTGTAGGCACCAATGTCACAGGAAACACCCACCGGATGTCCGACAACTGCCCCAACAGCGACGCATGCACCTCCGCGATGCACCTAAAGTTCGCAGATTGCATCGACAGCTTCAAGTCGTACCGCTTGAACTGCTCGAACGTCAGCTCCTCCAAATTCCTCCCCACCGCCTCGGGCAGGCCGTCCTTGGACACCGAACGCGTCACCGCGATCAGCGCGCGGCACATGATGTACACCGACGCAAGCCACTTGCGCTCGTTGAGTGCCTGCGCCGCATCGGGCAGCCGCGCCGCGCGCGACACCGAGGGCGAGTGCGCGTGGTGGTGCGCACGAGCTCAGAGGACGCGGGGTCGTTCTGGCTCTTCCGCCAGCGCATGATCGAGTCCACGACAGGCTTCGCGTGCCGCTGCGCGATCTTGCCGAGCGAGGAGAGGATATCGTCGAACTTTTCGTCCACGCCGAGGCCCATGCAGTCTTCGAGGTGAACGTCCCGATCCTGGAATACCAGTTTGGCGAGGCAAACGCGGGGGGAAGGATGGGAGACTCACCAATGGGAAGCGTAGGAACTCATCGATGTGGGTCTCCGCGGTGGATGCGAACCGGATGAATACGGCGTGGAGAGCGTAGTCCGAGGGCGTTCGCGGGTCGAGCACAATCTTGTCTTCCGGCTCTGAGAGAGAGACATCGTCCGTCGATGCGTTGAATCCGCTCGGGATGGGGGGAACCGGGGGTGGCGATGGAGAAAATGGGTTCGAGAAGGTACCGCCCTCGCTCCCGTTGTCCGATGCGTGAAAGATCGAGCCCGACTGCGAATGCTGTGATCTCCCATACTCACGCGAGCGCATACTACGCGTTCCTCGATCTCCGGAAGTTCTGAACTGGGGAGGACTTGCGCCCATTGTGGCTTGTCGGGAAGCGATGGTGGGGTGTTCTGTCCAAGCGATGAAGTCGACCGATTGAACGGGTTCTTCAGCGCAGGATACGCCTGGTAGTCAAGCGCAGGTAGTGGAGGGGGTGCTTCCACATGTTTGGTGCTCTTGAACGCGTTGCGCAGGGAAGCAAAGGACGACTTCTTTGTGAACGGAGAGGTAGTATTTGTCGCACAGACGATGTGTAGAGTGTGAGTACCCTGCTTCGAGGACTTGCTCCTTGCGGATGTGGTCGTCACAGCTGTGGTTGTCGTGGTGGTCATCATTGACATTTGAACCGACTGGGCAGAATCTTGGGACGCAATCGAGTCGCCGCGGGAGTGGAAGTACGACCCGCCTGACCGTTCCGCCATCGGCTGGGGAGTCAACAAGGTCGGTGAGTCCATGCCTGAGCCAGAGTTACCCCAGAGGCTCGTCTGGGGCGCGCGGCCAAACAGGGGGGCGGATTTGAACGTGTCATCGTCGTCGAAGTCTGCAAGTAAGAACATGCATGAGCGAGAGGGCTTGCATAACGGGCAGATAATGGACGGCGAGTTCTCCTGATCTGCTACAGACACCAATCTCATGACGGATAAATCCATAGTGTATATATGCTCATGATGCATAGCCAGGGCCGCGGATAACTCGCCATTCGCACCCGGTAACCATCTCATAGTGCATAGGTAGAAGCGTTGACAGACGCTGTGCACTAAAAACTTTTCGTGTATATGCGCGACCACGCGGAAGATCTCACTAGTCGACGCATGGCCCCTCTCTGGAGAAGAGCGGGAAGGGGAAGGGGAAATGCAGGTACGAACTCACCTGGGATGGTGATCTGCATTCCCTCCGAGCCCATGATCGTTCTCCAGTCGCGTCGTCCGAACCTTCGTCCCCGAGATGTGCAGGTTGGCCGTAAGAGCCTCCAACCGCGAGCGATGCCAGACCAGCAAGCGGAACAAGGGTAAGCGGAGAGAGAGACCTGTGCTAATGCAACCGTCGGTTTCTCAGCCGTTCCGTGAATGGGCGTCTATCCGGGTGCCACCGACGTCTATCCTCGAGATTCCGTTTCAATGAGGTTGGTTCCAAAAAGGAAATGCAAAATTACTCTAATTCACACGGGTTGAAGGACACTTTCTACATAGGCGGGTTTCGTCACTTCTGCCTGTGTCTGATCGAGGTCGGACATGGATACTTACCATCGGTCCGGCAGGCGCTTCATTAGGGTGCTGCATAACGATCTGAGGACGGAGGTGGAAAAGCAGAGCTAAACACAGCAGTATTTTCGTAGATATGTAGTGCTACAGATCAATCTATGCAAATGGTCGTACAGGTATGGGTGTGGATCACCTCATGCGCCATTTACCTTGGGCATATCGCCCCGCGCACTCTTGCGCACCAGAGCCCTCCGACCACGAACACCTTCCCGGAGTCGGTCGAGCACAGGGACGGTTTGCTCCCAAGATATGCACGCGTCTGGGGGACAATCTTTCAACGCCAGTCCGCCGAAGAACACCGGAGCCACGTACCGGTGACAGACTGTCCGTACTTAAGGCCAGCAGGTCCGGACACCGGGATGTCCTGGCGTCCCTCCACAAGATTGGACTCAATCATGACACCCATGATCATCGACGACGTTTCGCCGGACTCAAGTTGACAGGCCTGGAGATATCGGAGTCAGTACACATTCGGACACTGGAATAGACGAACTTACGATATCCTCGGCCACCTCAATCTGCTTCTGATGCTGCTTCTGACTGTTCCCGTGGCTACAGTCAATCTGGAGCGTGCGAGCAAGTCAATGCATGCGCCAAAGCCACATCCTTGTGAACTGCGCACCATGATCTTCTGCGGGAAGCCGGCCTTCGAGAGCTTCGCTCCGCAGGAACGCACAAACTCAGCCCCGAAGTTCGGGCCGCTCGTGCCTCCTCGGAGGATGACATGAACGTCCGGGTTGCCCTGTCGTGTTCAATCAGCATTCCGGATTCACGCGCGAAGCGCGAGAACATCGCAGCGAGGCGATGGACTGAAGCAACGAGGTAGGCCAGAAGACGCTTCCGGTACGCCGCACTCGACATCGCGTCTCGGCCACAGATCCACATTCTCGGCCCCGGTCGTGCCCGGAAGAAACAATGCATACCTCGGTCTCGACGATACTGCTCAGCCCGCCCTTGCCGACCGAGAGGAAAACATGCGGCTGGCTCGCGGCGCGGCACGCGTCAATCGCGATGTTCACCGTGCCGTCCGTCGAGTTCTTGAACCCGGTCGGCATCGACAGCGCGGACGTGAGCTCGCGGTGGACCTGGCTCTCGGTCGTGCGCGCGCCGATCGCGCCCCAGGAGACGAGGTCGGCCGTGTACTGTGGCGAGATCGTGTCGAGGAACTCGCACCCGGCGGGGAGGCCCATCTTGGCGATATCGAGCAGGAGCGTGCGCGCGATCCGGAGGCCCTTGTTGATCTGGAAGCTCCCGTTCATCTCGGGGTCGTTAATGAGGCCTTTCCAGCCGACGGTGGTGCGCGGCTTCTCGAAGTAGACGCGCATGATGATGTGCAGCTCGTCTTTTGCGGCCTCGGCATAGTCGCGGAGGAGGCGCGCGTATTCGCGCGCGGACTCGGGGTTGTTCACCGAGCATGGGCTGCGATGCGTGAGCCGCGCGATGGGTGGGGGCACAAAGGTCAATAACGTACCCGACAACAACGAGGAGGCGGTCATCGCGCGAGTGGAGGATGTTCTCGGTGTGCTTACGACCCTCCAAGACAGTCTCAGCGGCAGCGAGGGTGCTGCAGGATGTTCAGAGGGCGCGTAGGGCGAAGATTCGCATGACTCACAGAGGCAGATCTTCCTGGAGGATGGCAGGAGGGATGAGCGGCCTGGTCGCCTTCACGCGGCGATCGTCGAGCTGCGAGAGGGCGTCGCGAACAGTCACAGTCATCTCAGGCACTAGAGAGTTGGAAGGAGTTGGCGGAGGAGGATTCGAGGGGGAGGGAGTCGTGGTCAACAAGAGGCCTGTGCGTGAACATTTTATACGTACTGTTGGGAGTCTACGCACTGTTGGGAGTCGGGTCAGGGTCAAGGGAAAAGCTGATGTCGAGAAGGATGGCGAGATCGCAATTTTGGCGAGCGCGACGAGCCCGGGCACCGCGTCATCGGAAGCGCCCATGTCCCAGATCCCGCATTCCGACCAGTCAGGAACGCCGAGCAACAGCCCACGTTGGTTCGACAAAACTTGTGGCCGCGTACAGCCCATTTGCTGTATCAGGATTTAATATTCAATGGTGGTTTGCTGAGCAAGTACTGGTACTGCCTAGCACAGCGGCGTGCACGATGTGGATTCATCGGCGGCGGGTGGACTGCGGAGTGGTTGGCATGCAGTATGCACGTACCATAGAATATCAGCAAGTCTGCGTGGTCGACCAAGGGGGCTATGAGTAGTAATATCGAGTGTACGTGAATTCGAAGAGTGCCGATCATCCCAGCACGTTCTTGGGAGCATTCTTTCAGAAGATCGGACTGGTATCTGCATATCGCATCGCCTATGGATAAACGGCGGGTCCACATGACAATGAAGTCCAGTGGGAAGAACCCTCGTAAGATGCCGTTAAGAAGCCGGCGGCATTAATGAACCCGGTCACAATGCAGGTTTCCGAGTTTTATGGGTAGCTTTGCTCAAGTTGCATTCGAATAAAATCAGATGGTTCCATCTCATTTCTGGCACTCATTTATTTCGAGCATGCAGAGCTCTGCACATTGACATCGAGAGGTGCTTTACTCAAAACGATTGGCCGAACAAGCGCTTCTTCCCTTGCGTTTGGTAGCGGCCAGACTCGGAGAAAGCCGAGCCTCGCTGTCACTGCGCCGGCCTGACGCTTTGCCTCTCCGGCTTGCCCGCTCACCCCATCCTCCACGCCCACCTCATCCTCACTTCCCTGCCCTTCCCGTAGCCATGGACTTTTCTTCCCTCAACTCTGCCGAGCAGGCGCACATGACGCGCGTTATCGAGCGCAAGCAGGTGTGTATGCGCGCCGCGCGAGTTCGAGGAGCACGCACCAAACCCCGCGCTGACGTTCGCGTGCGTTGCAGATGCAAGACTTCATGCGCCTCTACAACAACCTGGTGGACCGCTGCTTCAACGCATGCGTGAACGACTTCACGAGCAAGGCGCTCTCGTCAAAAGAGGTATGTCTTCTTCGTCGCTCCTCGTGTGTCTGTGATCGACGGACGTCATCACTGCAGGAACAATGCGTCCTCAACTGCACGGACAAGTTCTTCAAGCACTCGGAGCGGGTGGGGCTGCGGTTTGCGGAGCAGAACTCCGGTGAGTGTTCGTGATCGCCACCACACAGTACGCGTTCTTACAGAGCCTCTTCTTCACAGAGATAATGGGACAAGGCGGGAGCTCTTAAGCACCGTTGGCCTCGAGGACTCTTTTTCATGTAGCATACGCCCGCACGTAATTTCGCGCTTCATATAATACATCCCTCACCCCACGTACCCTCGTATGCCCTCAAGTCACCTTCCCGTTATCGCCGCCACGAAGGAGGGCCGCTGACGTATGCATTCTCTTTGTGGCATTCCCACACCAGAGCCCGAGACGCTGCGTCGCTTCCGAAAGTCAAGCTTGTGCTCAAGTATGCCAAGTATGGGCGAGACGTTAAAGGGTCATCAGAAGGCATGGATGCTACCTTGAATTCGAATGGAGCTTCTTTTGATACCCCAACAGTCGCAGGACACAATGACAATATACCAGACACCCTGCTGAACGGAGTTTCCACTGAAGGCCGACGAGCCTTCTCTTACATGAGGCACCGCCATTACGTTGAGCACTCTTTTTTTAAAGGCTTTGTTATTCGTTCCCCAAAGACCGATGGTGTGCTGAGCGCGTGAATGTACGCGGTCATTTCACCACTCGCTTCTGCCAAAAGAGTGTACCCATGAGCCCGCTGCGAACCCCGTCGCCAAGGAGGCTTGCATAGTGGGCCATGGCGTAGCGAACCCTGTCTGGTTCACTTGAGTATCTTTTGAGAAGCCTTCTGTGACACGAATGCACTCTTGTCCGCTTTGTGGGAACGGGCGGGACATAGGTTTGGGCCTGTCAGCCCTTGATGCAGAAGCTCATGCATGACAACTCCGCCGCTGGTCGGACTCTTGACGAGCCACTCCGGCTTGTGGCCGTCCGCGAGGCGTGGGATCACCATTTTTCGTGAGCGACACCTCCAGGGCCTCGCGCTCCCGTGGTGAAGTAGGGAAGTGCGGCTCAATTACCATCGCCAAAGTCCATCTAGTGTCTGCTGCGTGTAGGGCCCGTGTCCACGTCTTGACACGTTCTGAGGCCGGAGGCTGAGAGGGGAGCAGGGGACGGCTTCCCGGGGGTACAAGCTGCGGGGGCTCGCGCCGAGTCAAAGGCTCGGCGCTGCTCTCAATGGGTTCTCCGGGCCCGGCGTGCCCATATCAGCGGCAGGCTGTGGGGACGATGTCAACGGTGCATGAGCATGGCCACCCTCAGGGCTCACAGAGGTGCGCGTGCTTGGTCTTCTCGACTTAACCGAACCCGAACCATCTGGTCTTGCCGCACCCGAATAGAGCTTGACCTGCACCTGGTTGTCCACGGACATGCGGGTTGTGAGCGAATTGGTCCTGGCAATGAGAGGCCGCGGCATACCCCGCTCACACTGGCGGAGTCTTCGATGTCGACGACGTCGCCCACGTGGCTCTCGGTGCCGTCTAGGAAGCGTGCTAGTGTAGGTGGTCAAGCAGGCGTTTGGGGAGTGTGGAAGGGGAGATGGAAACGCTACATACCTTGAGGTGTCCGGGGAGCATCGGTATCTTGGGCAGAAGGAGAGGAGAGGCTGGGCAGTCGGCTCTTGTCCAGACAATGATTTATATTGTCCTGCTCTACCGCATACCTCCGAAGCACAGAGTGCCTTGAGGCCGTGTTCCTTGAGACAACATCAACCGTTTCTGGCCAGTATGCGGGGTTCTGCGGGACCCACAGACCTTCGACATGAGTCGGGGATTGCAGTGCGTCACACGCCTAGTCATCAAACAGTCCGTTTGGGAAGGTGCTCTGTGTCATGCGCAGCTCGAAAATTTGAGTAGGGCTTACAACATACAAGGGTCTCGATTATGATGTACAGATCAGACATATAGCTCCCTATTTCCAAGGTTGAGGATAGAGGGCGGGAAAGCGGAGTAGTCAGGCGGTATCAACAAATCGCGTGGATATGTAGCAGCCACAATCTTCGCCAATTGCCTCTGCGCGTCAGATGCCGTGAGGCGTAAAGAGAGTTTGGGATCGCGCATGCGCTCGAGAACCTCATCGATCGAGTGGATCGTCGACTGGCAATCTCAGTATGAGCCTTGGACAGCAAAGCCCGGGGGTGGAATCACACCTTGAAATCAACGAAGCTTTTGCCCAGCTGCCACACGTCCAGCTTGTAAGGACAGTACGGCTCGCCAGTCAACACTTCCGGAGAGACTCGGCCGTTGAAGTCCGTGGTCATGGGGACAGTGCCCCCGTGAGACGCACCGACGCAAAGGTGTTTCTCTCGAGGCAAGTCCGCGAAACCGACTGCAACCTCGAAGTCGAGGAGAAAAACTCGGGGTCGAGTTGTGCGCAGAGGCTCTTTCACTAGCGAATGTGGGTAATACTGGAGGAGAAAGTTCTCCTTGTATGCGTCCTGCCGTACGCGTAAATGAGAGCGGGTCGGATGGAGACGCTTAAGCACTGCTTACCCTGTGAGCTATATTCTCCCCGTGAATATAATCAAGGGCCTGCGGTTGATGACAGCATGAAGGCGCGAAACGGTCCAGTCAAAGGCCTTCGTACCTCTAGGCACTGCATAAGGATGTCCAGTATATCGCCGACGGAGTTCTTGCGGATGGGCCAGAACAGCTGTCGAAGGTCCTGGCCGACCTTCGGAAAGACTCCAAATGTGATATCGTCGAAGTGGATGACCTCAAGGAGCGGTAGCGCATGGTTTCTACTCGCAGTCGCATGGTATGTCGACGCTATGAACTCGAGTATAGAAACGTGTGTCCGTCCCTCGTCGCCCACGGCGAGAACGCGTAGAACGACGGCGCGACCATCCGCAGTGTTAGCCGCATGGACTGCGTGAGTCTGCGCTAGGCGAGTGAAGCTTTGACCAAATGAGAGGAAACAAAACGACGTACGGGGTAGTCAAAGTGGTGCAGGTCGTCGAAGCCGCTGTCCTCGTCAAAGCCTTCATGAGCGGGAGCGTATCCAAACCCGTGCATGCTCACGACGCCAGGCCAGTCCTGACAGAATATTCTGGGCGCGCGGGTCCAGAAGGTGTAGCCGCGTGACTGAAAGAAGTCGCTGAGACGGTCCCAGACCGCGGCATTGACATTCCCCTCCTTGTCCAGTGGGCTACGCCACGAAAGGAGGTCAGGAGGGAGCTGTTGACGAGCACCTGAGTCCGGACCCACGCGTATAGGTAGACAGGGAGCATACTTACTTGTGCTCGTATTGCCGAACGAGTGTTTTCATATTTCGCCTTTTGGTGGGCACGCACGGTGAGATACACTGACGAGCAAAGCACGCCGGTGAAGGCGACACAGCCAGAGATGACAACAGAAGAGTGGGGGGCTTTTGCGACGAAGGCCATAGCGGTGCTATGGGCGCAAGGGACAAGGACAGACCCTGATATCGCCGCCCGCACAATAAGCACTTCGTAGCTCCGTCGTAAACTGGTCGGAAAAGCCCGCGAGGCCTTGTTGATAAGAGAAAGGCAGCGACTCGGCCGACATCAGCTTCTCTTGCACCAAATGCGCCAGAGTAAAAGGCGGTTCGAGAACGGCTGATGGGCACCTTGTATTCTGAAAGTGCTCATTAGCAGGCAACTGCGCAAATACACATCCCTCGGCCGGCTGCAGAAGAAATGTGGGCGTCCAGGGAATCTCAGCAACGGTTTCCCACACTGCCCTTACCGCGGTGCCAGTAAATATCGCGCAGAGACCTGTGAAGGACTGTAAGTGTAATGGGCAGCGAGACACGGCTTGATCGACCCGGATTGTTCGATCGTGAAAGCCGCTACCGCGCGCGCAAGGTGTGATCCAAGTTCGCAAGCGTCAAAGGCCTGTTTTCAGATTGAACGCCCGGCTCCCAGAAGTGGTCCGAGTCACAAATTCGCAATGACTGCAAATTCTCCTCTGGTAAAGCTAGTGGGTATCACCAGAACGACATCCATTACGGGATTACAGGGGGTGGTATGTAATGTATTAATCAAAAAATGGCCGAAAGAATCAGAGCACGTCAAACGAACCAAGCATGGCGACGTCCCGCCGCACTCGCATGCATAACGCGCCGATAAACAAACAGACCATGCGGGGGTATGAATGGTGGAATCACGTCGCAGACTCACGCCTGGACGGCCTCAGCGGCTTTGCCCAGTTCGCCGATCGCCTCACCCTCCGGAACGGCGGCGATGGTCGGGGCGGCAGCGGAGGCATCGGGTTCAGCAGTAGGCTCCGCAGCCTTCTTCTCCTCGGCCTCGAGCTTGTCGAGCCACTTGGAAATGAACTTGACATGCGCGCTGTAGTTCAAGGTGGTGTCGTGGGCATCCCTGAAGGATACCGAGTGCGTGAGCTCGCATTTACAATCAGGAGGTCCAAGTTTATGCCTACCTGACGACGCCCTTGGAGTCGATGATGAATGTCACGCGCGCGGTCTCGACGAGGCCGAAAAGGCCCTTTCCGACGCTGTAGGCCTTCCGCACCTCGCCCTTCTCGTCGCTGAGAACAGGGTACTAGAGCGGGGATCAGGTGGGCTCGGGAGAAGCACATATCAAGCGGCATACCGTCAGCTTCTGCTTCTCCACGAAGGTCTTCTGCGCGTCAACCGAGTCAGAGCTGATCCCCACGACTTCGATGTTGGACCGCTTGAACAGGTCTTTGTCTGTCCCCACGGGCGCATGTAGCTTCGACCACGAGCGCAGAGCGGAGATGACTCACCTGCGAGCGCGTCACGGAACTGGCAGGCCTCCTTGGTGCAGCCGTAGGAGCCTGTATGGCCGTTGTGAGCCACTTAAACGCGTCGCCAGCATGAGAGGACATGCGTACCAGACTTGGGGTAGAAGAAGAGCGCAATGGGCTTGCCGCTTGGGGCGAGCGTGTACGTTTCGCCCTTGGAGTCCGGGAGCGAGAACGTGGGGCAGGCTTGCCGACAAGAGCGTGGACCATTGTGTGGTGTGAGGGGGAGAGCGTCGTGAGGGGTCGTCAGAGTGGGGAGGAGGGTGCGGTTGCACGAACACAAAGACTCGGGGGGTTCGCGAAGGGCTGGGAAGCCGCTTCGGGCGCGGTCGTTGGCTTTATATGCGAGTGCGGCTAGGCGAGCCCCGGGAAGCTTCGAAGGGTGCTCTAGATCGCGCGCGGGCCGCGTTGGGTGCGCATGGTCGGCTGCATGCGGGATTTGTGAAGAAGAGCACGGGTCGCTTGGTGATGGACGCGGTTCTCGAGCGCGCCTGGGCGAAGCTGGAGGGGCAAAGGGTCTTTGAGCCATGCATCGCGCGGGGGATTGTGCAGAGGTTCGCGGAACAAGCGTGGCGGAGATCCTCACGGCGCGCGTCATCGCACGAGACTGGTCGCGCGCGTGGGGACTGCAGGCAATTGCCGACGCTGCCTGCCATCGCTTCTGCCGGTGACGTCCTCGCGTACCCGACAATCCTCCCGGCACGCGCGTCCGTATTCTCCTCTGCCCCAATGCGGACGCTCTCCGAGACTCTGAGACCAAGACCGAGCGAATGCCCAAGCGCGGTGTGCGGTGCACCGCCTATGCCACGCTATGGGCTCCTGGTTCCCATCGCGAACAGGTGACCGACGCACCCCCTCCGGCAGATCAGTCCGCTCGGCGACCTCTGGCCCGGTTCGTCGCCGCTGCGCCCGCGGTACATAACACAGGCCGTCTCACCCTGCGTCCCTCCCTTTGCTCTCTCCTCTTCTCGCCATCGGAGATGCACTACACCTCCCTCTACTCCCCGCCGCCCCCCACGCCCGTCGTGAACCTCCACGACTTCGTCTTCGATTCTCCCGCTTACAACGAGCCGGACAAGGTCATCTTTATCGAGCCCCTCGCAGGCCGCCAGTGGTACAGGGATGAGGTCAGGCAGCGCATCAACGAGGGCGCGACCGCCCTTGTCACCCCGGAGGCAGACGGAGGCTTCGGGCTGTCCCCAGACGGTGAGCTCGTCGCGGTGATGAGCACAAACTGCGTGGTCAGTACCCTCCTCTCCTCTCCACCTCCAACGCCCAGGGCGCAGACCCAGCTCTAGTGCCTGCGGGGCCCCACACGGGGCGCACTCTAGCGTAGTGTATGTCCCGGTCCGATATCGGAGACCACCGCCCCGGGCGTCCCGCTCACCGTTGCCAATGCAAACGACACAACCGGTGCTGTGCCTTGCGGTGGCTTCGAACGCTAGTCTGTGCCCGATATGACAAGTGGTCGGAACGAGCACCAGTTCTGACCGCTCAATTTACAGGAATACATCCTCCTCGCCCATGCGCTCTTCAAGACCACCAACCCCCTCGTCCTCATCCCGTCCGGTGCGACCGCGTTCGAGCTCGAGCACTTCCTCAGCGTATCCACCGCAACTCGACTTTTCGTGCATGCGAGCCTCCTCCCCATCGCGCTCACCGTCACCAAGAAGCTCGGGTTCCCGGACAGTCGGATCTATGTTCTCTCAGGCGACCCACAAAGTGGGCGTCGGGATCTGATGTCCGCGATGGATGAAATCCGGAGACGCAATATTCCTCACGTCCCGTCAAAGCCGGTCAAGGACGACACACTGCTCTACTTGGTGTTTTCGAGCGGCACGAGCGGTCTTCCGAAAGGTGCGTTCTTAAAACTTTCCCGGAGAACCGGCGCGGCCTTACGCATCCCATGCAGCCGTAATGCTTTCCCACAAAAATACGATCGCGAGCATGGTGGAGGTCGCTCATGCGGCCGCGGGTGATGATCCGCATCCGTTCTTCGAGGTGACTCTCACGGCGCTGAAGGATGTTCTTGCCGCTAAGAGCTCCAATGCAGAAAAACCCACCGATTGGCCTCGGGTTCCTGCCTATCTACCACACCTACGGGCTGCATTTTATTTGCATTCGTCCCGTCTGGACGGCGACGGCCGTCATCCTCATCCCTCGCTGGAATGCCGACCTCGTCCTCGACCTCATTCCAAAGTGTGTACTTGTCTTTCTTGTGCGCTGCGCCACCGAACTCAGCTCTTATGTCACGGTCAGATACCGCATCAACGTCGTCCCCTTCACGCCTCCCGCGATCCTCCAGCTCGTCAACCATAGACGGATCCGCGAAGTCGACCTGAGCTCCTTGGTCTCCATGGGCAGCGGTGCATCCCACCTACCGCCCAAGGTCGCGAACGCATTCACGCGACTCGCCAAGAACGTCGGCCGCGTGAACGAAGGCTTCGGCATGTCCGAATGCGTGAGCCCCGTCCCCATCCTCCCCCTCCGCTTCGCTGACCCGCTCGCGCCCTCCACCAGACGGTCTCCGCGACGCGCGCGTGCCCAGAGAGCAAGTTCGGCGGGCCGCGGCCCGGCAGCACCGGGGTCCTCCTCCCGGGCGTCGAGGCACGCATCGTGCGCGACGACGGCACGCTCGCGGGCGCGGACGAGCCCGGCGAGCTCTGGCTCCGCGGGGACATCATCGCGCTCGGCTACTGGCGGAACCCGAAGGCGACCGCGGAGACGTTCGTCGACGGCTGGCTGCGCACCGGCGACCGCTTCCGCGTCGACCGCGACCAGCACTTCTTGTGAGTCCCGCCTTGTCCCCTTCCTCCGGCGCGCACGCCATCGACGACGACGACGACGACGACGGCGCGACGAGGGAGATCCGAGGCTGACGCAACCGCACCCCCCGACCGCAGCTTCGTCGAGCGCATCAAGGACGTCCTCAAGGTCTCCGGCCAGCAGGTCTCCCCCACTGAGCTCGAGAATGTCCTCCTCGCGTGCCCGGACCGGCTCGTCGCCGATGTCGCTGTCGCGGGCGTGCACGCGCCCGGCACGCGCCTCGCGGACGAGCGCGTGCCCCGCGCGTGGGTCGTCCTCAGCGACGCGGGCAGCCGCCGCGGCGCGGACGCCGCCGTGCGCGCGCTCGACGCGTGGATCCGGACCAGCCTGAGCAAGTTCAAGTGGCTCCGCGGCGGGATCGCGGTCGTCGACGAGGTGCGTGTTTGCTTCTGCTGCTGCGCGGGGGTGGGCCAGGCGCTGGGGCTCACGGTCGTTTGCGACGCAGATCCCGAAGAACCCGACGGGGAAGGTGTTGCGCCGGGTGCTGGTGCAGCAGTACGAGGAGCAGCTTAAGACGGCTCCTCAGGCGAAGCTGTGAGCGTCGAGCGATGAGGGTTTGGCACGCGGTATAGATGCATATGTCACCGATACATCTACGCTCCTGATATCCTTAACACCCTTACATATCTGCACCTGTATGTCGTACGTATGTACTTGTAGAGGGCCTGGGTACGGTTCACCGCCGAAGAGTAAGAGGGCGCGCAATGTTTATAAAAACATGGTGTCGCCCTCCGGGTTATCCTTATTCGTCGTTGGAATATATTCCAGCTTCCAAAAGTACAACGCAACTTGCGTGGATGGTCACTAGTGCTGTCCGTCCGAAATGCGCATGGTAGCGATAAGCAATAGCAATGGTAACGATCCTACAAAGCTACACTCTACGACCGTTCAATCATCCCCGTCCAGTCAAACTGGTCGTACTTCTTCTTGAACTTCTTCACCCGCTCCTTGTTCTGGTGGAAGTCGATCTTGCGCGGCCGCTCCACCGGCGCGGCTCGACGTCGAGGATATTGCCGATGATCTCCGCGGCGAACCACCTGCACAGCACGTCACAATCAGCATCCTCTCGGCTTCCCTTCTGGAGCGACGGAGTACGCACCGGGGAAATCGCCGCCGCCCTTCTCGCCCTCGTCGACGTCGTCGTCGCCGTGGCCGGACACCTCGCTCGTGCCCTCGATGACGTGCCCGTACCCCTTCTCGCCCTTGTAGTCGAACTGGACCATGAAGTACGGCAGGTTGGGCACCATCGCGCGGCGGAAGCCTCCCGGCCGCGCGGAGAAGTCGATGAGCTTCTTGTGCTGCGACCACTCCGCTTCGGACATGAGGATGGACTCCTGCGCTCTGCGCGTCAGTGAGAGGGGGGTGGCGCACCGCGCGGTGACAGACCTTGAAGTACCCTGGGATCTGCTCGAACTGCTCCCAGGGAGGGGCACGCATTCGATGAACGTATGCTTTTGTGCCTTGATTGACAAAAGCGTCTCATAGAAGACGACGCCCTTGTCCTCTTCTGTGAACATTTTCATGAGGCATTTCATGAAGTTCTGGATACAACAGCATAGAACGGGCAGGCGAGAATAGAAGACACGCACCCGAACTTCGTCCCACATGTCGTCGTCTCCCTCGAGAGCGACAAATGGTGCGCTATGGGTACGATGAGACAGTGCCCGCGTGAGCTCTTCGTTGAGAGTACACGAGAGGTAGGCGCGAGTGCCCATTGCAACAATGGGGGCTTTTGGTAACGAGTCGTCTTCTCCATAACAGAACGGGCACGTCGCAAGGACCTTCATAGTCTTCTTGTAGTCTAAGCAGGCCTCAATGATCAGCTGAGACAGCGAAACCGAAAAAGCTCACCATTGATGGCGAACTGCCGCTTCATATGGTCAGCGCGCATCTTCTTCCTGGCGAGCTTGTCCGCGTTTTCGTCGAGGTAGTCTTCATTATTCTATGTGAACTACGTCAGACACTACTGCTTTCGTTAAGCATGCATTCGCACCTGGAATCCTCCATCTGTCATGATTTGACGGGCGAATTGTGTGTCGAGGTCCTTCTGGTCGGCCATGCCTCCGCCAAACTTCTCTTGCCTGAGCATCTCCCCAAGGGTGATGGTGTCGTCGTCTGCATCCGCGCGGACCATCTCACCAGTCTTCGGATCTCGCTGTTCGACCTGCGCTACCGTCAGCAAGTCTCGGTGGAGTCATGGACTGAACTCGATCCTCACCGTGGCCTTTGGTCTGCGGTTACCTGGGAGATTTGCCGGAGCGTCATTCTTCCCTTGACCAACATCGTACATTCGCCCGTGGACGTCCAGAGTTGGCATCACCTCCACCCTGGTCCGCACGTTATCCTCGCCGGCGTCCTCCCCATTCGCCCTCTTCAGCTCCCTCTCGTACTCCTTTTCCAACTCCCCTGCGTTCGCCGCGCCCATGAGCTTCGCGCGCAGCACCTTCGCCTGCATCTTGTTCAGCGACGACGGCGACATCGCGCGACCCACTGGCCCCGGCCTCGCCCCGCCCAGCGACGGGGTCATCGCGCTCGGGATCGGCGTATGCGCCTGCGCGAGCGGCGTGCCCGTGCGCGGCGCCGCCTTCCCCCTTCTTCCCCCGTCAGACAGCCCCGGGGTCGCGGGCGCGCTCCGGTCGAGGTCTGGCCGGCGGAACGACGAGCTGCGGCTCGTCCCGCCGCTCGGCGTGGACATGTCCGTGAACACCATCCGCCGCTCGCCGCCGCCGGGGGGCGGCCCTGGCCCTTGCCCTTGGAGTCGCCACCGCGCGACGCGCGGCGGCCCTCGCGCTCGTCGAGGATGCGCCGCTCCTCCTTGGCCTCCTCGAACGCCTCGAGGGAGCCGAACCGCTCGAGCGCGACCTCCTCGATGGGTTTGCCCTCCTCGTCCGCGGTCTCGTACGCGCGCCGGAGCTTCATCATGCGCCATTGGGAGCCGGGGCCGCCGGCGACGACGGCCTTACGTGGCGCGTCGGGGAGGTCGTCGACGCTCTTGCCCTCCTTGAGCGCGGTGTTGAGCTCGTTGTGGCTGATAAACGGCTGGAAAGGCGGCGCAATATGAGAACACGAGAGAAGTGGGGAAGCAGAGCGAAGGGAGGACGCACCTTGTCGGGGACGGGCTGGTTGGGTGGAGGCTTCTTCTTGCGCCCCGTCCCCAGACTAGAGAAGAAGTCCACACCTCCACCGGTTGTTCGCGCGTTGGCGGGGACATCACCATAGCCGTCCATCATGTCGTGTCTTCGTTGTCGGAAGTCTTCTTGAGGAGACGCAACGGGTACGGTGGGGGCCGCAGGTCCATGAGCATCCACTCGTCCCGCTTCAGCGTACTTTCGGTGCGCGTGGGGGGAGGTAGCGAGGGATCATCAGGGGCAGCCTCCGCACGCGACTTCATCTTAAGGTCTTCAGGGAGGGTATGTTTGCGGCGAGAGGCTGCGTGCGCTCGGTGCATGAGACGGGAGGTGCATGCGAGGACGTACGCACGATTTGGCTGTCCATGTCAATGTTCTTCTCTACCCACATGTCCTCGTCCCCGCATCATCGTCGACGATGTGAAGGTGATCTCCGCCGCCGTCCTTGCGGGAGCGTTTACGACTGCCATCCTTCTCAGACTTGTGCTTGCGCTTGCTCTTGTGTTCGCGGTCGTCCCTGTCATGACGGTGTTTGTGCTTTGAAGAGCGTTTTGAGTCATCGCCGCCCATTTGTACCAGAAGAAGTGGCAATGGCAAGTGAAATTGTGGGGTCGCAGCAACAGAGAAGGTGAGGGTGGAGAAGAGCTGAGCGAAGGAGCGCTGTGGCCACCGGCGACTCGAGCGCCTCATGAGGCTTGAGGCTTACACATTGCGTCACAGACCCCAGCCAGTAAAATCATGCGTTACAAAACATCCTACACAAACTCACTCGCATATGCACCACGAGAACTAGCTAGTACATGGACCTCAAGGCTACAAGGTCGTTGAGATGTAATTCGAGCGTGTTCGATTCCACAGCACCAAGCACATGATCCGTGAACGACAACGACAGAGATACATTCGCTTCCACTGAAGCGTCTCGGAATGTCCGGGTCCGCTTCGGCCAGTGCGCGATATGATCTTCAGGACAAGTGTGTCGGGGGATCAAATCTAGATCAACCGGAGCAGAGCCATCGAATGACGGTCGCTCTTGGAGGGCGTTGAGAGCGGGTTTGTTAGAAGGCCAGAAGCGCGCGAACGCGTAGTGCGACATGGCTGGGGAAGCGCGGGGACGCATGGGATGTAGACTTGTGGACCAAAGAAGTTGGTGAGTCTTCCCCTTCTTGAGCGGGTGCATCTCCAATCCCGTGTAAGAGCAACGTCCAAGGGTAACCGTTATTAAGACATCGTGGATGGCGTTGAGGAATATGAGGGTGAGAGGGGGCGTGCCTTGCCATTTTTGCGGCGTCGGGGTCACAAAGACCAACTTGCAACGCATGAGGCGTTCCGCATCCGACAGAGTTGCGGGTCGGATAAAAAAGGGCGATGAGCGGTCACGCTCAAATCGCCGCACCATCTGAAGTGGCGTATCGTCATAGAGCGTGCCTACTCGGTACGTTGGGCGAAGGGGAAGGTAGATGTCTTCCCATGTTTGCCGCCACTTTAGTTGTTGCGCGAGGCGGGGGTCGTCGAGGACAAAGAGGCGACAGGGGGACGAGGCTGGCAGGGGGATATGACAACAGTGGTAGAGGCGCTGTCCTCCGCGCGCCGGGATGTGGTGAAGGTGAAGGAGCATCCAGACGGGCCGTACCGCGCCTTCGCTATATTCCGAGCAAAAGAGGTCCGCCAGAACGTACTCTGAGTCCTCGCCAAGCTTCACCAATGGTAATCGAGCGCGAACGCCATCGGGAGTAAAAACAAAAGTTGGAATGCCAGAACGCGCGATTGAGGAAGCACGCAATGAAGTCTGGAGTACGATGTGAGCTGGCTTAAGAAAAGCATGCCACGCCGACTGACCTCAGGAGTGTCATACACCTTAAACTGGCCGTCAGAGTAGAGCTCAGAGCTTCCAATGAAGCTCTGAAGAGTCTTGGCTGAGAGATAGGGGAAGACTTCGCAGTATATGTCCCGGTGATTGAGAGTAGTGAGTGTGTCTAGATCTTCTAAGCTGGCAAGGGAGGCCTTCTCTCCCCATGCAAACAGAGACGTGTCGGTAGACGACTTCATGATCTCTTCTTGAAGCCGGTAGAAAGCACGGTGGCCTTCACCGTAAAGTGCTGGCATGTTGACCCCAAACAAGCCGAACAAGCAATACGCCTGGTCTTCGGGACGAGTCGTCTTCCGCCTCGCGGCCCATGACAGCCGTGCCGCAACGCTTTTGTCCGTAACGTCTACTTCGAAGCAGAGGACGCCGTAGGGAACGCCGGTGATTTCTTCAAGAGTGCCGGCGAGGTCAAACTTTGTACCCAAAAAGGACCAATCTGCGGCCATGAAGACAACGGTCCTCGGTGCGATGAGCTCTTGGAGGGTCCATCCTCGGGTGTGCCATCGACTGGTGTGGAAGTCGGATGTAGTGTCACTGACGTCACTGTTGGGGCGGACGTCGTGGAGGTACACGAAACAGACGTCAGAGAGGGCATAGTAACGGAACATGGAGTTGATTGCCTCGGTGAGCTCGGTGCTGCTTGTCTTGTCGATGCAGCAGGTGTCGACCCAGGCCCAGTTGTAGCCATGGCGGCGGGCCACAACCAGGAAATTGTGGACCTTGGGAGACAAGAGGAGGAGGCGGTCGAAGAGGAATGGCCCGATTCGCATTTGAGCCATTGACGAGGTAGTTCTTCCCGGGGATCCCGCGTGCGATCGCCTGTCGCTGCAAGTGGGGGGCTGATGGAGAGACTAGCAAAGCGCTGGGTGGCAGAAAGAACGGCCCTGCCAAAACGTGTGGCCAGGTTGGGCAGTGTGATCTTTGAGAGCTCTTGCACTTGCTGGAAAGTGTTCTCTTGCCCGTCTGTTCTCCATACATGGGATAAGATGGCGTATCCTCCGGAACGTGGCCTGGATCCGAAAAAATTTGAGCTCTGCACTCCCAGTGTTGATCAGCCACATGGCCTGCCTATGTAGTAGACCTGTACGAGATACGTGTCAGACCGAATATGTCGAGATAGGGCGTGCACGTTTGCCCGAGGCAAAAGTGCGCAGTCTTGGCTGCGACTAGTACGTGCCTCACCTGAGGAAATGCAAATGGGCTCCCAAAGGTAGCTTGGGTGTCCGGCCAATATGGGGTGAGAGGCAGGGAGTAGTGCGTACGTTGTACATGGGGCACGACAAGTTACAAGATGGGAAGAGTTGGTCACCACGTCAATCCAACGTCGAAACTGTCATGATCCTGATGTCGTGAGCCCGTGTGAGAGCCACGTGCACATACTACCTCCAACAGCTATGGGCGCTACATGCATGATGAGCCCTGGCCGCTGCAGTGCATGCTCAGCTGTGTGCACCATTGCTCAAACGTTCATGTACGAGGGACTAGGTTTGATGAGAACCAACTAACGAGGCCGCTGTGAGCCACCCAAAGTTCATGATTATGATATGCAACGGTACAATACGACGACTAGAACACAACCCTCATTTTTGGCACGACAGGTTCAGAGACAGACTCGCGAACCTATTGAACGACATCCTGCTTCCTTCGACCCATTACGTGCAGCAAATCCTCACTCCGCGACGCTAATGGAGGCCTGCGAGTCGTCCCCCACCCCGAGCTCGCTGGGAGCATACTCAGAGAACTCCGGGGCGGCAGCAATCGACTTCAACATCGGTTGCCTACAAAGCCGTGCGTCAGCTCACACTTCCCGGCTCATCACAGCGGCGCACTCACCATTGCCGTTGTACGCCCCGGGCCCGTCCGTCACCTCGTTGGCGACTTCGACCCCAATGCGCGGCGTGGCGAGCTGCCACTCCGGCACGCTCCCGTTCGTGATCGCGAGCGGCGCCCGCTTCTGGCGGAGCCGCCGCCCACCGTCGCCCTCGCGCGCGCTCGCGCCGTGCCGACGGAGCTCAAAAAGTAGGTCCCCGTCCGCGTTGAAGACCGGGCTCCCGAGCGCGTACGCGCCCGCACCCGCGAGCGGGAAGCAGTACTGCCACGCGCCCTCGAACGCGCGCATCTCGCGTACGAGCCCGTCGAGGTCGACCTTAGGCGGGAACGCCTCGGTGAGGAGCTGGCCGGGTCCGCGAGCGTCGCGGACCGCGCGAGCTCGGCGAATGGGACGACGTCGGGCCCGATCGCGTAGGTGGCCGGGGTGAAGACAGGGTCGTGCGAGCCGACGGTGTCGACCTTGATGGTGTTCCCGAGCGTATGGACGGTGACGTGCGTCGACCAGCTGACGGACGCGCGGGCGCTGTGGAGGGTGGGAGTGATGAGCAAAGTGGGAGCGGGGAGAGAGACGCGGACATACGTGTAGTCCTCGTGTTCTGCAGCGAGACACTGAGCTCAACCTCGCCGCCGATCTTGATGCTCAGAGCGCCTTGCTGACGGCGGTGGGAGCTCCACATAGTTGCGCGTAACGCCTGGGAAGTCCCATTAACATCCTGCGTCAACAGGCCGGGCACAAACTCACAAGATACGCCGCGCGAGGTGTTCGTCGGGTTCGCGTTGCCGCGCGAGTCGTACTGCCAGCGCTCGTTGTGCTGCCAGAGGTACTGGAGCGTGCCGTCGTCCGCCAGAGGCTGGATGACCCACTCGCCGGCCACTTCTTGCGCTGCTCGTGGCGAGCCCAGGGAACGAGCTGGAGCCCGCGGAACTCGGGCTGCTCGAGCGCATCCGCGCGCTGGGGACGAGCGTGGTGAGCACGTTGACGCGAGCAAGGAGCGTGAGCACGCGCTCGTCCATGAACACGCGCCGCGCGATGCTCAGCGTCCCGTGCGAGAAGCTGCGCGCGGCCTCAGCGTGCACCACCCAGTACGCGGACCAGTCGAGGTGGTGTGCGGGCGGAGGGCGGTGCGCGGTCATGCCGAAGATGACGAGCACAGGCTCGTGCCCGGCCGAGACGTGCGCCCAGTTCTTGCGCGTGACGGGTGTGGATGAGTAGACTTGGAAGTCAACGCTCGTGAGCGCGTAGGAGGAGGGGAGAGTCGCGTCCGCCTTCCAGACGGGGACGCTGGTGAGGACGTGGAAAGCATGCTTGCAGAGGGCCGGGAAGTAGTGTTGAGTGATGTAGTGGATGGCCGCCTGCAGCTTGAGGACAGGAGTGGCGGATCCCCTGCTTGTCATGGGTGAGGTCGGCGAACAGCGAGTAGTCATGGATGTATTCAGCATCTGCAAAGAGCGTGAGTGGCTGAAACGTGATAAGACAGAGATGAAGTTCAAACTTACTGTGGAGGTCGAGACAGACGTGGTAGAGCTCGCAGTCTTCAACGACACCGTGCTTCTGGAAGGCCATGGTGTTCTGGTATGCATCCGAATCAAAGCCCTCCAGCTCGTGTTGCGAGCACTTCTTCAGTGGCACCTCGAAGGCGAGGCGCCACTCCCCGAAAGTAGCGATCGCGTCGGGCTCCAGCGACGGCACCCACTCGCGGAGCGTGGTGAGCGCGCCGCCCTTGAGGTGCACCCACACGATCGCGCGATTGTCGCTGAGAAGGCGGACCGTGAGCGGCTTGAACGTGGCGCTGAAGAACTTGTCGTGCTTCCACTGGCGCAGAATACCTTGGGCGCTCTTGCGAAGTGAGGCGAAATGCGCGTCGAGCGAGCCATGTGAAAGCGCGGCGACCTGGTCGAAGCCGTACATGTGCGTGTGCCGGATCGAGTCGCGCGAGTGGTCCGGAAGGCCGACTTCCCACCCGCCGGAGGGGTGCTCAAGAGGCTTGTGGACCGTCTCCCAGCGGGTGTCGTGGGTGTACAGAATGTCGTAGTGGACGTCCTTCAGGAGGCGGACGTACTCCTTCGTGAAGAATCGCACAAGAAGTTCCGTCTGTTCGGCGCATACCGCATCATCCTCGTCGAGACCGGGGAAGTACGACTTCAAATCATGGTAGCGCGGCTCTAAAAGAGTCAAAAAGGAATTACGTCACACTCCGCGATGATCATTCAGTGAGAACGTACCTTTGTCATAGTCGAGCCGAAGGGTTACAGCGCGACCGTCAGCTGCGTCGGAGTACAAGACATCGACGACTAGAGCAACCCTCCAGTCTTTGAAAGAGTGAGTAACGTTCCTTCATTCAACAGGTCAGTCTGATACAAGCGGAACCTGGTTAATGGACCACACACCCGCTGTGATCGAAACAATCAAGTTCGTCGATGTTGAAGTAAATGATGAGCTCCTTGTCGCAAACGATCTCAACGGTAGGAGGCTCCAATCCCATACGGAAGCGACCGTACGTCCCTTGCCCGTACGACCTCGTGTTGAACTGTGCGAGGAGTCGAAGAGGCCAGTTAACCTTGTCGCCGTTGATGCCGCGATAGGAAAGCATGGACGACTTGAGCCAGATCGAAGTAAGATAGGTGTTGATCTGGTCGACGCTGATTCCTCGGATGGAGTGTGGAAGAAAGCCTAGGGAGGTTCAAGAGAGCGTAGTCGGTGATCATCATCGGGCTGTAAGGACCAAACTTGGGAGGGGAGAAGAGAACATGGTTGCCAGCTTCCTGGAGCAATTGAAGATAGCCCGCGAGGAAACGCGTGAGCTGGACGCTCCCGAATGAAACATGCGGCAGGTAGAAAGAGAACCGAGTCTAGAAAAGAAAATATGTTAGCAAGATCAAAAGGTGATCGATTGGACGAGCACCACTTTTGAAGTCGAGGATCAGGAGGTTGATCGTGCTCTCATATTCACTGATGAGAAGGTTGTTCCCATAGATAGAGCGGCTCTCGAAGGGAATGCGATAAGTACCCGTAGAGGACCGGGGTACGGCGTCGAGTCACTGCTGACCGTATGAGCAGGGATCCATATACTGGACTATAATGCGAACTCACCCGCCACAACCAAACGACTTTCATCCAGGGTGAGGTGAAGGACGGCGTCATGGCTACAGATGAACTCCAGGACGGGCTTGCCAAAAGTGGCGTGGAAAGCGACATCGAAGGTACCGTCCAGACTAGCAGCGCTATACTTTGCTAGGGCGTAGTTGGGTTCTGGAGATCCTCTGTTAATGCAAGAATGATAGCGATAACAGCACTGGACATACGGTTCTCTAGGCGACGTGACCCACCATGCTCAGCGAGGCAGTGCTTCGCACTGTTGTACAAAGCCTCGAGCTGAGCGTTGAGGTAGTAGAGCGTGTGGTGAGCGCCATTCTCGTCGGAGCACATGATTGAGAAAATTCGGGAGTATGGAGTGCGTTGGGGAGTTTGGGAGAGGGTAGAGAAACAGTGCGCCCTTCGTCGTGTTTATATACCTCCACGAAAGAGCTCGCAAGCGCACCAACCACCGGTAGAATCCTCTTTCGACATGTCCGTTCCTGGTCTGTCCAGGTATTTTTGTCATTTCTGTACCGACATGATGGCAGCCCGGCCAAGAAAACCCCGTACAATTGCAGTCGAGGCCCTTCTATGAGTAAATTGAGACAGCTGTCATAGAGAACTGCACGCGTGCAAATGGACAGCAGGATGTGCGCCGGCGAGCCTTCGTATTCGTTGCCCAAGTTGAGCTTGCGAGAAATTTGGCCCGACGCTCTGTGGCGAAGTGGGGACTCAGCCTAACGGTTGTGAAAACGAAGGAGGTACATACTGGTGTGAGCGTCGGGAATTGAGGGTTGCAGGCTGGTCCAGACCTGATGACAGGGCTACGTACGGATGGGTCGTCGAACAGTGCGCGCCAATTATGGTGGCGGACATCCCATTGCTATTCACAGCTTCACGGTGGGACTGCACCCTCCGCGGCTTCAGTAATGCATCACAGAGTGGTCGGCTTTCCTCTCAGTACACTCTCAGCTTTGCGAGAGCGACTCTATGGTTGACCACGGGATCCTTCGGGCGCAGTAAACCAACGAGCAGCATTCCTGCTGTCTTACGTACCTGGCAGAGGGAATATACAATGGGAGGGCCATCGCAATGTTGACACTAGCTGGCGTCGGCGAGCTTGAATCCGGTCAGGGCCGTCCCGGGTCAAGCGCACACCTGACCACCAACATTCAGCTTTGCAACTCGTTTACTACAACTGCAAGCCTTTCTGTGAAGAAAATACTCACCCTGCAATGGACCCTCTGTCAAGAGAATGGATACGGCATGCATATGCACTGTGTCGCATTCCCAGAGTTTGCACGACGGTGCTTGCGAATGCTTCTCCGGAGTCCACGGGATCTTGGAGCGGACAACACGACGCTCGGACTCGGTCCCGATGGAAACGCTGGGCGGTCTGGACTTGTCCCTAACCCCGCAGTTCGGTTCCTAATTCGGGTGTCTGTTTGATGTTCGCTTAGCAGGTCGAGTTTCATGCTGAAGTTGCACCGAAGACTGCGCGACCGCAAGGGGAAAATCCCGAAGACGTCAAAGGATCTGGTCAGGGACGACAGGCACTGGCAGACTGGCAGCCGCCGTGTTTTTGGAGAACACGCGAGCGAAGGAACTCGGCTCAAGGAGGAGAATGGCGGCGGCCTTTCGCGAGTGAGCGAGTCGGCTTCGAACGTGCGAGTGGTCCGTTGAGGACGGGTTTCGAAGCGCTCGTCCAGTGTCCCCAGTGTCCGCCACCTTCAATGTCCAGACTATCTCGCTGCCTTGCCTTGGCCCGCTCTGTAACAAACAAAAGACATCTCTTGCTTTTACGGCACCAGTCTTTCTTCGTCGCTCTTCTGCCGCGTTCTCCACCAGTACTCCCCGCTTGTCGAGTTCCACTCAGCATGGCAATCTGAGTCGTTCGTATCTCTATGGTATGGGTCATGCGAACTTTACCGCGCCACGAATGGTAGGGGTTGACGGACCATTGTCGCAGTACCATCATCGGTGGAACGCATGCTGGAAAAGTCATTGGCTAGCACCACGGATGTGATCATATACGACCTGGAGGACAGCGTACCACCCTCTCCCGCAGATAAGAAGAACGCAAGAGCCCGGCTTCATCACTTTCTGTCTGTGCGCCAGCTGCATGTGCTTTCAAGAGGATCGTAGGAGCTCATATGTATCCATACAGACGCGCTCAGACAGCCTTCCGTCGCCCGAGCGGATCGCCGTGAGACTGAACTCGAATGCAACAGCGTTTTTCGAGGATGATATCCAGCAAGCGGTGAGTAACTCGTCCTCTTTGCTGTATTTCCCTTTGTTTCAATTGCATTGGGTAGCTCTCCTTTCCGTGCGTGCGCACGCTCGTCCTCCCCAAGATCCACTCCGCGCAAGACCTGCACTATATCTCGGAGCAAATACACGCCGCATCCCAGAGGCACGCCTTCCGAAAGTCGGGATCACCGCCTGTGAGACTCGTAGCGAGCGTCGAGAGCGCACGGGCGATGTACAACCTCGGTGAGATCGCGGCGTGGAAGTCCACTTGGGGACCGGTCACGGGAGGAGAGTTGTCAGCATTACTGGTGTGTCCTTCCCTTAGCATGTTTTGGCTACAGCACGGGAAACTTAGTCACGGCTGGGGCCGGACAGTTCGCGGCGGAAGATTGTGAGTACATGATCGCAGGCTCTGTCAATGCGGGCCACACCGTTGAAGGTTTTAGACTGCGCGGACACGGGCATAATCCGCACCACGTCTCGTCAAGAGCTGCTGTATACTCGTTCTCATGTCGTCGTCACGGCGAAAGCATTCGGGCTCGGTGCAATTGACATGGTGGGGTTCCGCGTTCATGTCAAGCTCGTGATATTGCTTGCTGACATCGCAAAGGTGTGTGTCAACTACAAAGACCTCGACTATCTGCGCGACGAATGCGAAGACGGGCACAGGCTTGGATTTACGGGAAAGGTGTGTCGTAATCTCGTCACCATATAGGCTTGGGACACTGAGGAGAGTGAATTCACAGCAAGCAATCCATCCCACCCAGGTCGAAGTGATCCAGTCCACATTCGTGCCAAGTTCTAAAGGTACGCTCACCGTCTTGAACCAATCACCGTGACCGCTCAGTAGGAATCTCGTAGAAATTCTGCGCGCCGCTCGCATCTTGAAACAAATGGGGAAATCCCATCTACTGAACCGGGGAGCTGCTGGCTTGGAGCTCGAAGGAGGAGGTATGGAGATGATTGACGCACCTATGATCAAGCAGGCATGTGGCTCGGTCTCCTTTCTCGCACGCGAGCTTTATTGACCAAATACACGTACAGGCTGAGAACGTCGTGCGCATCGCCAAGGCCGCCGGCTTGCCCATCCCTGATGTAAAGTGAAGCTGCGATAGCACTCACGCTTACCAGCCACCACATTGTAATTTGACTCTACATTGAGATCTGCTCCGATGGTGGCTGCCATCCCACCATGCGCCCTTGGATTGTCACGTTCTATTTGTTGGAAAGTCCCGGCCAACGTAGCAAAATGTGATACTCGAAAGCCGTTCTATCGGCTCCAAGTACATGTACAATAGCTCCCGCGCCACCTATCATATACGATTGACTCAGAGTTCGCAGCGGGCCATGTCGCACATTCGATAATTTCCACTTCAACACCCGCACCTACTTGACTCCTCACTTCTAGTCATGTGCCTTTTTAGCCATCATCTTCACTGGAATTCAAACATATATTCAATGGAAGCAGACGGTGTAAAACGATAGCATTGGCACAGGGCAAATAACGGTAATACAGAGCTTACACTGTCGACTAAAGCACATACGCTTGCATAATCTACGACTGCGAGCCTGTCGCGCCTTCCAAACGGTTGATCTCAACCTTGATGCGGTCTCGTGCGGGACCCGGAGCGGTATACCCCGCGTACTCGACCATGGCATACATCCACTTGGAGAGGTACGACGGGTTTATCGCGATAGTATCATCCACGATCTACGTCGAGCAAGTCATCAGTCTCGTTATTCTGAGGAAGCAGGAGGCCATGCACACGACACTGACCTTGGAGAAGTGCTTCAGCCGGCAAGGCAGAACGAGCACATCCGGAGCGCACCGCGCCATGCTCGGGTCGCCGCCGCCGTCCACCGGGCATGGCTCCGCGTCGGCATCCTCGTCGTCCGGCTCGGGCGCGAGACTGAGCAGCTCCGCGTGCGTCGCGTCGAGGCTGACTTCGTGCGCGGCCGCGAGCGGGACGGGAAAAAGCGGGTAGAAGCTCCGCTGCTGGAGGATGTGCCGGCAGAGGTTCGCCATCGCGTCCGTCGGAGGCTGGCCTAGGGGGACCTCGGGCGCGTCGAGGGGCTCAACCTCGCCTGCGCGCTTGAAGAGCTCCTCCGTACGGAGGTGGAAGAGGGTGTCGACGCTGCTGGCGGCGATGTGCACACCGTTGAGCGTGAAGCGGGCAGGGTTCGGGAGCATGCGGATGCGCTGTGGATCAAGGGAAATCCAGTCAGCTTACAGTCATTAAGGGAAGGAAGATAGTGACACGTACTGGGTCGTCCGCTAGAGCTGAGTTGAGCTCGGGTTGTGGGAAGACCGCGTGGTCGCTGAGAATATCGCGGACACCAGGCACCAACAACGCAATACTTCCCGGGGAGTCGTCGAGGAATTCGCGTAGCCGAGCAACGAGCACTGTGCGGAACATGTCTTCAGGCGTAGAGTCAACGTCCCCCGCCTTGATCATAGAATGCGTGCTATCAATGAACGGTCCGAGCTGACGACCGTCAGAATCAGTGATCGTTAATTCCTGTATGCACGAAACATCGCTCACCAGGAGGACCACGGCAGGTTTTGTAGCCCTCAAACTGGTTACTAGGTGTTGTAACGGGCGGAATTCTAAATCGGACTCCGCGGTGAACGGTCCACATGCGACACACATAGAGAATTGGGTCTCCCCGCTCTCGGTCTTGACTAGTGAAGGGGGTGCCGGCTCTAGGGGAGGCAGCTGGGTATTCGATCATTAACCACCACACAGGTCTGGAACGTCATACACTCACCGACAGAATTTCTGAAGCAAGAAACGAGCCGCCTCCCCCGTACTTGCCCTTCAGTGCGACAATCGCTCCCGGGAATAGCCCTTGACCTGCGAGTCCCTTCTTGCCCTTTCGCACCTTCAGGTCAGAATCGAAGCGAAGAGGAACCCGCGCGCCTGAACCCATGTATCGCGATGATTGGAGGAGCAGTGACGACTCAGTGAGCTTCCCCGATCCCGACTCGGAATCCTGAGCGATTCGGCCGACTACCACGACGTCTTCCTTCAAGGAAATGAGCGCAAATGGCAAGAAATAGATGTGAATCACGTACATCTGTCACTGCAGATGGGTCACCTAGCTCCGCTATGTTATAGTACTCTTTCACCTGTTCTCCGAAGTAGTCGATCCTATCGTCCAAGACTGCCAGAGGTTTAGTGAGGGCTCTCAAAACAGAGAGTACGTAACCCACCTTCACTTCTTCCCAACGGTTTTTCGTACATGTAATGGTCTGCAGCGCCCCAGAGCTCAGCATGTTCGCGTGACCTCTCAATAAGAAACACTCACAGGATCGCCTTTTCCTCGACTTCTCGTCCATCGCCGGCCCCACGAAGTTCACCCTGCTCGGTCCAGCTACCGGCATCCTCTTCTCCTCGATCCGCGCCACATCAAACCCATCCTGCACTCTCGCCACCGGGATTGGCATCTTCCCCTTCACTGGTGTCCCTATCGGACCCGGGGTCCCAAACGGCGGACGCCCTCCCCGCGCCGCCGCCGTCGGGGGGCCGCCGAAGTTGCGCGACTGGAGCCCGGAGAGCTTTCCGCGCGAGGAGAGCATCTTGTTCACGCCCGCGCGCTTCGCCAGGTCGCGCTGGATCGTCTTGCGGACGTCGTCGAGGTCCTGCACGCTGAACTGGCGGGGGCCGCGGTTGAAGGAGACGGCCTCCCACTTGTAGAAGAGGTCTTCCCCGGACATGTTGTGGTTCTGACAGAGCTTCACGCCTGGACATGCGTCCGTTCGGTTAGCGAGCGATGGGCTGGGTGAGACACGCGAGGCTTACAGTCGTCGACCAGGCTGTCTTCGATGCTGTCTCCGAACCTTTCTGTTACTTGGGAGCGGAGGGTCGCGCTGTCCATGATTGATGGTGCTGAATAGGAGGGGGTGTGCGAGAGTTGTGAGACCGAAGAACAGCGTGAACGCGGGAAGAGGGATCGGGAAGACAAGTACTTCGCGCATCGCGTGACTTGACGCGTTCAGTCACGTACGCGTTACTGTGACCGACGCGTTCTGCGCCGCGACCTTTGACTAATCAGCCTCCCGGACACGAGATATCTAGCACGCGTGAGCCAAAGTAATTGGAACCAGAGATAATGTTGCTTCACTCAAGTCTCCCACACGTAAAAAATAGGGCATCACAGCAAATCCGCACATCGTTTCATCCATATATTACACCGTACAGTTGACAGTACGCGCAGCCGAGGCAGCAAATATGCAGAACTACAAACCACCACTCGCAAGCTGGTGATCCATATGTATCCTCCCGCTGTCGCAGAGTCACCTCGCGTTTGTTCTCCATGGTCTCGATAATCATACAACGCAGGTTGGTCGGTCCGGGTGCAGCTAATGTATACGCTCCAGTACAGCGGGTAGATGATAGGTGATAGGCGGTGGTAGTCGACAGGTTCATTGGGGAACATCGTGGCGGAAGGAAACGTAAATAGACAGGGGCGGCGGACGAGAGCGAAGGCAGTTGGGATGCATGTCAGGTGGCCGGGTCGGCGGGCGTCCGGTGGAATTGAGCTTGTGACTGGGCATGGCAAGATGCGGGGGTGTGGCAGTCATGTGCGGGATATGGAGCGCAGGGCAGGGACAAGTGGATCTATGCAACCTCCGCTGCGGGCTCGTCGGTGGTGATGACCTCCTCGTCTTCGGATGCTTTCTGTTCACCCAAAGGACTTTCTTTCGCAGGCGCCACGGTCCCAGTCGCGCTCGTCGGTGACACAGACAGATTCTGGTGAACCGGAGGTGAGGTAGCGTGGGGGATACTAGAACACAAAAACCGAGGTCAGCGTCCATTTTCATTCCATCAACTGCACAGCGTTCGCCGACGGAAATGCCACGGACGTTCGGTAGTAATGTGAAAAATACTCACTTCTCGGGGTTAGGGATCGCAGTCCCGACGGTGTTCTGGGGAGCTTTGCCAGCCTTGCTCAAAGCGTAATCTCCGGAATCGAAGTATTTACGATCCTGTAAGGATGAAACGGGATGAACACACAACATGAATGAGAGTGCGTGCTAGAGCAATTCCTACCTTCTGCATCTTCGTCAACACATTCTTGTGGGTAGGGAGCTTGCCATAGAGACGGAACAGCTTCTGCTCCTCCTCAGTGAGTTTCTGCATTCAAATGCACATTCGTCAGCCTGATGCTTGCGCGAACATAGAAGGGAGACCATCGGTAGTCATGTATGGTCCGATGGATGGGAAGGGGGTGGACTTCATTGAACGCGGGATTGGAATTGAGACGTACGCTGATGTCGACCTTGTTACGCTGAGCGGGCAACATGACTATTCGGTGGCGGCAAATGCGCAAACGTCGATGGACGGACAAGAAGGGGTGTTGAGGGAGAGACAGAGGAGAGCGAGGCTCTGTCGAGCACGGAGAGTGGAGGCCTTATGGATGGATTCTTTCGCAGAGAGGATGGAGGTCGTGAATGGAGATTCCTTAGCCGCCCGCAGCCAGTCTTCCGCACAGCCGGCGGAGTCTGGCGGAGCCCAAAGCCCTTGTGACGTATGCACCCTTGGGCGGATCGCTCCCGTTGCCACGCTCCATCGAACACTGTTTCCCGGTCAGCTTGGAATGGAGCTGCTGGCACCCTGAAACAGCACTCGCGGAGTCGCGGTTAAACGTGCATGAGGCAGAACACGACCTAAGAGGCTTATTCGCCCCGAAACACCTTTTGCAACATGTACAAAGTGGCTTATTTCATAAACTACACAATAGTAAGCCAGTCCGGCGACTCCGGCCGGTCTCTATCGTGATACAAACTCTCAAGCTCCGCTTGAATATCCACCCCCACTTCGCCGCTCGTCCAGGGCCTTATCGACATCGCGTGCCAAACATCGCGTGCAACGAGGCTGCCCTCGTTTACCTCATGTGCCCCATCGCGTCGCTCCTCCAATCTATCGATAGCCTTCACAGCACCGGCCGAGCTTCCTGAGCGTGCTTCCCCAAACAGTGAGGCGGCGTTTCCGTCGGCGCTCTTGTAAACGTGTGGCTGACAGGGTTCCGGGTAGCTAGAGTCGTGTCGTCAGATGATCCTTGGATTAGCCAGCTGGCGGTGACACCGAGTTCCGGGCCGGATCCAGAGAACCAAGCCCTGTTAGAGTAGCATACTTCCTCGGTGTCGTGGCAGAGAGTATTGCCTGACAAAACCAAGCCTGGTGTCGCGTCGAAAGAGGGCCGATAGAGTGAATCTGAAGGCATGGATGCGGCATAGCGTTCCAGATCGTCGACGTCAGGTTGGAAGTCCTCGGGAGATAAACCTGTAGCAGTTGTGTGTGGTTGTTCCATTAGAGTTTGGTAGAGTGGCTGGTCCGCATCTTGTATGCTGTCTGACGCTGGTTTACCGTGCGCAAGATCTGCATGTGAACTCCAACGGACGAGTTCGATTTCAGGTGAATCGACTGCCTGTTGGAACGGTTATGGTGATACGGGAAACCCAGAAAATCGGCACAAACTACGTACGTGAGGGGTATTGAACGTATCCTCGTTAGCGCCGTAGATAAAACTAGGGCTAGGACTTGGAGCGCATGCGGAATAAACATTGTCGAAGTGCAAGACGAGGTCTTCCCTTGTATCGGATATGGCTAGCAGGTGCATACCACGTTCTCGGCTTTCGCCGACGAAATCCGTCTCGTCGCCGAACTCGACTTCGCTTAAGCCCCGAGCCTCCAGACCGTCAGCCCAGATCTTTCTTTTCGCCGTAGATTCTCCCATGGCCATTCCCAGACCTGCATCAATCAGGTGCAGATTGTCCACACTAGCCCCTGTAGATCTGGCCCCGGGCGCTACCGTGCGAACATGCTTGGAGAATCCTCCAGTGAGCTCAAGACGTTCTTTAAGAGAATTTGGGCGCACCTTGATGCGAGTGGTTTTTGGACTAGCCTTTAGCATCAAGTCCATGGCCTGAGACAGCGTTTCTTGACCGTCCATGACTGGACTAGAGTCGCCGCAGTCAGGGCTCGATGTTGCAAACGCGTCGGCGTCGAGGAGGTTGCGAGCCTCGAGAAGTGTAGCCACAGAAATGGATTCGGCACTTTCGCATTGCCGATGCAGTGCCTGTGAAACAAACGGCGACTTGAGCGGCCGCGTGTGAGGTAGAACCCGGGAGAACGTCACCTTGATGATTCGGCACGACCGTTCCCGAAAAGCGGTGTGCGGGGAACGGTCGATGATCTCCGTAATGCTCAGAGAGACTTTGCTTGATGCGAATTTCTCGGCATCATATCGCTGTGGGGGCTAAGGGAGGGAATCTTCGCGAGGACATGAACGCACTGCTCACCTCGCGCCATGGGCCGAAAATTAATGGATAACGTCTACCAAACCGGTTAGCTCTGAAACAAGTGCGTCGTGCAATGAAGAGACGGCGACTAGACGCCTTCTGGTGAGGGAAACGTGCACTTTCGCCGGTCCAAATACCGATGAAAGGCGTTCAATTGTCGGCCAGAGGGGAAGGAACACACCCACCTGACGAGCTCTAAAGAAGCAAAATTTTCCGTAATGCGATCCAATTCTCTGACAAGGGGCGTGAACGCATAAGGAGAGAAAGGGTCCACCGCAGCCATCATGGCACCTGTAACGCAAAGAGTTGGCACGTGCTGTGCTCAGGAACAAATCCCAGCGAACCTGGCTCTGTGTACCCATTCTTAATGTCGTGACTTGTGGGTATATGCGCCGCATATAGGAGGTGAAGTTCGAGCAGATGGAAGCATGGCGTTCGTCTTTCAAGAATCGGACGATTTGAACGCAGCATGACTAGGTCGGGACAAGTTAGGGTAAGCGCATTTTCCAGATCCGCAGGAGCGGATGTTCTAAAAGGAATTGCGCCTCACGTTTTGCTTCTCCGTCTGCGTCGTCCAGGAATATATTAGAGACGGGCATAACCCCGAGCCATTCACTATTCTGGAGGACAAAGTAAGGTTAGTGCAAAGAAGAGAACGGAGAAAGATGACCGCGGACCCTTTGGAGATATTGCAGAAGATGTTGTGCTACGGCGGAACATCGCATGACACACCCGTCGACATTTTGGTTGCCTTGTGTGCCGGCGATAGAGATGATCAAGTTGGCGTGGAGGATGACGTCGATGTTGCTGGGCGGGTCCTGGACTGCGCGCATCCTGCCCGACGGAGCGGCCACCGAGAGGACATGGTGGGCGGAGAGGGTGATGGCGACGCCACCCTCGCGGTCGCGGAGGGCGGGGGAGGTGGCTATGACGGGCATGGGGACCGCATTAGAAAGGCAGGGCGCGGGCGCGGAAGAGGAGACTTGGAGAGTAAACAGGGCCATGATAAGCATCTTATCTCTCGGAAAGCGACGGTGGCGGTGGGCAAGCAGACCCACACACCGCCCCTCGGCAGCCTGCCCTCGGCGGAAGACACTCGCAGGGTCTCGCTCAGCTGTTCTTCTTCTAGCACGCCCTCGTCTTCAGCAGTCCCGTCTCTCGACATCCCCGCACCCGCGGGCTCTACCCTCATTCCGCCATGGTGCGCCCATCTCGTCCCCATCTCCGCCCTCTCCCCCGCTCACCTCCTCCAGGCGAGCGAGCTGGACCAGAAGATCCAGGATGTCTACCGGCGCATCGAGACCGAGCGCAAGATCCTCGAAGCCTCGAAGCTCATTCGACAGGCCACCAGCAACCCCGATGTCCTCCGCAAGAACGACGCCCAGATCCGTGAGACCGAACGCTCCCTCTCCTATTTCGAAGACACCCTCCGCGAGCTTCACTCCCGCAAGATGATGCAGCAGCGCGACGATCGATCCAGCAGCAGCACTGGCTCTTCGCAAGGCAGCCTTCCCCAGTCCCCCACATGGCCCGAACACCCGACGGTCGTTCCGGTACATCAACCGCATCGGAATACGCTGCCCGCGCGAATCGCTCGCCCGAGATGCATCCATCCGGTGGGCCATCTATGGACGACAACTACGGCATGCCCAAGCCCAAGACATATAGCAATCTCGACCTGATCAAGGCAGACACGCCCCACACTGCCGCCAAGATCTCCCGCATGCTACACCAGCTCGAGTACAAACTTCAGGTCGAAGTGCAGTACAAGAAGGGTATAGACAAGATGGCCAGGTTGTATCTTGCGGATGGCGACAAGAAGTCTCGGCAGGACGCGGAGAGCAAACGCATCGAGTCTGAGCGCAAGATCCAGCTTCTTCAGACGGCGCTCAGGCGGTACAAAACGCTTCACGTCCTAGACGATGTCGTCGAGGAGGACGAAAGTGAGTGTAATCCTGTGTTGCATCACCGCGGCATCCAACGCTGCGTTGTAGCTCCTGGACCTGGACCCGGCCCGGCTGGTCCTGGTGTCGACGGTGAACGCAAAGACAACCTTCGTTCGAAGCCGCTCTCTGGCAAACTCCAAATCACGCTCAAAGGTGCTCGTGAACTCGACCATGCTCCCATTCAAACAACCTTCCGCTCTAGGTCCGCCTCCAAGCAGGTTGAGACGTACGTTTCTTTTCGCGTAGAAGGCACTCAGCTCGAGCGGTCTCACCCCACCAAGACCGACCGCTGGATGGAGAACTTCGAGATCACCGTCGATAAGGCGAACGAAGTCGAGATCGCCGTCTACGACAAGCACGCGAATGACCAGCCCCAGCTCATTGGTCTGTTGTGGGTCAAGATCAATGACTTGGTTGAAGCGCAGCGCAGGCAGAAGGTTTTGATGGAAAGTGGGCAAGGTGGATGGGTGACTGCTGCCGGAGCGATGAACGGCGGTGACCCGTTGGCCGCTGCATCTCAAGGTGGGCCGATGGGTGACATGAATGCTCCTATCCCATTCGGCGACAACCGAGTCGTTCCGCTTGGCGGCCCCATGCCGGGCGGTGCACAGTCAGAAGGTATCGACGCGTGGTTTAGCGTTGAACCAGCTGGAGCCCTTGCATTGCACCTCAACTTCAGTGAGTGTAATCGCTCTCGCTTGCTTGGATATTTGCTCAGAGGATGGTACAGTCAAGGAGAATGTTCGCAAACGGCCTCTCGACGCCCCGAACGGTCTTGGTCGTCAAGGCGCCGTCCGCAAACGCAAGGACGAAGTGCACGAGATGAACGGCCACAAGTTCGTTCAGCGCCAGTTCTACCAGATCATCCTTTGCGCATTCTGCAACGAGTTTTTGCTCAACGCTACCGGCTATCAATGCGAGGACTGCCGATACACCTGTCACAAGAAGTGCTATCAAAACGTCGTTACGAAGTGTATCTCGAAGTCGAATACTGGGGTACGTGGTTTTAGGACTGTCGAGCAAGCGCGATCCTAATAGACTTCCACATACAGGAAGACGACGCCGACAAGATCAACCATCGGATCCCTCACCGCTTCGAGCCCATCAACAACATTGGGGCGAATTGGTGCTGTCACTGCGGCTACATGCTCCCACTGGGTCGCAAGAACGCGAGAAGGTGCACGGAATGCGACCTCACCTGTCACGCGAATTGCGCCCATCTCGTCCCAGACTTCTGCGGTATGTCGATGGAGACCGCCAATATGCTTCTCAAGGAAGCCCGCATGGTATCTGCCCGCAAGGAGGAGCGCAAGGAGGTCGAGAGGCGTCGCCAAACAACTGCGCCCCTGCTCGCCAGTCTCCTCAGCAGCCATATCCCCCTCAGGGCCCTCCAGAAGTCCAACTTCCTATCGACCAGATGGACCAGATGAAGCTTGCCGAGTCCCCTCAGCAGACGATGCCCGACTACGGGTACAGGAAGCCTACCCCTTCTCTCGAACCCGCGCAAGATCCCCGGATGCAGCAAGGCATGCCACCACCTGGAGCTTACCCCCAACAGCCCCAACCAGGCCGCCCACCAGGCGGACGTGGCATGGCCCCGCCGTTCCCCACCGAGCCTCACGCGCCGTTCCCTCCCGGCCGTGTTGGGCCATCACCCGGGTACGATGTACCGCCCGTAGACAACGGGTACCAGATACCCCCACCACCTCCGCAAAAGCAGGCCACCATCCCCGTTCAGCCTGGTCCTGGCATGCCCCCAAGCATGCCGCCAGGTAGACAGCAGACGATGCCCCTGCGCAACAACAGGCGATGCCTGGGCAGCAGCAAGTCGCGCGCCCGCCTGCGGCACGGAAGCGCAAGGTCGGGCTCGACGACTTCAACTTCCTCGCGGTGCTCGGAAAGGGTAACTTCGGTAAAGTCATGTTGGCGGAGGAGAAGAAGACGAACAATCTTTATGCCATCAAGGTGTTGAAGAAGGAGTTCATCATCGATAACGACGAAGTCGAGAGGTGAGTGTTGATCCATGTATTATAGGCTCGGCCCTCTCCGTCAAGCACCGTCCTGCCATACTCCTCGTCGACCCTCTGCAGCACTTTTGCACTTTTCACCTCTAGATGGGACACTGATCGACTGTTACAGCACTCGTTCGGAAAAGCGCGTCTTCATGACGGCTGCCCGCGAACGGCATCCCTTCCTTCTCGGTTGCATTCGTGCTTCCAGACTGAGACGCGCGTGTACTTCGTCATGGAGTACGTATCCGGTGGTGATCTCATGTTGCACATCCAGCGCAAGCAGTTCTCGTTGCGGCAAGCCAAGTTCTACGCGTCAGAAGTGCTGCTTGCCCTTGAGTACTTCCATGCAAACGGAATTATCTACCGGTACGTCACCTTCAACCACATCTGGAGCTTCCTTGACTAACGTAACACGCAGTGACTTGAAGCTGGACAATATCCTGCTGTCTGTGGAGGGACACGTCAAGGTTGCTGATTACGGTCTATGTAAAGAAGACATGTGGTTCGGCTCAACGACGAGCACCTTCTGTGGTACTCCGGAATTCATGGCTCCAGAGGTTCGTCCCATGAGGACGTGCCTCTACGTGATACTGATATATGTTTTCTAGATTCTACTGGAGCAGCGTTACGGCCGTGCTGTCGACTGGTGGGCCTTTGGTGTCCTCATGTACGAGATGTTGCTTGGGCAGTCTCCCTTCCGCGGCGACGACGAGGACGAAATCTTCGATGCTATCCTGGAGGATGAGCCGTTGTACCCTATTACGATGCCTCGCGACGCTGTCTCCGTTCTTCAAAAGGTGGGCCGTAGATGTGTATGTTGCGACGGTATATGCTGATTAGGATTTCCAGCTGCTTACACGCGACCCTGCCCGCCGTCTGGGCTCAGGAAAGGGCGACGCAGAAGAGATCAAGAGGCATCCGTTTTTCAAGGACGTCAACTTCGACGACATTATGAACAAGCGCATCCCCCCTCCTTACTTCCCCACGATCGTGCGTGAAACGTGTTCTATATTCCGTATCTTAAAACTGACCTTCTGCCAGAATGGTACCGCTGATACGAGCAACTTCGATGAAGAATTACGAAGGAGCAACCAACACTCACCCCAGTACACACTCAGCTTTCCGCTCGCGACCAGACCGAGTTCAACGGCTTCTCTTGGGTGGCGAGCTGGGCCGACATCTGAGCGGCAGTGACGACGACGACGACGATTTCCTGTTCACGATACTTATTCCGTTCTTCCTGTTCTGTATCAGTCTCTGTCGCATTAGTACGTCCCCCCGCCCGTCGCAGGCCCCAACCCAACCCGCTGTGATACTTGGATACCTGTTTTGTTGACGACGCCCACAAACGCCAATCCGAAGACCTCCCCGTCATGTATCGCCACGTCTGTCCGGCTTTGTTTTTTCCATCACCACGCTGTTGTAGGCACGACCAGGTATACCGCATATACCAACCGGTGCACCATGCGCGTGCTTCGTCGATTCCTATTGCTACAATACATCTCAAATTCCCGCTCCCTCCGAATTCGCTCGGGTGCATGTAGGCTAGAGCGCACAACTGTTTGTTTCCCGGCTCGAGAGCGCGTGCACAACTCGTCCTACGCGTGCTCTTCTCCGCCCTGCCTCCGGGCCTCGTCATCGATGCCGCGAGGACGTGCCCTCCCGTCCCGGGAGCCCAGCTGCAGGGTCTCCCTCGGCCTCCGCAGCGGCAGCATCGTCGCGCTGGCCGCGCATGAGCTCGTGGAAGCTCTGCCAGAGCGCGGCGATCGTTTCGTACTCGCGCGTCATGCCGAGGACCTCCTCGAGCTTCCGGTTGAGGCCGTTGCTCGACGAGAGCAGCTCCTCGAAACCCTGTGAGAGATGTGCGATCAGGCGCGATCAGGGGAAACGACGCCGCGGTGCGGGCTTACGCTTGATATTTCGGCAGTGAGCCGGTCGCGCTCTTTGTCGAAGAATGTACTGCCGCTCTCTTCGTCCATCGCCATGTCTGGAGAGTGGCGGAAGGCCGAACTTGGCGCCTGTCCGTCGATTGAAGAGAAATTCGCACGGTTAGCACTGCTTGTATGGCATACTAGCCCGACCAACTTTAGTTATGGGTCACGTCCTCGATATCAAGGCCTCAATGGAAACGGTCGCCCGTGCGGAAGAGGGTTGCATTATCCAGCACGATCCTAGTCCGGAAGTAGTAGTAGCTACTATTACAGCATGTAGTCGGGATAAGTCAGATGCGAACGGAAAACACAAATACAGAGCATGGGCTGGACAGACATTCCCAAACGTGAGACTTCAGCGAAGATGATATGCGGCGGGGATAGGGCAGAGCGTAAGGTATGTGCACGCAAACGAACCGGAATAGGGGCGCAGGGCTGCGGGGAAAGGCAGTGCAAGGCAAAAAGGCGGGTGGAGATGGGGTAGCGCGGTGGGGAAGGGAAGAATAGCATAGGGCCACACCTCGGACTCGCCGTCTCTCGTCTATAGGAAGCCACTCTCCTGGAGCAGCCTAGCCATCTTCTCGTCCTCGCGCTCACGCGGCTCCCGCTCGAGAGAAAGGTTCCAAAACTGGTCGCCGTAGTCGACCCCGTCCAGGTAGGACTGGAAGGACTCCTCCAGGTAGGTGAGCACAGACGCCACCGTCTGGAAGTTGTAAGGCTTCGACTGCCAGCGCTTGATGTCCTGGATGACCTCAGCCGCCTTTTGCCGCTTGCGGAAGTTGATCATGTTCCCCGCCACTTGTCTTCTGCTCCATCGTTGATGAACGTGAGCGTGGTTAGATATACACCTGAACAGACAGATTAGATAATGAAAAGCGCGAAGCAATAAACTGCGCACCTATGAAGGGTACACATGGCGGCTGAATCCTCGCGAGGGTCTGGCGGTAGTTGTTGAAGTTCTTGTTGGTATCAATGGTAGATTCGCATGTCTTCAGCTGACCCATGAAACGCGCGTTAACTTGTTCCCATGTCCGCTTGAGTCGACGAATTGGAGGGGTATTCAGACCGGACACGATGGCGGTCATTGTTGAAAAGTTCTGCATGCGCGACACCGCTACAGCACCCCCAGGATCAGCAAGCAGGACGAAGAAAGTTCATGGCAGAACACTCACATCAGCGACATTAATGAACTGCTTCACTATCCGTGCTCGTTTCTGTGAGTCTTCCCTTGCTAGAACAGATTCGGCTACCCAGTTCGCGATCTGTGATGCAATTGTTTAGTGCCATGATAGGCTAGGGAGGACCGTGCACGTACTCTGTTACTCAGCTGGATGATAGTCGTGATGTTGTCTTGATTCTTCCCGGGTTTCGACTCCCGAGAACGCTGCAAGCACTCCATGGGACGAATCTTCTTGTACAGTGCGGCCTCCATGAGCGTCAGTTGACGAGCGAGCTCAAGCGCATCAATGTCAAGCAATTTCAGCTTCTTCGTCGTCTTGGGGAGAATCGGGGCCGGCGGTGCGAGCGGGACGGTGTTCATGGTCTTGATCGGCGCATCACCACCGCGTTGCTATCATAGTACTTTATCAACAAGGGTATCTCGGTGAACCCGAGAAGCACCTACCGCACGCTCGATGAGGATCAGGAGCTGCTTCGCAGCAGCGAAGCTGACGACCTCCTCTTCGGAAGCGAACTCCTTCATGCGACTGAGGATGTACATGTCCTCTTTCTCCAGAATGTCGTCGTCCGTAACCATTGTCCGAAGATGTTGAGCACACTGACCAGTGCGTGAGTGTTCGTATAGGAGTCTAGTTGGAGGTGGCTTACCGCATGCGGATCAGTTGTTGCTTCAGTCGCGTCCACTCCTCAGTTCAGTGGGCTTCAGATTCGGGGGTGACGTGATCCAAAAGCGCTTCGTCAACAGCTCGAACAGTTCGTCGACAGTCATGAACGACTTGAATGTCATCAAGAAGTTCTTATTGAATGAAGTGTCTGAATGCCGTATCCATGAGTCCTTACGCTTGTATGCGGAAACCTAGGAACTCACCGCCAAGCGCCTCATGCGCCGTCAAACGCTCAACAAGAGACATGGCAGTACCGGCTCGTACTTGACCATCAGGGTCGATAAGAATCTCGTTCGGGTCGTAGTTCGGCCGGAGGTACCACGGCTTCTGCTCCGCGTTCAGCTGGCTGATGTAGTGCTGTGGCGTCTCCGGACCGAGAATCTTCATCAGCTTGTTACCCTTGCCCGCGCCGCGCGGCGGCGATTTGCCCACAATGGAACCCACGATCGACCCTATGCGAGAAGTCAGTGGAGCTCATAGCGCGCAATCTGGTAACTTACTGTCGTCGTCGTCCAGGTAAGGAGCACGCTCATCATCCAAAGGATCATCGCCCAGTTCTGGTGACGGAGGCGCAATGAGCGTGTTCTCGACGGAGTCCGTGTACGTTGGCGTCTCGGGTTCCGTGAGGCTATTCGAGCGTGTGCGGTCCGATAGCTCCAATGACGACTGAGACGGTTGGTGAGGATCACTGTAGAACGGAACTTGGGACATGGAGTCTCCGGTAGGTGCCGTGCGTGTAGTGGTGAAGGCGGTGGCCATGTCGACATATTCCTCCTCTTCGTTGTTCGGTATCCGCTCCATCTGTGACGTGAGGGCAGCGATGGATGCTGAAGTGTCCGCCATGTGAATCCGCGACCGCCGCCATTCGATCGACTGGCGGTAGTCGCCTTGGCTAATCGACGCCTGGTCGTGGCCGATAGCGAGGAGGGTCTCGAGCGTCTGCCCGACGAGGACACAGTTGGAGCGGATGATGGGCGCCGCGGCCTCCGCCGAGGCGACGATGGAAGCGCGGTCACGAGGGTCCAGGAGGTCCGCGCGCCCGAGGGCTTGTACGGCGAGGAAGGTCGCCATACCATCATCGTACAACGCTTGCGTCGCCGCCTCCAAGATGCGCATCTGGCCACGAGCCTTGTCCACCATCTGCATGTACTGTGGGGACGTAGACGCAGAGCCAGTCTCGGGATGAACGCCGTCCACGTCTACGTGTTGTGCCACATTAATGCCGCAGAGCATCCGTAAGAGGGCTGAGAGGAAAGCGATGCGTTTTGCCCCTCTATGATTACCCGCTCTAAAGTGTGTCAATGAATTTACGTAAAAAGCCGCCAGGCACGCCACATACCTGAGTGGTTGTCCAAGTACCTGAGCGAGATGACCAGAGAGCCTAATCGCGCCTCCAGCGCTTTCAGACTCCCCTTGAATTCAATCACCACCTCATCGCTCAGGACCCTTCGCGGACCGCTGCTGCCGTCCTCGGGAGCGACGTAGCCGTATCCCTGCCAGTCCGCGGCGATACCTGCTCCAGGTAGCCCGAGTCCAACGTTGATGCTGGAGAAAGCGCCGTAAAGCCGCTTCCCGCCCGTCTTCGACAGCGAGTTCGACAGAGAGTGCTGCTCTTGGAAGAACTGTACTTCTCCGACGAATGCGACCACCGCACGCTCCAGTTCGGCAACATCTGACTCCATCCTATTTGGCTTGTCGGACGACGACAAACCGGGGTCGTACTGCATGGCGAGAGCGGAGAGCACAAGCTTGGACAGTGTTCCGGCGACCTTGCGGTGAGCGGCCTTCAGGTGGGACTGAAGGGTCTGACCGTTGTTGGCTAGCCGTGGATCACGAGGGTCGCGGGGGTAGAGGTGGCTTGGAACATGGCCGCTGGGGGTCGCAGTGACATAGAGGAGGTTGCGTACCGCGGCGACGACCTGCAACACCAGTTGGTCCACTTCCGATACTGCTCCGGTCGACGAGGGTTTGACGAAGCTTTCAGGAACCGGAGAACGGCAGAGATGGATTCCCGCACTTGATTCGAGAGCTCAACTGCGGTCTCGGGAGGTGTTGGGGCCAGTCTCTCTTGGAGGGCTTTCGCCGACTCCTCCGCCGCTGTGAGTTCAAGGGCCGCTGTGCTTGGCTGGTTAGACCGTGGGACTGCTCCGTTGGACTGCACGATGGGACGGCTGCTCCCCATCTTGCTGGCCGCCGCGACAGGATCAGCGCGATCTCGCCGCGAAGGTACACCTCCGAATCATCAGAATGGATACTGAGGCGGTCCGCACTGCTATTGCTGCGTTGGCGTGTTCGAGACACTGAGGACTCCGACCGCATGCGACCAGAGATCCCGTTAGAGCTCCCATTACGAGGAATGGACGCCGCGGCTGCGGGACCGCGAGAGGGCGCATCACGAGCGGTGAGCTCGCCGTCGTTATATGTGGGGGGACCGTCCGACGCAGAAGACTCGGGGAGCGTCCAGGAGATGTTGCCGTCAACCTTGTTGAGGTAGTAGTAGGACATGCCGTCATCTGCGAGCCGTCGAATCCACGGTTCTGGCGTCCGCGTCCTGTTGGGAATGCCGAAGCCTGCACCTTCGTGGGCACCCCCATTCGTCGTCGCCAGACCCAGGTTTGCATTCGGACCAGCACGAGAGTGGGACGAGAGGGCAGCAACCTCAGGGTCTTCCCCGTCATCGCCTTCCGTAGGAAGGTCTCGCGACTGCTGGCCGGTCTGCGTGTTGACGTAGAATATCTAGGGGCACGCGATTCAACGACGGGATACGCATATAGGAGGAAGGAAGACGTACTCGTCCATCCGGTGACACCTGAGGAACCCAGAAATCGCTATGCTGCGTCCCTCCGGCAGCCGCGGCAGCTCCGTTGGCGTATCCCGGGGCGCGCTGCTGGGCGTAGTCGGCATCGTCGTTGAGCCAGTCACCATCCTGATCACTCTGCGAGAGACTTTGCTGCATTGTATGGGCCATGTCGACCATAGAGTCGTCAGGGAGGGACGCCTGGGAGGAGGGATAGTCGGACCCGCCCAGAGCGGCCTCCGCCTCCTGGTCGGAAATGATTTCCACATAGTTGGACGGGAACCAGCCGCGCTCATCGTTGAGAAGACCATCCCACCAGCCGGACTCGAGACGCGTGAGGACTTCGATGATGTCGCCCTTGTGGAAGGAGAGGGAAGAGGAGTCGTTCGTCTGGTAGTCGTATAGGGCGCGGCAGAAGAATGTGGAGATGTACTGGTCGTCGGGGACGGCCTGGCCATTGTCGTAGGTCATTGCCTGCTGAGAGTCATACATGTCCGTGGTCGGCGTCGCATGCGACAGCAGACCGTAGGGGCGGGGGCGGGGCGGGGCGGGGGGCGGCGGTCGGGATGGTCTGTAGTCAGGAATGAGGCGGCGGAAGTCCACTGCCCTCCCACGTGGTCAGCGTCGATTACCAGGCGCCCCCCAAATGGCCTCAGCTGGCGCCAGTCGGCCCTGGCCCATTCTCATTGACGAGACACATCGGTCGGCGCGCAGAGTACATGAGTTCCACTGTGTAATTGTTCTAGAACTAGTCTCTTCATTGGCGCTATAGGCAGTCGTCCTGCACAAACCACCCACTCGGCATATCCCTTAGAATTCATCGCGTCTGTGAAGACTGCGAAATCGTCCGAAAAGGCTATTTTACAACAACTCCGTCCTACATAATGTCGCAAAGCGTACACAATCATCGCTTGAGCGTACGCTGCTTCTCCGCAAACTCGACGATCTTCTTGTCGACGAACAGACCTTTGCGCTCGCGTACAGCATCCATGTACGACTTTGCCAAATTGTCTCGGTCCGCTTTCTCACCCAGGTCCTCTAATTCCTCCTCCGTCGTAGGGACCCAAAACGGATCCTGGTCGAGCATCTCGTACCTGCCCGCAGTCAATCAGCCACTGACGGGGTTACCGGTCATATCGCATGGATGGCTTACCCGCTGAAGATGAGCTGCGGACTCGCCGCCCCAGAAGTTCGCTTCCGGATCTCTATCAAACAAGTCCATCAGCTTACCACCCTAAGCACGGAGCCGTAGAGCACTCACCCATCGCAAAACCGAAACTTTCCACGACGGGCAGCTTCGCGCTGATGGTGAAGAACTCGGTGCCCTCCTTCATCTCCTCGGACACTATGCGTCCCCGGCGCTTCGCCACGACGGCGTACACTTTGCCAAGAACGTCCGCTGGGAAGCCTGTTCAGAAGGACTAGCGTTACCATGGACGGCAATGGACCTACTAGACGCTTGGATATCGCAGGTATACATGGCGAGCATCAGACGTGGGGACCAGTCGAGCAGTCCATTTTTGCAGGCGTCCCTGACGGCCGAAATGAAGGAGCCCGTCAGATGTGCGGTCCGGTTCGACGCTGGAGGGAGTGTCAGCGTCAGAGCCCACGCAAACTAGGGAAGCCGTGATAGAGCTTGGATGTGACTGGCGGCAAACGATTTCCACCTCACTATGGCGACACGAGAGCTTCCACGGAGTGCTCGCGCTCCGGATAACGCTGGGGCGTCCTCTGTGGAACGCGTGTAGAAAGTTACCGTGGGAAGCAACTTGTAGTACGTGCACGTGTTCCACCAGGTGCCCATGTAGTGCACAGAAGATATGGGCTGGAATGATAGAGGTTGATACATACCTTGTTCCTGCTCGATCCCTCCCCTGTCAAGGGTGAGCGACTCTACGAAGTACGCCATACCCTCCACGGGCTCAGCACACAGAGGTCCTTGAAACATGGCCAGCTGGAATCCCGTTTCGAGGGAATCATCAAACGTGAGCGCGAGCGGGTCCTGCTCATTGGCCACCTCATGGGACTTGATCCGCGCTAACCGCTCTTTCAACCTGTGCAGTCCGTCAGTAAACTACGTCGTTGAAGGCATTCGCACACGTGTTACTGACGAGTTGGGCTGCCCTGATCTGGTGTCGATTAGGAGGCACGTCCCCACCCTCTGCGGTCCGAACGCCCACGTCTTGGCCGCGACATCGCTCCACTCCCCGCCGGCCTCCTTGCATTTTTCATGCATCGCGGACCAGAACTGTTCCACCTTGATCGTGGGCTTCTTGATATACTCGCCCTGCACGTCGTAGTCCTCATCCGCGGGGGCCACGTCATCGTCCCCACCAACTCCGGCCTCCGGATCCTCTTCGCCAGCCTTGAGCTCCTGTTGCATGCGGCGCAAGATAGCGAGGTTGTCGAATAGAAAGTCCAATATCGGTGCAGGGAGCGGGGATGCACGGATCGTAAACTTTGCCAAGTCGTGTGCTGCGGCGCCATGAATTGTGCCGCGTTTGGCGTTTGGCGTCTTCGGGGGCGCCATATCTAGGTGCGTCCGCGGCGCGTCAGTCACTGGTCCCGTCAGGCAGAGACTGGTACCCACCGACGCCTTTCACGGCAGTCTCTCTGAAGGGCACGATAGGCTTAGACGCGTGGATTTCGATCTTCGCAAATCTCTCGCGGAGGTCCTTCAAACACCGCTGCGCAGCCCGTAAGGTTAGGACCTCAGAATACCTCGGCGCGGTGCAAACATACCTCGCCGTGCAGCTCGCCGGCTGTCAAGATAACATGCTCGCCCGTCTGCTGCTGGAATGTCTCCACGCACGGATCGGCCTGACTGAGGAGCTTGAGTCCGCGTAACAGCTTCGGCATGTCACCCGGGTGCTCTGGCTCCAGAGCGACCCGGACGATCGGGGCGGCCTGAGTCCATCTTTCAGCACGACATGACAAGAGTCCTGGAAGGCAGCGGACTCACGTAACGCAGCACACCCGCCATGTTCACAAGACAATCCTCGTGTGCGCCCCAATCCGGGTTGGAGCTATTGATGCCCCCGATCGCCGGCGCGCACAGCGTCGCGTTCCGCCACACCTTGCCCTCGAGCCCGCGCACCGCGAACACGTTCCCCGCGGAGACGCTCTCGACCGGTACGAGCTCGCGGCCCATCATCGTGTAGAGCTGCTCGACCGCCGCCGCCGCGATGTGCGGCGCGTTGCGCGGGTGCGCCGGCCCAAGCGCACGGTTGTACTTGGGGAGCACGCAGATCACCGTCGTCCCGACGCGGATCGTGCCCGAGTAGATGCGCGCGAACCCGAGCAGCGTCTCCTCGGCGTCGTCCTCGGTTGGCTCGGCGGCTGGGACGTCGTCGTTGAGTTGGGCGTTCTTCATTGCGCCTTCAATCGGAACTGAAGCGGCTTCTGTGTCCACGGCGTTTGTGGCGGTGGCCGGGGCGGCAACGGCAGCACGGGCCTCCCGAGCAGCTTTCGCGCGACTGCGCATCTCGTCGGCGGTGAGGGCTTTCTTCTTGTTTTCCGGAAGCTCGGAGCTGGGGACGGCGAACATCTTGCTGACGAGCGCCACTACGGAGGCAGTCGCGTCGGCGCTGCAAGAGTACAAGTCTTCTTCCAGCTTGTTCTTGGCCGCAATTGTCGACTCGTACAATTCCGGATAGAGCATTTTTGGAATGCGTATTTGCTGTGCCGTCGATGGAGGAGGCACGACGTCGACAATTGCCTGGATGGCGCATGAAGACAATGGGAGCCACTGCGAGAAGATCAAGGAGAGGAGTTGACGGGTGTCCTTGGACTTTTGGTCTCGAGGAAGGATCTTCAAGCCAAGGGTGGTGATAATCTTGGCCACTTTGTCTGGGTTTCTTTGTGATATTCAGCAATTACGCGTCTCTGTCTTGAGAGGGGCACGTACGGGTTAAGCGACACAGCATCGTATATTGCCCAAATGTTCTCCAAGATGAACTGAACGAACAGCGGCTTCAGGGAGCGCCCCCGTAGATGCTTTGCCGATATAACACGTTTCGTCTTGGGGTCGAGGTAGAAATCACCCCAAAGGACCTGACGTAGGTTGCCCTCTTTCATGCCCAGCTTGATGGCGTACAAATGTGCGAACTTGCCGATGCGGAAGCCCCACCCGTCTATGGCCGACGCGAAGATTACATTGCCGCGCTCAGGTGCAAAATAGAGGTCGTCGTCGTCTTTCTCTTGGAACTCGTCTTCTTCGTTGACGGTAGCTAGAAGCTCATCCTCGAGTGACTCCTTCTTTGCTGCCAGCCGACGTTCGCGCTCTTCCCTCCATCGCAGATCGTCCTCCATGCGGTCTCCCGCAAAGAAGCTACCCATGACTGCATTCACTTGCTCGATGAGCTGAGAGAGATGGTGATGGGCTTCTACCGGCGAGAGCTTCAGTTCGGTGACGAGTCGGTCGAACTTGTTTACCACAAGAATCGGTTTCAAGCGATCTTGCCATGCTTGGCGCAGAACTGTGATTGTCTGTAGATATAGAATGTGGATCCATCCTTGGGTTGGAATATACTTGGGCTGCTCACCTGGGTGCATACACCTTCCACTGCATCGACGAGGACAAGCGCACCGTCGCAGAGACGCGACGCTGTCGAGACCTCACTTGAGAAGTCGACATGCCCAGGAGTGTCAATCATATTGATGACGTACGTCTTCGGGCGAGGTTCTACTATCATCGAAACAGCAACAGTGGTGAAAAGATGATGAATCCGCACCTCCTTCGGGAGTCTTTTCCATAGCCTTGAAGCGCAAGGAAACAGCGCTGCTCTCCATTGTAATGCCCCTCTCTTGCTCGTCCTCTCTGCTATCCAGGTACCGAATCTTTCCGGCCATTCTAGAGGAGATGATGTTATTTGCTGCAAGCAGAGCATCCATCATCGTGGTTTTGCCGTGGTCGACATGACCGATGGTGGTGACGTTGCGGACGTCGACGGCTTCTGCAGTAGCCATGGTGAGGTGTCGAGCGGGGTTGCGAGCAACGAAGATGCATAGAGCAGGAAACCCGTGCTCGCAAAGCACCAGAGTCAACAAACTCGGGGCCGTTGCACCAGCCAGAATATCTTCGGCGGCTCTGTCGGGCCGATCATGTGAGCCGCTTGACAAAGGTTCCGGTTGGTTCGCTTGAAGCTGAACTAATATCTGGACGACCCGGGCTTCTTCCGTCATCTATGCCGTTCAAGTAACGAACGACTTTATCCAAACATTCCGACTTGCACAGTGTTGTCCGGCGTCGATGCCAATCCAGGACAAGTTATCCTCCACAACAGTCGTGTATGCGCGTTGGATGCGACCCCGCCGGAGTCATCTTACGACCGGGGCGGGTGCCCGTCAGATGAATCGATGACCCCGACGCAGCACGGCCCCGACTCGAGCGTAGACTTTGTCATATGTGCCAGGTGCGCCCGCCGTGTTTATTAAAACAACGGGACTGACGCGTGTTGACCTTCTTCAATGCTCGGGCGGTGAACTCCCGTGGCCTCCCCGACTCATGACCTTATCGGACGCTCATCATGGTATGCACACTGCGCATTCTGTCGGAGCAAGCAGCCTCTCGCGACAAAAGCTGGGCCACAGCCTCTACAGGGCCAGCGTCCGAGAACTCGAAAAGGTCTCCACCCATCGTGTCTCTAACTTTCATCCGCCAGCGAAAAGCAAATACGAGGATCGGCGCAAGCCCATCGTGGAAAGAGCACTTCTGCCGCATGCCTATCTTCTGCATGGTGGCAAGACAAGTGACCTCCGTGGCCTGCACTTCTCCAGCGGCCCGACAGTCCTACGAGATAGACGTAAGTGCGTGCGGAGCCCCCGCTTGATCCCGCTGATCGTCTTAGCTAGGACATTGATGTTCCACCCCTCGGTACTCGTATAGCCTTGCCGCAGGTTCTTGGTGGCGTCCATGCTGTCCCTGTGATAACCATCGTGGCCTAAAGTTCGGAGTACCACACCAGTACAAACATTCAAGCGTGTTTCAGTGAGTCCCATCGATTGAACTACAACCACCCACTGACGAAGGTCCCGCAACCCTTCGCCCAGAACCCTGACCTATCCGCCGCATCGGTTCATGGCGGTATTTAATGCGAACGTGGCGAAGACAGATTGAAGGAGGGCATGCACTATGACAGTGGCTCCGTGAACACCTGGCGGCATCCATGCGATTGTGAACCACCACGTAGTTGAACCTTCCATACTTCGCTGCCATGGTTTGGGCATCGCAGCCGAGCCTATCATATTTTATGCACTGATTTCGTCCCGGTCACAGACTCTGTGGAACTCGCAGAAGAGTATATATAGTGCATTCGTGGACGGTCAAATGTCGAGCCTCGCTCTCTGACTTCCCCTGCAATGTCTCAAGAATCGCTCCCCAGTGATACCGTCCACCCCATCGAACCCGAGGTCAACGTCGACCGCCTATGCACTGAAATAACCGTCAGCTATCTCAATGGACAACTCAACCTCAATCATCTTGCCGCAGTACGCCGTATAGAGGAGTACGCATCGTCGACGCCTTCGGACGAGATTCGTGAGTCTCTGACGGTGTTTCTTGGTCGTGGATGGCTAACCCTCGTGCAGGGAGGACTTTTGCGTGGAAGAAATATGCCTCGAGGGGCCGTCACTCCGTCAGCTTCGAATTCGGCATGCCCCAACTCTCTTTCGTGTGCGATCACGATGCTCTGCTAGAGCTTACTCTTTTGGAGGGTACCTTTTCCGGCAGGTCAGTGTGGCTTTTGCGATTGTGTATGCTATCTCTCACCGTTGTGCATTAGTGACATCCAACCCCTCCGCGCGTCAAAGCCAAATTCCGTGTCTCCACTGAGCGGCGTACGCTGGTGGGCAACGACTCCAAAGTTGGCGACTACGAAAGCCGCATCCACTTACTCGTGTTCGACTTGGAGCGTACGTCTGCTCGCATGCCGTGTTGGTAGCGGCTCACTGACTTATCGCAGATGCGAAGCATGTCGAGTGGGAGGGTGTTGATCAGGAACATGCGAAGGAAGCAGACCTCGAACGGCATTTCCTCTTGTACTTGCGCTACCTGCAAGCCGGTGGCCATCACGTCCTCTTCTTCCCTCCGGAGTTCGACGAGGACGATCTCCGCCCCAACATCAACTTCTCTCTCACCACGGACTCTGATAGCGTCATTACCCTGGACTCGATCCTTGGAGTCAGCACAGCGGCAATCAACAACTACCTCTCGCTCATGTGGTTTACCTGCGTCTTCATGGCTCGCGCTCGCGGAGAAGCCAACCAAATGGTGTGGGACGACAGGACGTTCCTCGCCGGCTTCAAGAGCTGGTTCATCGCCCCTAACCGTCACTCTGACTGGCACTTCTCTGTTCGGTTCGGGAAGCCTCAAGTACGGATTCTCTGCGCGCGCGAAATCATCCTGACCTTCAATCTGTCGGAGGTGACGTTTTATAGTCACGAGGAGCACCCCGATCCAGCGACGCGGAACAAGTACGTACCGACTTCATTTGCGCACTGGCCACAAGTTGTGATGGTAATGTGGTTTTCAGAGAGCCTGACTACAAAGGATGGAAGCTGTCGCTCCTGCTTGAGGTTGACGTGTCGAAGACAGATGTGAAGGTCAACACGAATAGTACGTCTTCCGTTCACTCCACTCATCCTAGACCTAACGCCATGGCAGGTATTCACTACGGCGAACTCTTCTCCACTTACGAATACCTGAAGGAGGAGCACAAACAAGCACATGCCGAGTTCATCCGGTTCTTCGTCGCTCAGTACATCGAAGTGATCAGGCGCACGAAGCTGCAATACCTGTACAGGTGTCTCATCGAGGAACACTCTCTCATTCACCGTCGCACCGAAGCCGATGGCAGCTGGTGGATGCTTGAGTTCGGAGCGAGAGCCGGCGCCGGCGCTCTCGATTCGATGATCAGAGGGACGAACATGGGTGGCTTCGACCTCGTCATGGCCATCTCGCAGACGTCCATCACCAACCAGATCCGTGCACGCTTCCAGAAGGCGCGGGAGATCTTCTCTGTGTGGAGCGGGGATCAAGCTCAGATCGAGGTCAAGATGATCACCGTGTCTCTTTTGCCCAAGTCTCGTGCCATCGTCACCTTCACCGTTACTACGGCCTCAATGGGTTCTGAGCTTCTTAATGATGATTTGGAGCTCGAAGAAGTGTAAGCACGCGGATCCTTTTGCCAGCACGCCGTACTAACCCTCTATCAGACCGGGTGGTCCACACAATATCGGCGAATGCCGTCTGGCTTTCGAGGTCGAACTCAAATCTTGTGCCCACGACATGCTCCCGAACCCAGACTACACGGACAGGCCGTACTACGTGCCCGTGATTGGCGCACATTACGAGCACATCTACCTTGACTTAAAGAGTACGTTGCTCTCACTTCCTGTGCTCCCCCGTTTTGATTAACTAGACTTGCAGGCGCGGAACCCATCCCCGAGCGCTCGACGTTCGAAGAAGGCGCCCCGATCGACGAGGTCGGGAAGCGGGTCCAGCTCACGCTCATCCATCATGTCATGTCCGGCTACTTCGACCCATGATCGACCGCGGGATGCACGTCGTCGCGAGCGTACCCGTGTACCACACGTGCCCTCGCACCCGTCCTTCTGCAAGTTCACGTCGATGACCTTCCTCACCTCCGCCTTCGCCGCGCCTGTGCCTGTCGACGGCAGCAGCGGCGGCCGGGACCGGACCCGCCCGAGGCCGCGACGGAGCAGATCCTCTTCGTGCTCGGCATGACGGGCGGTGCGGGGTTCCCCCGGCGCGAGTACTTCAAGCCGTCCCCGAACTGGATCGTGCACTCGAGCACCGGCTTCTCGCACGGGACGTTCGCGGTGAACAAGCTCATCTTCCGGAAGCGGCTCTTCGCGCTCCTCGCGCGTGTCAACGCGCTCACCACCCTCGTCTCCGTCTCCGCGACGGCGCAGAACAGCCGGGACGGCGCGAGCGTGGTCGAGCTCTGGGCGCGCCACCCGGAGTATCGGGACAAGGAATGCGCCTGGCTCACGGGCGACGGCACGGACGGGTCGACGCGCAAAAGTATGAGTGGAAGTACGTCCGCGAGGAGCACATCCGCGAGGAGGGCACGGTGCAGCAGCGGAGCGAGTACAAGTTCACGTGTGAGTGCCGCGTTCTTCTCCGACGCACCGGGTCGTGGCGCTCATCGAAGTTGCTTCGGAATTGTGCACAGGCTCGACGCAGAACGAGCTCCTGATGCCGGATCTGGCGCAGCTGTCCAAAGGCTCCTTCGAGGTGAAGATGTCTGGTACGACGTCGCTCCGCATCTTCAGCGACGAGCGGAACAACAGCTGGAGGTCCGTCTCCCTCGGCCTCCTTCACGCCGCCGCGCGCTGACCTCTCCCTTCTCCCCTCCACCGCAGCACCGAGTCCTCCCTCGTCTGGGAGATCACAATCTCGATCAAGACCCAGTCGCGCGGCGCGGTCAAGGTCGAGATCCTCGGCGCGGACAACATCAAGCAGAGCGCGCCCAAGACCTCCAACTTGAACGTCGTCGCCGGCGACGACGTCCGCGACGCCTACGCCATCCTCCGCGCCAACCTCCCCCGCGCCGACGAGTTCACCGCCGTCGGCAAGGAGCTCCGCGAGCTCGAGGGTGCCTGGAAGTACTACTACCCCGCCGCGAACCCCTTCACGCTCTGCTCCCCCACCTTCAACCACAGTGGTGACCTCCTCTTCGAGCTCCGCCGCTCCGCCGCCCCCGCCGCCACGCCCAACGGCCGCGGCCCGTGGACGCCCTCCTCCGGCAGCGGCAGCCCCGGCAGCGCCCGCTCCCACTCCCCCGCCCCCGGCTCCGCCACCACCTCGAGCCCGAGCGGGTCGTCCTCCCCAGGCGGCGGCCCCGCGCGCCACCCGCACCGCCCCGGCTCGCCCGCCGGCCACCGCGCGCCCGACCTGCGCCGCCCAGGCTCGCCCGCAGGCCGCGCCCGCTCGCCCGCGCCGAGCCGCTCGAGCTCGCCCGCCCCCGGCCAGCAGCGCGGGCGCGCGGGCGCAGGCCCGACGGGCGGTCCAGGACTCGGCGCGCGGGCGCAGACGCCGACGCGGGACGCGTCGCGGGTGCGCCCGCCGTTGGGCCGACAGACGACGGCGACGGGGGCCCCGCCGACGGGCACTGGCGGTAAGTAGCCGCGATCTCTGTGGGGGGAAGGCCGCGCTGACTGAGATTCAAGCCCGCAGGCGCCCTCCCGGGCAGTGAGCGCACGGAGCGGACTCAGCGGACGGAGCGGACGGAGGGAGTCAAGGAGGCGCTGCGGCGGTTTCGGAGGAGCCAGGTCTACGAGCCGTCGGTCGCCGGGCGCACGCCGAGCCTGGGTTACTCGCAGGACGAGTCGTATTACGGGGGATAAAGGGAGAGTTGGGAGGTGTCTTGATGAGGCAGGATCGACTCCCGCTGAGGCCTGAGGGCTCGTCGCGTCTGAAGGTTTGAGTTTCCTTGTGCTACGCACACGCATTGTACCACTGAAGATCACTGTGCTCGTATGTTTGTACGACACCATCGAATGCTATCCGTGCTGGTCGCGCTGGATTTGAACGCCGCGAACCTCCGCTGCGATACGCTCGCTTCACTGCCACTCATCCTCGATTACATCCAGCGAAAGATATATTACAACGGAACATCAAAGCGTACAGTATGTATGTCAAAACGAAGAAAGTATCCGAGACGAAATAGAGACACTGTCCGGCGGGCCGCGGGTCCTGTACACTCCTACTTCCTCTTCTTCAAGCTCGCCTTGACCAACGACGCCGCGCGCTCCGCGACAATGTACGTCGGCCCCTGCGTGTGCCCAGAAGGGATGAACGGCTGTCCCCAAACACGATCAGCTCCCACATCCTCAGCCCAGGGAAAAAACGACACTCACGAACGCGCTCGCGTCAACGACGCGCAGCCCCTTCGTCCCCTTCACGCAAAAGTCGTTCTCGAGCGCGCTCCCGAGCGCGACGGTCCCGACCGGGTGGTCGACCGTGTCCGCGTTGTCCGCCGCGTACGCGTCGACCTCGGCCGGCGTCTGCGCCGCCGCGAACGCGCCGAACTCGCCGAGAACGTAGCCCGCGAACGCGGGCGCGGCGACGAAGCGGCGCGCGGCGGCGATCGCGGCGCGCACGATCGCGCGGTCGACGTCGGTGGAGAGCAGCGCGGGGTCGATGAGCGGGGCGTCGAAGGGGTCGGTCGTGTTCAGGGTGACGGTGCCGCCTGAGGCGCGGGGGAGGGAAGAGGGGCGAGGTCAGTGATGGGAAGATCAAGGCGAGGGAGGTGTCGACTTACGGGACGAGGGCGAGATGACGTTCGTGACGAGGGAGAGGAAGCGGCCCGTCGAGGGAAGAGCTACCCGCTTCGACGCGAAGTTGTCCTGGGGTATGGGTCAGTCTCCGCCGGCACGAGCCTGGGCCATGAAGGGATACGGACGCTAATGATGATCTCGAAGTGCGCCGAAGTAGGACCTGCGCTCGGATCCTCCGCACCAATGTCGGTGAAAGTCGAGTCGTTTGCACGCAGCCACATGAACTGGTTGGTAGGCGGGAGCCCCAGGAGGCCCGTTCCGTTCGTCATCCACAACTGGAGCTGCTCGGCGGTCAGGTTGGCGCTCCGATGGAGGTCGTCGAGAGTGAAGTTGGCAGTGACGTTCCATGAGTTGCCGAGGAAGACGTGGTCCTTGAATGAGAACCTGTAAGCGATGTCGTTGCAGGTAAAGGAAACATCTCGTACCTGGAGGTTTCCGCCGACAGCTGTGAGGTTGACGAGAGGAGTGATGCCCTTTTCAGTAAGATGACTGGCATCACCAATTCCAGACAACATAACTGCATCGCAGTCGTGAGCACAAGTCCTCAGACGGCGCTTGAACGCTCACGAATGTGAGGGGTCTTGATAGACCCTGCAGACAAAATCACCTCCTTGGAGGCTGTGAGATTATAAGTCGGACCTGATGCTATGTCAGCTGACTTGTATATCCTGAACGTCATGAGACCCACCATCTGCCGATTGAGCGAACTCGACTGTCCGCATATCCGGAGAGTCAGTACAGGGACCAACTGGGTGCAGCTTTGTCACGCGAGTATCAATGAGGATGTCCAAGTTGGTACGATTGAATGCTTGGGCAAGATACGAGGACGCCGAGGTGACGCGGACGCCGTCGTGAATCTATGGTCTAGGTCAGGGATGAGTTTCACATAGTATGTCGAAACGCATACAGTCGACTGAGTCCAACCTATAGCTCGTTAAATATTGGATAAAATGTCTATAGAAGAGCGTCTTACTGAAGCCAATCGTATCGCCGGAGTTGTAGTCAAGGTTGAAGGGGAACTGATCTGGGAGCTCCGCAGAGGCGTTCAGTGCAATGGAGTCAATGGCTCCAGGGGCATTCCCGCGACGCTGATGTCCACAACGCCTACAACCTACATCAGCACATGCAGATCTCTATATTTCGCACAAAGGCACTCACCATTTGCCTGGTGGACCGCCGGGTTGAACTGCCCAGTCGCGTTATGCCCGTCGGTCGGGGCCGTCATATTGTCGACCTTCAAGGCAAAGGGAAGGATATTCTCCCACTCCCACCCGCTGTCTCCAGTGACGTTTGCAAACCTGCCAAAGTCGTCCTTGGTCCCGCGGCAGAAGATCATGAGGTCTACACGTGCATTCATGAGTATATGCGAAGCAGGGGGCCGAAGTCGGACGTACTGGTCGCCGTGGAGCCGCCGAGGACGAATCCGCGAGGGTACGCGACCGCTCGGTTGTTCAGACCTTCTTGCGGGGTCGTGGTGAAGTTCCAATCCTGAAAGGAACAGCATGGTGAGACGCCACGACAGGCATGCGGTGCACGCTCAGAGCTGCACTCACGAACTTGGACCCAGTGAGCCTCGAGGAGAACCCAGGAACTGAGATGTTCACGTTCATGAAGTCACTATGTGCGTTCGCCCTTGATGAGCCCATGAAAAGCGCCGAACACGGCCTAGCACTCACCCCGTACCGGCCTCGATGAGCAGGACGTTCGTGTGTGGATCTTCAGTCAGGCGGGTTGCCATGACCGCACCTGCCGCGCCAGCTACGTGCGCATATATCGATCAGCAAAAGCATAAAAATGGTGAATGAGTAGAGATGAGAGCGAGAGGGAAAAGAGAGAAGCCGTGCGACTCACCGCCAACAACGATGACATCATAGGACTTACTGAGCACCTCGCTCGTCGGGCTCGTGAACAGGGCCGCCTGGGCCGCGTGCAGCCCGAGCGCGATGGCGGCGAGGGCCTGGAGTGCGTGGAACGGCGCAGAGGGCATCGCTGGATGCAGCTGGGTGAGCGGGTGAGCGACGGAAGGAAGGGGGGAGAGAGCTATATGTACCGGCCGCGCGCGCGGGAGGCGTCGTGACGTGCCGGCTAAGCTAGCAGGCAGATGGGACGGTGGCGGACGCGAGCGGGGCGCGTGAGTGGACCCAAGTCGGGCCTGGTGCGCGGGCGTGCGTGTGGCAGAGGACTCCGTCTGCGCGGACAGGGCGAGCCTAGTTCGTCACTGAGCAGGGCTGCCTCCTTGCCGCGATCGCGCGAGAACGGCGCTATTTATAAGGCACGATGGCGGCCTCCTTTGATTTCGGTCGCGACGGGCGCGAGAGCGGCCCTGGCCTCCCGCGACGCTTTGCGAGAGACGTACGAGCGGACATAGGCCCGAGGCTGCCGCGCGGCGGCGGGTGCGCATGTGCGTAAAGAGCCCCTCAAGGCCTCAGGGCCCCTGCGCACATCTCTTCCAGCCCTCCCACCTCCGTCTTCGCCTGGGATGCGGAAGAGGGCAGAGAGCGGTACGTAACCTGCACACCGTCGGGCCCCACGCACGTCGCGCGGAGAAGCTCGGAGCGAACGTCCGGCTTCTCGGCACAGTTTACGGCACTCCGCAGCGTCGTCCATGGTTGCGGAGCCCTCAGGTTCGGGTGGTGCTGGGCCGCGGGCGGGGGAGGCGGCGGGCTCGGGTCGGGTATGGTGGTGGAAGTCGGCGATCAAGGGAACGACCACCAACTAGTTACTGAACACGAGCACAAATCTATGCAAACAGCGTTAGCGCCCGCTCTAACTCCACACTGGCAATGACAGTGAGCGTCGAGCAGAGAGGGAGGGGGCACGTTCGTCTGTCTGCACTTATGAAAAAACACAGAGAACGAGTGTGAGCACCATGCTGCAGCTGGCAGCAATTGCAAGCAATTGAATGCCTGCAGTATTAATATCACAACGATGATCAGGAAGCCATGGACGTAAGCCCCCGACACTGTGGACTCGCATGGTCGGCCGCCGCGCCCTGCGCACTGAGCATAAGTCCTCGGTTTGAAGCGGCGCCTCGCTCGGCGATCAACCCCTTTCAGCGAGGGGGAGGAGGAGGAGGAGGCGGGTGATGTGAACAGACGGAGTTGGGCCCACAGCTTTGATCCTAATCGGGAGGGAACGGACAGGGACGGGCTACCAAACCACTCACTCACCTGGAATCCACACCGCCGGGGTCGTCAGAAACGCGAGCGGAGCATGGCAGCAGATGGTGGTACATTCAGTAGCGCCTATCATATCACAAGAGAGCACAAGAGACGTAAACCGGTAACGAGCGAAGGGTGTGCGGACAAATATATACAAGACGCGCGAGGCGTGCGCGACAGCGACCAGGAGGAAGGAGGGGCAACCGCGAGGAGACCAGGTCCGGGGGTGACAGCTTCACTCACAGCGACACGTAGACGGCTCACACCGCGCGCGCGACGGAGCTCGCGATGTCGAACTTGCGCGCCCGCACGTCGTTCATCTCCAGGTCCGGCCAGTTCTGCACCGGCTCGCGCTTGTCAGCCCCACCCGCGCGCGCCCGATGACAACGCGCCGTGACGCACCTCCGCATACTTGTCGTCCGCCGACCCCGCCGACCGATCCGAGTCCACCGCGCGCGAGATGTGCACCGCGACGGCCTTGCCGTCGGGCGCGGCGAGCCCCTCGCCCGCGCCGCCGGCGGTCATCGTCGTCGCGGTCTCGACCGTGGTGGCGAAGCCGTTGAAGCCGATGCTGCGCGACATCGAGAGGGAGTTGCCGCCGACGGAGCGCGTGCCGGCGATGTTCGCGCGCGAGTTGAGGGACGTCATGAGCGTGTTCGAGTACACCTTCGAGAGGATGAGCGCGATGATGAGGTGGATGTTCGTGTCCGGCAGGCCGAGGAAGAAGCCGAGCTCGAGCACCGCGGAGAGCGCGCACGCGCACCCGGTCTCGACGTCAGGCGGATCAGGCGGCGGACCATGAACTCGGACCGCTCGAAGTCGCGGGTCTTCTCCCGGACGTTGTACAGCTGTGGGGCGTCGGGAGGCTGGTCAGAGAGGGCGGGAGAGCAAGGAGAAGAGGGCGCACGAGGTAGACCATAGAAATCATGATCGTCTGGGCGGCTGCGTCAGAACTGGGTTCCGGATCGGATTCGACGGCGAAGAAGGGAACGCACCATGTCGGTGAACGCGCTGCCTCCGAGCCAAACCTGATTTGTCGAGCAATGATAATGAGCACCGAGCTGAGGCGGGACAAGCGCCGCCGTGAACGTACGATTGTGCGGGCGAACATATCCGTGTCGTGCAGGCGTTCGATATCCTTGAGAGAGATGAACTACCAGGACCCGACTGATCAGCACTCGGACCGGTAAAGCACGGGTAGTGAACGCCTACCGAGATCGCAATTGCACAGGCGGCACCGGCCTGAGCGAGCGCGGTCTGCGGGCGGGTACAGTCAGCATCGCCCAGGTGGAGCGAGTCGGACGAGAGAGATGTGCGAACAATCATGATGATGATCGGAACCACCCTCCACTTTCCGAGCTGATAGATCCTCCATGCGTAGAACGTTTGCACCCAAATAGAAACTACGATATGAAACACCGAAGTGAGCTCCACCGTGGCACAAATCGAGCGAAGATGAAATGAGCACGCACTGACGCTCGAGACGATGGGCAGCCCAGTGAACGTCCAGCCGGGGAACTGCAGGTTGACGGGGCGGCCCCAGCCGGCGCAGAGCGTCTGCCACGCCTCGCAGGCAACGACGATGCTCTGGAAGATGTCGAGCGCGAAGATCGTGTAGACGGACGCCCGGATGGCGAACCGGTCGCGCGGGAAGGACACGTGGTAGATGTCTGTGGACGAATGGAAGAAAACGACGGTCAGCTGCCGAGTGCCGCGGCGCGTTCAGAGAGAAGAGGGTGGACGAACACAGCTGGACGGTGGAGATGCCGAACAGCATCCAACAGAACAAGGCACCGATGAGCTGATGCGGCGGCGGCGAGACGTATTAGTCGAGTGAGCGCAGCGGCTCAATAATCACCACTACGCACAATGGGGCCGATCCTGCACGGTGCCTGTGGTTAAAGTATTATCGGCGAAGGGGAAGCGAGGAACGTACCTCAGCAGGGTCTCGGGCGACACGGGCGGCTGGGTCGAATCGTCTGCCATGGTTGGTGCCTCGAGGGGAAACGGAGGTGGGGTGGTGTCGGGTGAGGGCGTCCAGAAGACTCGACGGAGGGTGGGCTTATAATACATCGCGGGTCGGCGCACCCGATTGCGCGTCCGGTACACGACAGATGATTGAGTTCCAGGCGATTTATGGAGGCAAAAAGCAGATGAGCGCGAGCCTTGCCAGTCTACTGACGCCGGGACATTGCTCCGCCACCCGTGATACTGGCTCAGAGCTCGAGCATCAGCTTCCTGAGGCTTCCATCGGGAACTCGCAGGAAGTGAGGAGCTGGAAATTACACGCCATGCGACGGCAGGGCGTGCGACTGGACCACGAATATTGATTATGTGAGGGAGGGCACTCACCGGGGGAGCGGGTAGTAGCGCGGGACCGTGCGTTCGCGGCCGGTTTGAGTTCAGACGCACGTAACGCGCGCGTGGATCTCGGCGCGAACGTTACTCATGCCCCGCCCCGTAATCCGGGCGAGGGGCGTTGGCGCAAGACGCGGCGCAGGCTTGTCGGAGGCTTCCGCTGGAGGATACGGCTATGTACATCGCGCAGGGACCGCGCACGCGAGCCCCTGGTAGTGCGAGGCACTGCCGGCGAGGGTCAGTGTGCATCTCGGTCCCTCTACCGTCGGCTCCGGCGCCGGCCGTTCTCGAAGGTGGCCACACGGTCGTCCCCGGGTTCCCGGTCGAAGACGGTCGGGCGTGCGACCCCATTTGAAGGGTCTGCACCCGGGGCAACGTAATCCCGTCTCTGTGCGGAGCGCTCTCCACCCTTAGGACCGGGGCGCGGCCCACGGTGTCTGTTGGCAAAGTTGCAGAACACCGCGGAGGGAAGATGGCGCCCGTCTGGCACATCCGGGATCCTCGTCTCCGATGCCAAAGCGGCCATTGAAGGTGGAGCAACAATCTTGCCACAGATGAAGAAGGCCGAGGACGATGCTGTCGTCTGGCATAAAGGAGTCAGATGTGGCAGCACGGCGGATGAGAAAGAGAGTTGGACACGACGCTGCGCACCGGGCGTTCAAACGCCACAAAGGCGTCGCGCTCCATCTATCAGAGAATCCCGCGTGCTCCACCGTAGCAGCCACGGACCCGCCGCGGGACGGCGGGCGCGCCTGTTCTGCGCCATTTGAGTTGCAGAGGTGCCGAACAGAGTGCCGCCAATCAAGCTCGCCGGCTAAGAGAGGCCTGGATGAGATCGTTGCATGTGAGAAGGTTACCTCACGCTTTTACGGGGCCGTGAAGTGCTGCAACGCCTGTGCACTGGGCCAAAGCGGCACAGATCATTCTGACCGGGAATTTGAAGTCGAGGCATCTGGACATTGGCCCAGGGAAAGGAAAGCCAAAAGCGATCGCCTATCACGCTTGCAAAGGAGGTCTCCGGTCTAGATGCAGCAACTCACCCATCAGAGAAACAGCTGAGCGGCGCAAGAAGCGAGCTTACAATGGAGCCCATCATATATCTGTTTTCGGCACTCCGCCTATGTAGGTGCTTCAGGCTCCTGACCGTCCATGATACCCCGTTCCTGCAGCGTCCAGGCACATGCCGTAACCTGTCAAAGGGAATGAGTGGTCACCGGTCGGCTAAGCTTTAAACTCAACCGGTCGTCTCCGTCAAAACTCGCAATTCCATCTCGCACCGATTCCCGGATACGAAAGGTGGATGTGACAGCAGGATCAACACTCACATATGGTGGCAACGAATGGCGAAAACGCGGCTCGGCCCACCATTCGCTGCCCATTCACTGCTCGTGCTGGATCGCGAAGTCCTGCCTGCGTTCGACTGATCGTATCCCGCGAACCGCGTCCACCCGCAGACCGACGGTGCCAGGTCTCCGTGGCATGTTCGCTGCCGTCTTGCGGTTCGACGCTGACGTCTTGCGGACCGAGGCGGTGCGGCGGTGCCACGCGGTGGGAACTCCGACTCTGCAGATGGGGAACAGGGCCTTGCGCCCACGTCGCCTGTGGAAACCGAGCGACGATTTGCACATGGGTAGCGAAGGAGGTCGTTGACGGGATGACGGGCGGGGCACTCACGCTGTCACTGCACAGTGACCTCACGCGTTGCCATTGGAGCGAGGCCCGGCAGCGTCCGTCCGAGACAAGGGGGCGCCCGCGCAGGGGCGAAGCCATGGATCCGAAGTACCTCGCTATTATTGTGGCCTGCCCATGTATTAGCGGACATCGTTAGAACAATCGGGAAGCCACGTACACTACGAGGTGATTGTCGGGGTGCGTAACGAGAGTACGCGTGTAAGGTTCGGCGCCATCGGTGAGGTCGACATTTTCGGCCGTAAGGTTGGAAGAAGATTGTCGAAGTCGGCAGCAATCAAGCTGGTGTTTGATTGCTGTGCCTCCCGACCCAGACCACCCGAAGTTGATGCAGGACGAAGGCAGAGCAGGTAAGAACGCGCGGGATAACGACATGACTATTAATATACTCAGAGTGATGAGACCGATAAGAGCTTGAGAGTTGAAAGTTACTCACCAGAGTTTCTCTGTGATGTGGGTACTGCTAGATCGATTCCATCATGTGGTGCGCATATACATGGCCAGTGGGTATGAGGAGGAGGAGAGAAACGAAACAGTGGAGCGCCGAAAACAGCACGAATGTTATTAGTCAGCACGACAGTCGCGGCCCGGTGGATCCTGACTCCTGAGGGCCTGTTCGGTAACCCGAGAGCGGTCGTGTGCGACCGGTGTTTACTACCATAAAAGGCAGGAGGGCCCGCGCGCGGTATATGCGCAGTTTCCCGCGCTAAGCGTCAACGAAGATCGCGCGTTCGGAAACCTGCGACCGCGCCCGCGCGCGACACCGAGTGTCTGCGACCGAGTTTTTGCCCCGGGCCTCGACGTTCATTTTTCCCACTTCTCCTCCCCTCGCAATGTCTGCTGATGCTACCCCTGCCCCTCTGGTGAAGGTGGTTCCTACTTGCTTCATCTGGACACCAGAAAAGGAGGTCCAAGTCTTGCAGACTCCCTTGAACTCCGGCTCGACCGTGACCTGCTTCAAGACCACCACTTATGTCAAGTTTCCCCACAGGGGTTTTTTTGGCGTTTTTCTGAGATGCTACACACACACTTCTTTGTTTGTCTCTCGAGGGCTGAGGTTTCATTAATGCTTGATGCTGATGCGGCCTACGTTCGGGCCTTCTGCGGTCAGCGTTGCAGTTGCTGTGGACTTTTCATCTTGTCCAAGAAGGGCTCAGTGCTTTGAAGTAGGATACATCTTTGTAGCTTAGATGATTGGATATTCGTAACTAAGCTACAGAGGCGGACTCGTGAGCTGGTATCACTGTCATCCTCCTCCTGCCAGAAGGGCAGGCGCCCGACACATACTCCGTCTGCCCGCAAGCGCCAGAAAGCGGTCGCCATCACTGACAGCGGTATCTGTTCCCACGGGCAGATACTGGTCGCACACGACCGCTCTCGGGTTACCGAACAGGCCCTGAGTACTTGAGTACGAGTCAAGTACTCATTCCTAGGTTCCAGCACCGCCGAGTTCAGAGAAGGTATACCGCCATTCGTTATGCATCAACCACTTGGTCCGCTGCATAAAAGAGGGAGCGCTTCGTTCGTGCTGCCAGCACTGCAAGACACACCGGAACGCAGAGTTGAGAAATGCTTTGTCCAACCTTTTACTGCAAAGGCGATAGCGAGGATGAAAGCGAGCTCCTTGGGCGGGTGGCTCAGACGCAGAACTAGTGTTGCGGGGCGTACTTCATCGTAAATAGACCCGCGGAAGTCGATGGTCTATTGCAGGAAACTATCATCCGAGCCAACTACGCGCGAGCCAGCCCAGCAAACCCGCAGAAGCAGATGCCACCAGCAGGAGCTGCTTTTCGTCCAGTGGTCTTCGTCTGAGTATGCCCTCAACCGCACCTCCTTCCGCCTCCGCCTCCTTCCCTCTATCCTCCACCTCACCCGCCTCCGCCTCGACCGGAGCGACCGCAGCCACCGTCGTCGTGACCGCCATCGCCGCCTGCAACAGCGCCTCCTGCCGATCTAGCCTCTCCTGCATCTCCCGCGCGTGCCCCTCCAACATCCCGTCCGTCTTCGTCGCCAGCTCCTCCACCTTGCGCTCGAACGTCTGCGCGAGCCTCCGGCGTTTCCACGGCTCGACGACGAGCGTCGCGGCGACGAACACGCACAGGTTGAGCGCGAGCGCCGCGAGCGTGCCGTACGTCGACGCGCTCCGAATCTTGTCGCTCCACGCCTGCTCCTCGTGGTACCGGCCGAGGGTGACGCGGAGGAGGTCCGAGAACGCGCGCTCGACGGCGTCGTCCGCGGCGCCGGCGGCGACCTTCGCCCGCGCCTCGGCCTGCTCCCGCGCGTGGTCCTCGCGGATGAGCGCGGTGTAGCGCATCACATCCCCGTCCGTCCAGGAGGACTTGCGCTGGAGGAGGTCCGTCACTTCGCGCTGCGAGTCGGCGCGCTGGAGGACGGCGGTGGAGTAAGCTTCCTTGGCGGCGCGCGCGGCCTCGCGGGCTTCCCCGATGCGGAGTTCTGGAATGCGACGAGCACAGGGGAAAGGAGGGGAGAGAGAAGAGCGGTGAGCTCTTTAGGGATCATCGCATACTCGGGGGGACGCACCTTGTTCAACGACACGCCGCTTTAGCAACTCGATCTCCTCGTAGCCCGTGACGCGGTTGAGCTCCTTCCCGAACTTGGCGAACGTACGTGCCACGCGCGTCGTGAAAGCGTCCCCCTGCGTGCGCATCTCCCGCAGCGTGTCTACCCTCCATGCGTCGAGTTGTGACTGGAGCTTGTTGAGCTGCTCCCTCGTTGTACCGCTCTCCGCAGACGTACTCGCAGTGGTGAAAGATGTGGCAGTAGACGCGGAGGATGAGAATGAGGGGTCGGACGATGCGGTCGCACTGTCATTCGATGACGGTGCAGGTGAGGAAGTGGAGGTAGAGTGGTCCTGTGACGGAATGTCGGTCGTCTGCTTGGTGTCATCAGACCTTGGAGAGGATGTTGGAGGGGGTGGGGATTGTCTACTGTCGCGAGACAGTGCAGACGCAGAAAAGCATCGCCGTGTAGCTGCCAAAGGAGAAGACTCAACGCGGTCAAGCGGGAGATCTAGTCGTGGTGGAAGACATGATTGGTGTGGCCGGAACCGGACAGAGGGAGCCGCAAAGGCTCGACGATACATCGCCGCAGCCTGGGGCTTCCTTGCACAGTCGACACGGGGAAGATGTAGCAAGGTGCCAGAGTGAGTGAGAGTGCAAAGAGTCCGTCATACGCGCTCCGTCGGATACTGGTCGGACGGACGACTCACAGATCACTCCGAGGCGTTCCGTCGGGCCGGTGGGTGGCGAGCCGACGAGTTCGAACCGTGCGCGGGTCAATTCATTTCCTTCTCAATCGACGAAACGCTTCATAGATTGTCGACCTTTCCCGCCTTCTAAACTAGGAGCACCCACAAGCCGAGTTCCGCACGCCTAGAATATCGGTCTCAGAAACGCCGATGGATCCTCGTGTAAGTTACGTTGGCACATCGCATGTCTGAGGTTCACATGCCTCTTCAACTTGTTCACGAGCCCGTCTCCTACACGAGCACTCGCAACTCGCTTCGCAGTCGCACCGGTCACAAACGCAGAGAAACGGCGCGTCCCGCTCCTCCGCCTTGCGCTTCTCCTTGCGCTTTTCAACCTCCTCTTTCGCCTTCCCCCGTTCTTGCGCCATACGCCCAACCTCGCGCGCGATCCCATTGACGGCCACCACCAAGTCCAAGCTGCTCGGAACGACCGCTAAGCTACCTGTCGCATGTGTCCGCGGGAGGGTCTGGTGAGCACAGTGTACACGCGCTCGATCGCTACGAGACCCGCCGCACTCACCGATGCTCGCCGGGAACGCGGTCGCGGCGCCTGCTACCGCGAGCGTCGCACCCCCCACGGCGAAAACCGCACCCCTCAGATATTTTCTGGCCGTGCCCACCTGCTGTGGGAAGTGCTCTTCCACATGCTGCAGGCTGGCTGATGATGGGCAGGTGCACGGGACGTAGTTCCAGGGCTCGACGGGGGAGTCCGCGGTTTCCTCAAGTTCTGACGCCGATGCCGACAGTTTCGGTCCTGTGCGACGGTACGGCGGTCAGCAGATCGCGTGAGGCGGAACTGCAGGTTTGCCTTGTTCATCAGACAGCTCGAACCATTCATCGTCGTGGCTGGAAGAGCGCGACTCGGCGCTGTCTGAAAATTGTCGGGAGCAGGCGACGAGCACGTGAAGGGTACAGGATACCTGGGGGCATTCTGTTAGATGCACAAGAGAATTGAGGTGGGAGAGAATTCGCGGCGCGCTGGGTGCTTGGGAGACTGCCTTTTTGAAGGGCTATGTCGAGATGGACATGAAGCTCATCAAGTGCGGCACTGCCGCAGCCCACCGCCCAAGACTTCTCGCAGCGTGTTTGACCGCAAAGCTGTGTCGACGATCACTTGGGTCCGACGTGAACGGCCGTCCAAGAAAAAGAAAGAGCCGAATCTATCAAGCCTGTCGTTGCTCAGCTGACTACGCAGGGAATGTCAGAAATGCAAGATACCAGCATCGTGTTGTCAGAGCCCGTTGTCGAAAGCCATTCAATCCCCGAGGCATTTCTTGAGATGTGAACGTCTGAACATAAACACACCAAAATGTCTTCTACCGATACAGCGTTCTATTCCGAGAAATGTACTTAGGGTCATATCGACCGCTCTAACAGTAGGAGCTGACGACTGCGACCCAGAACGTGAGAGCAAAAGACAGATAACGAAAGTGTAGAGTAGATACCGACGCAGTTCCCCCCGTCTACCCTCCTGCGCTCTACCCAGTCCAGTGGTATGCTCCTTCATCCAACCGCGAAACGCGCGATTAACTCCAGACGTCGGTGAGGAACCGGCTGCGCTCCTTGAGAAGTTTGAGCTCCGCCGCGCCCTCGACCTCCGCGCTGCCACCCTTCGCCTCGCCGAGGATGCGGCACAGCGTTTCCTCGACCGCCTTGCTCATGCTACGCGCGTCACCGCAGATGTAGACGTAGCCCTTGCCGGTGATGATCGCGTCCGCAACCGTCTCGCGGTCTTCCCAAAGGAGGTCCTGCACGTAGATCTTGCTGCCGTCGGGCTTGTACACCTCGCGCGAGAACGCGCAGCGGAGAGTGAACTTGCCGTGTAGTTCCTGTGCGTAATCGGACCACTCGTCCTTGTAGAGGAAGTCCTGACTCGAGTGGCGGCAGCCGAAGTACAGGCGGATCCCACCCCAGTCAGCGAGACCTTCCGTGCCGTTCTTCTCGATCGTGCGCCGGGCCATCGCCACACGCTCCTGTACGAAACCGCGGAAGGGGGCGACACCCTACGAAAAACCGTCAGCAGTGTGTTGATGGCAATTCTTGAACTAAACTCACAGTACCGGGACCGATCATGATGACCGGGCTCTTGGGGTTCGTAGGCAGACGGAAAGTGGAACGGCGAACGTGGACAGGGACCTTGTAGACAGTCTCCTGCTTGTAAGCACCGCGAGGACCCTCGATAGCGTACTGAGGAGTGACGACACGGGCCGGCTCGTCCTTGGTGTCGACAAATGGTGCCTCACCGCCACTTGCGGCATACTTGAGGTTGAGGAGGAAGTTCGAGCCAGTTCCGAAGACCCAGCGTGCCTTGACTTTCTCGTTCGTGATAGACTCGTACTTCAGAACAACACAGGTGACGTGGATGGAGTGAGGGTGAAGCTTGGGGCTAGACGAGATCGAATAGTACCGGGGCTGGAGTCGAGTGATGGAGGAGACGATGATGTCGAAGGGGATCTTCCAGGCCGTGGTGTTCTCGGGGGTAGGGGCAACAGAGATGTCGTTGCCAGCCGCGAGCTGAAGGATTTCACCAAGCTTGAGGCAACCGTGGGTGACAATGTTGGCATACTCCTCCTTGTTGGTGTTGAGGTTCTTGAGGAAGGCCTCAGCTTCGGGAGTGGGAGCAAACTTGGACAATACACCAAGGATCTGACGGCCAGCGACGGCGCTGATATCGATGTAGTGGCGGAGGACCGTGACGTAAGTCGTGGGGACCGGGAACGGAACCTTTGCGAGGGCGGGGTCTAGCGACTCAATCTGAATTACAGCGTCTTTCTTATCGTGGAGACCGAGAGTGCAGAGAAGGCGGTCGACTTCAGCCTCAGCGTTCGAAGGCCATACACCGACGTGATCACCATGCTGGTACGTGATGCCAGAATTCTCAGTGTTGAGCTCGACGTGAATGCAGTTGCGGTCGGCGGCGTCGGTGAAGAGTTCGCGCGCAACAGTGATAGGAGAAGGGTAAGGGTTCTTGGCGTCGTGAATGCCCTTCGAGCGGGTGAGCGCACGAGCCGAGAGTTCACCTGCCGGAGGGGTCAGACGCCACTACTGAAGTCAGCTGTTCAGGGAAACGCACCGAGGTAAACTTTCTCCATGGGGTGGTCGGCGACCTCGGTGACGACGAAGTCGGGAGTATCACCGCCCTGTCCCTCTTCGACACCCATGACACGCGCGAAATCCTCCCACATAGGGTCCTTCCATTCGAGGTAGTCCTCTTCCATGCTCTTGTCGTCGTCGCCCTCGCCGCGCTCACCGATACGAGTGGCGCCCATCTTCTGGAGATCCGAGTCGACGTTGCGGGCGATGAGGTTGTAGTGCTCGTAGGTCTTGTTGCCGAGACCAAAGACGACGTACTTGAGGCCCTCGAGCTTGTGCTCGCCGGTGGAGAACTCGAAGCTCTCGTCCGAAAGGTTCTGGCAGAGGGTGACAGCGTTATCGGTAGGCTCGCCTTCACCGTAGGTGGCCATGACGAAGAACGCGCAGCAGTCCTCGGGTATCTGGTCCAGGTTCTCGAAGTCGTATTCTTCGGGATCGCAGACGAGGGAGGCGAGGCCGAACTTCTGCTTGGCTTCCTTTGCGAGACGGATAGCGTACTCCTCCGCGGTGCCAGTCTGCGAGCCGTAAAAGATAACGATGCGTTTTTTCTGCGGCCACGTTGCATCAGTGAGGAAACGCCAGCGCAGAGGGAAACAATGCCGCGACTTACGCCATCCTTCATCTTGGCGACAAAGTCGCGGGGGTTTCCGCCACCAGCATTAGATTTAGAGGAGGTGACCGGAGCAGACTTGGGCTTGGAGGGTGCGAAGATCTGGTCGCGGAAGAGGTAGAGGGCCGCGAGGACCACGCCTAGGGAAAGGATGACGACGTCCGAAGACGCCATGGCCGACGATGGGCGAGGCAGGAGGGAAGAGGGAGAAGGGAGAGAGAAAAGGACAGGGAGACGGAAACCGGAGAGGGAGGGGAAGAGACAAACACGGCTCAGGTACAGCTCGAGCCTATAACGGACGCTGTACGCGACCCTTCCCCGAGTTCTCACACGCTCCGAAGTGGCACATCGCGCGATTCGCCTTGACAGTCACTATTATGTCAGCGCACTCCTTCCTCCGGCGGCGAGCTTCCGGACACTAACCTCGTCCGTCAAACTGTCCCGACCTCGCGCCTTCCCGCTGCGAACGCCTCTAGCCGCGACATAGGTACCCGCACCTGTCGGAGAGTGGGTCGCAATCCCATTCTCCTCGCTTCGGCCGACTCGAGCTGCGGCGCTGCGGGTGGACAGCGAGACACAGCGGCGTTCAGTCATCCTATTCTTTTGGGAATGGGAAGGCTTGGCGTGTCAGCGGCGACGACTGGGGCGATTGTCCGTAGACGTCATTAGCTAGACTAACCCAAAGGCAGAGACCCAGGTCCAAGTCATCACTTGAACACAACCATCTGCGTGCATGAACTTTAATGGGGCTCCTCGAGTGCCGATCGGGCGACGCGCGTCGTCTGGCACGTCCGGCTTGGGCCCGCAGAGGTTGATGCACTGCTGCAGTGACAAACGTCTACCAATGTCGTGTTCTCAAGCGCCTACTTGTTGATCTAATCTTTGATCACCGCATAGATCCAGCTGGTTCTCCCTGATCTTGCACTCAACCCACCACCACGACTCCGAACTTCAGTGTGTATTTACTTGACATGTCGCAATCAATAATACCAATTAAAGCACCCCGAAGTCACGCGCATGGACGACGAAGAGCTCTGGAACAGCGACCCCAAGGTCCTCCAAGACTCCGAGTGGCAGAAGATCTCCAACGACTTCACAAACGTAACCTGCACATGTCTATTTCACGGGCGTATCGCATATAGTGACATCTCCTCAGGCAGGCTACCGCGAAGGAATCACCGCGGGGAAGGAGTCGGCCTTGCAGGACGGCTTCGACGACGGCTTCGCCAGCATCGGCGCGCCCCTCGGCCGCGAGCTGGGCCTCCTCCGCGGCACCTGCGCCGCCCTCATCTCCGCCCTCACCTCCGACTCCGACTCCGTTCTCCTCGTACGAGGAGCACGGAGCACGGAGGAGATCGTGGCGGAGCTGCGCGACGTCGCCGCGCGCCTGTCGGAGGTCCGCCTCTCTGACGTCGCTCCGCCCGACCTGGAGGCCATTGCGCACGCGCGCGAGCATCTCGAGGAGAACGCGCGCCCTGCGGGAAATGAAGACATGGACTTAATGGACGCGACGGACCTGAACGACGACTTGAAGCAGAAGAAGGACATGGAAGGACTTGAGGACCTTATGGCGCGCATGGGCGCAGGAGCGGGCGCCTCCTCGGCCCCCGAACGGCCGACGGCAGAGGACGTGAATCGACTCAAGGCGCGACTTGTGGCCGTCGCCGCTGCACTCGGACTCGATGTCGAATGGAGCTGAAGCGCTGAAGACCTGACGCGCGCAAGTTTCAAGGGAAAACAAATTCGCAACGGATGGTCTCGGTGCGACAGACAGCGTTCTCCGTTCAGTTAACCGCGGCCCTCGAAACCGCGCGAACATGACATCGTGGGGTACATATGGCAAGATTTCCTTGCGCACAGGGTCCCCAGAAGGTTCGAACCGCGAATCCGATTGTCGACAGGCGGCGCAGAGGGCACTACAGGTGTGTGGGTGTGGTGTAGAATACACAGGATCTAGAGCGGAACGGGAACAACGGACACCCTACATGAGACCCAAATGTTGTTGTAGACTACGCCGCACGTCCTCTCCCAGACCCTTCCCGATGAACACCAGCTTTCCGGTATCGGGTAACCCCAGCTCCGCATCCTCCTCGACCTGCGCGATGTCGTACATGTTCCGCACCCCCTGCAAGACATGCAGCTCTCCCCCCGTCGTGACAAAGAGCCCTTTGCATCGTAGGACGTCGACGGTGGCCGATGGGGCACCGGGGACTCGCTTCTCCCATAATACGCTGCGAATCCACTCGTCGAGCTTGGCCATCTGGGTGGGGTTGAGCCGCGGACAGTCGATCTGTAAGCTTGAGATCCCTCGCAGCTCGTAATGTGTGGGCTTCACGTGTGGGTGGTCTCCGTGGTGGTCGTGGTCATGGTCATGATCGTTGGCGTGGTCGGGCTTTGTCAAGCGGGCCCGCGCTTCATGGAGCATCTGGCGAGCGGCATAGGCGTCGACGCCCATGATGTGCTTCAGGTCGATCTCGCCGCGGACGGTGCGGTGAATGGAGGCCGCGGGATTGAGGCCGCGGATGACAGCTTCGGTAGCGTCGACATGCTGAGGCGAGACAAGATCGACTTTGTTGAGAAGTATAACGTCCGAGCCGGCGATTTGTCTGGGTGCAACCATGACGTTTTGAGCGAATGCTAGACACCATAGGCGAGTTATACTTACCGTAGGCTTTCACCTATACCATCTGCAGCATGATCTTCTTCCATTTGCTATAGAAAGCCATTAGAATCAAGGCACTGCAGTATCGGAGAGCTACAAAGCACACCTGTCGACCAAAAACAGCGTCTACCATGCAGACAACTCCGTCTAGGTGGATGTCGCGCCCCAAGCCCGCAGAGTACTCCTCATTTTGCCAAAACATAGATGCGATCGGACCTAACGTATCCAGCTTAGCATTGCACGCTGGGCCCGGTTTTGGACTAAAGCACGCACCAGGATCTGCGAGACCGGTCGTTTCCAGTAAAATGTGATCAAACGCGCCCTTGCGAGCCATGAGCTTTTCGATGGCTGCGGCGCCCATGTCTTTGATGCTGCAGCACAGGCAGCCGTTCGCCAGCTCGAGGAACTCTTCCGACTGTTGGTTGGGGTCATCGGGCGAAGTAACGTTGATCGTTTTTGCTGCATACGAGCATGAGGGGAAAGGATCTCGATGGGACAGGGTGAAAGTGCAAACGTACCTTCGATATCCTATGAATGTCACCCTTCAGCCCTCAGCGATACACTATGCACCTCCGAACGGGCCCCTGCGTACCGCCGTATCTCCGAACTCGTTCATGATAACCGCGATTCGGTACCCATGGCGCTCCGTCAATATGCGCCTGCGCTAAGATCAGCACCAGGGATGGGCGCATGCTCCAGGCACTCACTTGACGAGGGTGGATTTACCGGCACCGAGAAAGCCACAGATGATGGTAAGAGGGACCGTGTCGCCGGTGGACGCATCGGTACTGTTCAACAAAGAAGGTGTCGGTTCCTCTGTGCTGTCGAGAAGTTCACTGCGGGGATATTGAGCCCGACGGGACGGATAGAAGAGGGGGGCGACACACACGGAATATCGTCCAGATCGTCGGCCATAGTGGTTTGAGGCCACCCAGGCGCAATTGTGAAGGAAGGTGGTCAGCTAGTAGTGTCGAGAATGAGCGATGGAATGGTGTTGGCAAAAGAGTGTGCAGAAGGCGCCGACGTCTAACTGAGGGTACCTGCTATGTCATGCATACCATCTATGCCAGGGCCTTTCGGAAGCAGACTGCGAACAAAACAGGCCACAGAGGTGCCTGTGGGGCGTCAGAGCATACGAGAACGGGATCGGCTCGCGGTAGCCAACAAGCAAGAAGAACTGGAGTTTGCAAGGTCTTTGTCTGGTACTTAGGTCCAAGACACTGTAACTACGGCTTGCATTTGTAAGCAGAATCGGAATGGTTTGTAGTTCCGGACAACACGCGATCAAGCGCGCGTGCCAGTCGCGCATGTATACTCTCCTGACCGTCGCCCGCCTACATTACGTTACCCTTCCTCTCTCTAATCCCCGCCAGCCACCTTCGTCTCACCGCTCCTTTTCCTATGGATACCGCGTCCATGGGCCCTGAAGCTCTTCGAGAGCTGATTCAAGGTCCTTCAGATGTAGAGTGGTCGTGCGTTCTTCCCCCAACCTTCAGCCACTATACGACACTGACGCGTTTCGCAGTTACGAGATGCGGAGACAATGTCAGGAGATTCTCCCGCACCTATTCCTTGGGCCGTTACAGGCCTCCAAATCCATAGAAATCCTCCAGTCCCTTGGGATCACACATATGTGCGCCCCGCCACCTCTACGGTGACTTCCGACGCGCTCATCTTTGTCTTGCACTCCAGTGTCTGCATTCGTGACTCCAAAGAGGCGTTTTCGGTCCGGCCAAGATTCCCTGAATCGTTCGCTTACCTGGTCCTGGACGTGCAGGACTCAGAGGAGCAGAACCTGATCAGCTTATTCCCGGGGTGAGTGACCTACTTCTTCATACGTCACTCCCCCCTCCGACTCTTGATGCCGTTTTCTGCGTGATTATAGCGCGAAGAAATTCATTGACGAGGCGATCGCAAACGGCGGCTCAGTCTTGGTTCATTGTAACGGTGCGTACTTCGAAAGCCACCGCTCTTGCGTCCCGGACTTCAACTCGTCAATAGGCGGAATCAGTCTGTCCCCCTCGTTCGTGGTGATGTATGTCATGCAGTACTACGGGCTGTCTTGGGAGGACGCGTTGCACATGGTCCAGAACCGACGGTACTGCATCTCCCCCAACGGAGGTTTCATGACTCAGATCAAGGTGAGTCTCAGACCCGCAGTTGCCGTTGACTGTCTCTGATCACTGGTCATGCAGGAATACGAGTCGATCTACAAGGCCAAGAATGTTATTGCCTCCAACCCACCACGGCTCGCTAACACTCGAAGGAAACGCTCAGAAGAGGACGACGAAGACAACATTCAGCGGTATGGTGCCCATTCACCATCTGTATCGCTCGCCGCTGATGGCTTGCCAAAGGGAAGGAGAGCGGACCAAGCGCGCTTTGATGGACGACGACGACGACGATGACGATGACGACGACGCTATGCAGACGTAGTCCTCATGTGCTTGCTGTGACGTGACCGCTGTGCTGTTTACCTACGATAGGCCTACTTTAATCGCCTGTGCCGTATACTCATGTTTCGCTGTCTTTACTGTCGGTTTGTCCAATTATACTTATCGCTCTCTTTGTTCTCTGTCGACTCCGTTGAAGCGATCCGCCGCGGCGTTTTCACCACCGAATTGTGCGATCCAGCGGTCCGCGTCTCGGGCCGGTGCATACCGCGGCCATGCCACGTTGAGGCGATGGACTGAGTCCACGTATTCTCCGCACAAGACGGCTTCTCGGACAATCCACTCGTTTGCCATAACTTATTACCTTCCGTCACTTGTTCTTGCTGCCCCCCACTCCTTCGCTCTCCCTCGTGAAGTCGCCACACTCACGTTCTTGCGTGATGTCGTACGGAAGGTATTCAAGCTTCTGGAGTGTCTGTTGATGGAGCTTTAACCGAGGTGCATGATCACAGGTTGGCACTATGTGTAGTGGGAGTATATTCGATGTTCTTGGTACGTGACTTGTTCTTCCTGCGCTTGCATGAACTCATGTAGCTGCAGCTATGGGCAATCGCCCAAGAGCGACGTGCGTCTGGTTCGGTCAAGCCTCCTCGCCCTTCCTCTGAACTCCCTGCCAGTATCCGTTCCCTTCCAGCACATAGATGGCACATCTTCCGAGAAGTTCAACTCACCACTGTTTCTGGGGACATGTCAGAGCACTCTGAGCTCTTTGGCGGCGCTGGGTTATATGTACCTGCGGAAGAAACCTGGTCAACCCTTCCGCCAGATGCTCGGTCTGTTCGACTCCCCGAAGCCGGTAACCAACGGAACTGCGAACGGTCACTCCAATGGACACGCCAACAGTTCTGAGAAGACCAAGGCGAACGGCAGCGCAAAGGCGAATGGTCATGCCCCCGAACACAAACAGGATACCCGCTTCGATACCAAGTCTCTCCTCCTCCGCTACTTCCAGTGCGCCGTTTTCATTACCTCCGCTGCGCCCTTCGGCTTTGCCGCGCTCTCCTACATCACGTACCCTGCGATGGTGCTCGGCAAGTCCTGCAAGCTCGTCCCCGTCATGATCATGAACGTCCTCCTCTACCGCCGCAAGTTCGCGCGCCACAAGTACATCGTCGTCGCGATGGTCACGCTCGGGATCACGATGTTCATGGGCTTCGGGAAGGAGAAGCCGTCAAAGGCGAAGGCGTCCGCCAAGGGCGAGCCCTCCGCGTACGCGCAACTGGTCGGGCTCACCTACCTGCTCATCAACCTCGCGATCGACGGCGCGACGAACTCGACGCAGGACGAGATCTTCGCGCGCTACAAGGTCTCCGGGCAGCAGATGATGTTCTGGATCAACCTCTTCTGCACCGCGCTCACCTCCGCCATCTCCGTCGTCCCGCTCCCCCACATCCCCGTCATCCACCCGTCCGAGGGCGGGACCGCGGAGCTCCAGGTCGCGCTCGAGTTCCTCCGCACGCACCCCTCGGCCGTCGTGCCGCTCGCCCAGTTCGCGTTCACGGGCGCGCTCGGGCAGCTGTTCATCTTCGAGACGCTGCAGCACTTTGGGTCACTCACGCTGGTGTGAGTATATACGCTGTCGTTGCACGTCCGTTCGCCACTCACACCAGTTCCTTAGGACCATCACGCTGACACGAAAGCTGTTCACCATGCTGCTTTCCGTGATTGTGTACAACCACAAGCTGGCTCCGGGTCAGTGGGGCGGTGCTGCCGTGGTGTTCGCGGGCATCTCTGTTGAAGCCTGGGTGAAGCGGAAAGGTAGCTTCAACATGACTGATCCAAGGAAAGAAGTGCTGACTGAATGGTCCTTCTAGATGTGCATGCGAAGCGCGTAATTCAGGAGAAGGAGAAGGCGCGCATCAAGACACTTTGAACCGTCCATAATTTAGAGTGAGGATTGCATCGCTGATGTTACATAGATAGTCCATCATTGCAGCCATCCCAGACACAGGAAAAAAAACGCGTGAGCATGACACAACATTGTCCCTTCCCTGTTCACATGCGCAGGTATTTCATCGATATATGGATGTAAATCTCATATTCTCGTCGCTCGTCTTTCGGGCTCAGGTGTCGCAGTCAGCCCGTCGTCAAAACCAGTCAGATCCGCTCCTCCGTCGTGACTACTGTTCTCGCCCGGGTGGAATGCCGACGGTGTGGCACGACGCTGAGGGGATATTTAAATGGTCGGTGATGATGATTGTTCGACCAGCCACTGGTCTCGAGAAGGCTAACTACGCTAAACGGTGCCTACACGTCCAGGCGCCGCGCCTGGAGAGGCCGGGTCCTCAGGCGGAAAAGGCAGACATCTCCGTTCCCTGTCAATTTCAACTCAATGCGCCACTCGGTGCTTCTGTGACATAGCATGGGAGCCGGCCGCCAGGGTTCAAACGTTCACACAGCAGTAACCTTTCATCCTGCTCTGCTGTGAGTATGTACTTCAGTCTCCTCGTTCTACTTGGTTACCATCTGATATCTCCCCAGTGAAGCTGGCCTGAGGGACTTGCAAGTCTTCGAGGTGGAAGTTTGATATAACCAGTGAGTGCGCGTACTGCATCTCTTATGCCGCGGCAGAGGCCCATCTTGGACTTCCCCCAGTAGCGACAAAACAGACTCCAGGGCGGCCTCGACGACGTCCGAAGCACTTCGTCCTCAACATTGAGAATAGAGTTCATCAGTGCTCGCCGGCATCGCCAAGGCTAATTCCAACGCGCAGTCCGAAAGCATGCGGCAATGGCGGGATGGATTTTAGCCGGGTTGGAAGAAGGCCTTCGTCGCTGGGCTCGATTTAGCCGATTCAAACTCCGCACTGGTTCGTCCAACCTATGCCTTGAACGTTTACCTGGCCAACTGGTTCGAGTCTAGGAGCGAGGTGCGTATAATGAGCGTGCCTCAGTCCACCAGGTGTACTGAACGCCTCCGATTGCCAGCTCGCGTGTGCCCTAGAAGCGTACGTGTTCCCCCTCGCGGGGTATTAGACTCGCAAGGAGGGAGAGAGATCGTTTCCGGCGTGATGCGAGCCGGGGAGTTCGAAACTCGAACCGACTGGCTGGATGATCAAGCTTAGCGCTCTTGCACGTCCGACGCGTGGCCGATGACAGCGGGCCATTCGCGGAAGCAGTCGCACCCCTGCAGCTGTGAAATGCGAGGGCCGGGGTCGTCCTGCTCTCCGGGCGCCGTCGTTGTGGGGACAGGGAGCTAGTCGTTGTCTCTGGCCCTCTGATCTTCCCGGGCCTTGACCGGAGGGGGTCGGCGGACGATACGGCGGAAGAGAGTGTCGTCATCGGAGGCTACATATAGTAGGACATGGTGGACGCGGGCCCATGCCCGTCAAGCTGCTGCCGCCATGGCCTCCGTCGTCACTCCGACCACACCACCAGTAGACCAGGCTACAATCCTACTGTGAGTTTGTTTACCCAATTGTCATGGAGCAGGCAATATTCTGACTTGCGCTTTGTCTGCAGCATCGGGCCTTTCGTATGTGGCAGCTTCTCTGCTGCGTACCGGGAGGGAAGACTCACTGTCAGTCGTTGACTAGCTGATTGGCGGGATCCTTTCATACCTGTTGTTCGGGGTTGCCATCGTGCAACTCTGTACGTCTTTTCGTCTGCCTCCCTCCTCGATCATCGCTTGACTGTGGCCCTTTCCTGCAGACATTTACTACGTTTCCTTCGCTACCGATCGACGGTTCATCACCGTCTCCGTCTATGGCGTCTTCCTGCTCGATATCTGGCAGAGCGTCGTGGTAGCAGCTATAGCATGGGAAGCGCTTGTAGCTGGGTGGGGCCGCCCTGACGCACTTCGCTTCCCTGGGTGGTCGTACGCTATGCTCCCGCTAGTGTCCAGCCTTAGTGAGTAATATGCACCCATTGGAATGCAGAGGATCATGGCTGACATCGCAACCGATGCAGTCGCGCTCTGGGTTCAGGCTTTCTATGCGTGGAGAATCTGGGAGCTCAGCAAATGGAAGATAGTGCCTAGCCTGATCATCTTTGTGAGTGCATCATCAAATATACCACCATCGCAAGAGCTCATCCGAGGACCTGGGTCGGTACCAAAGACCGCTGTCGGCCAGGCTATTGCGGCTTGGATCATCTCATTGAATGTGAGTCTGGACAGTGTCTAAAGCCACTCCAGTCATCACGCTGAGATGTCTATAGTTCTTCAAACTCAATGATGTACTCAAACTGCACGAGCCTTTGCTCAACGCATCCAACATTGTCTGGCTTGGCGGAAGTGCCTTCACTGACGTCGTAAGTCCTGGCGATGAGATCGTCACTCGACACCTGCTCATGTATCACATGCAGCTAATCATGGTCGTAATGCTCTACTTGGTAAGTATCTTCAGCGTTACTGTCGCCCCTGACTTCTGATGCTGACTTCGCGCCCCAGCTGTACACCGTCAGAAAAGAGTCCGCACGGTTCGAGCGCAGCGAGTTCATCATCCGCAGGCTGGTTCGTCTCACCGTCGAAACCGGACTCGCATGCGCAGTCACGGCCGTCGTCGTCCTCATCCTCTTCCTCGCGTACCCCACGACCAACCTCACCATCGTCTTCTCGCTTACGTTAAGCAAAGGTGCGTCCTGAGTCTCCTCCAACCCGCGTGGTCTGCTCAACAAACCATCCAGTCTACTCCAACACGCTCATGACCTCGCTCAACTCGCGCGCGAACATTGCGGCGGCCCGGCGCACCACGCAGGCCATGTCCAGCCAACACCACCACAGCGGAGATCGCGGACCCACCTTTTCTAAACGCGGCGAGACGGATTCCGCCGTTGCGAGGCAGAGCAACGGCGTGGAGGTCCACATCTCGCGCGTCACGGAGTTCGACCACCGTGCTTCGACGGACAAGCTCCCGTCGGTGAGTCCAAAATTAAACGCCTCAGTGTCCCGGGCGGCGAGGGAGCTCTCGAACGCATGCTGACGCTGGGCGCTTGCTTCATCAGAGCTGGGAAACCGACATCGAGATGCAAGGAATGAATGGGCCCCCGCCGATGCCCCCGATGTCCCCGGGGAAGAAGGTTGGCCTGGTGAAGGGCCTCTAGAAGGCGGTTTGGATGGGTTACGGTGCGGTCTCGCGCGGTCTCTCTATGTGTGATGTTAGGGTCCCCGTTCGTGGGTGCAAGAGGCGTGTGGTAGACGACCGGCGCAGAGCGCTGACTTGATGTACTAATATATATGACTCTACTAGACTTGTCTTCAGCTCGACACTTGGTGTACGTACCTATTACTGTCTCCGTAGCTTCCTACCTGGCCGTTTGGCAGAAACTCGACTTTCCCTTGGGACTTGCACTGCCGGGTGTATTTGTCCGGCCGGGCCGGGGAGCCGTACGTATCCGGCGCCCTTGAGAAAATGCCGCGAATCGGCTACAACAAGTCGCTCCCAACCATGAATGCATGACCACCCCGCCGACATTGCCGTTCTGACATCTGTGGCCACTCACTCAACTGCGGGACATCTCTGCCGGTGAGTGTGTCACTCACTCGGGAGTCGGGATTTCTGCCAGTCGTACAAGTAGCTCTACAGGGAGCCGGTCGCGACATATACCAAAGTGCTAAAATCCCTCTGGCTGGAACCAGTCGTTGTTTCCTCCTCTGGTGAAAGGCTTTCCACCGCACTTTCACGCGCTCACGTCACGAGAAAATAACGCCTCTCAACCCGCCTTCTCGGGTGGTCGTGACGCTCTGAACATAGGTGCGCACTATGTCCGCCATCATACCCGTCTCAGTTTCTCTTCGTTATTGACTCGGATACAAGCCCTGTAACAGCTCAATCTACCCTGGACATGTTCCCCTAGCTTGAGGAAGTTTATAAGGTGTCTCATGATCATACGCACAACCTGGCTCAGCACTCTCACACCCGGAGCCTGGCGTGGCTCTCGCTCTGCCTCTGCGCCGGTCATATGTACTACGGGAACGCAAGAAGCACAGAATTCTAGTCCCGTCATACCACCCATCAATGGTTTCACAAGCCGTTGCGACGTGAGATGCACACACGCCTCAGCCCTGCGATGTCCCGACGATGTGGCACCGCGCTGTTTTGTCTCTTTTGGATCACGGAGCGGATGGAGCCCAATGTGCAGCCGAACGTCGCTTCGTTCCCATGATCCGTCAACCATCGAGGGATCGCTTCGAGCGGCGTTGTCCGGTGTCCGGTGAGCGCTGATGTTCGCCCCCTCAGCCTCTCATCCCTATGGCTGAATACACGACAGGTTAGATACAGTGTTCCATCGAGCCGCAAAGTCAGCATGCTTCACATACCCCTTCACTGGCTCGTGCGGACCACAGCAGGTTGTTTCTTCTGTATCAACGTGCGCATCCGAGAGTACGTAACTTTCAAGATGACGACCACCCTGTACGTCCACGTGCTGACGCTGGAGCGGAGGATGGCCCGCCCGACGCCAATCAATCACCATGAGGAACTCCTTCGAGACTTCCCACGTCTCACCAATATAATTCGAGGGTGGCTCCGAGCGCGTATAGGCCGCCGGAAGCTGGTCATTCGGTATTTTCGCTTGGGCATATAGACCAGCTGTACTCGGTTTGCTGCCTCCTACGTCCCCTCTGCCACCATGGCGGACGGGTCCTCGCAACCGCCCGTCCCGACGGAGACACTACTGCTGTGAGTACATGAGTCGTGCGTATCATCTGGAGTCACTGGATCCTGACATACTTCGTAGGATAGGCCCTATGGTAGGCTCCCGAGGACACCGGAGTAACTCTACCCCAAATAACAACCTTTTTACGTTTACAGCTCATCGGCGGCTTCTTGTCATGGATGCTCTTCGGTGTATCCGCCGTGCAGCTGTGTAAGTCGTAACCAGCCAATGTCAGGGTGAGCCTCACCTTCCTCACAATAGACATCTACCACGTCTCCTTCCCCCAAGAACGCCCCCTCATTTGGGCGTCTGTCTACATCATCTTCATCCTCGACCTCGTCCAAAGCGTCGTCGTCTCAGGGCAGACCTGGGACGCCCTCGTTGCAGGCTGGGGCCGCCCTGTCAACCTCGAGTTCCCTGGGTGGTCTATCACCGGACTGCCGCTCGTGTCCAGCATTAGTGCGTACCCATCCGTGCTCGCCTCATGTGCACGCGAGCTTACCCAGCATCGTGGCAGTCGCGTTGTGGGTGCAGACCTTCTTCGCGTGGCGGATACTCAGGCTCAGCAGGTCGAAGTGGATCCCTTTCGTCATCCTTATTGTAAGTCGTCTCTTTTTAGAATACAGTCTTACAATCTCGCATCACCTCACATCGTGAACGCAGACGGGCCTCGCGCAAGCAGCTGGTGCTTGGGTGATCGGGATCTCCGTGAGTACCGGAGCTGCTCGTGTTTACGGCCGTGCGCTGAACTTTCCTTTCCCACAGTTCATTTGGCTCAAGAACATAGACAGTCTGCATAGTCCTACCCTCAATGCGAGCAACATCATCTGGCTCGGCGGTAGTGCGTTTACCGATGTGGTAGGTCGCGTGTCTCCAACGACATGTCTTCCGTGACTCTAAACGCCACTTTATCAGATCATCATGTTGTCCATGTTGTATCTAGTGAGTGTTGGTTTTCAAATCTCCTCGGGGCGTACTATTGACACCGACGCCGAATATGCAGCTGTATAGCGCGAAACGCAAGGTTGTACGGTTCCAACGAAGCAAGCTGATGATTCGCCGCCTCGTCCGACTCACCGTCGAGACTGGTTGCGCCTGTGCGCTGGCTGCTGTCTTGGAGCTCACATTTTTCCTCGCTCTGCCGAACACAAACATCCACATCGCATTGTGAGGATGTTCTTTACTTTCTTGCCCGCCTGCTTGGCCTAACGGCTTCGGTTTTTCAGCGGCGCTATCCTGGCTAAAGGTGTGCCTACAGCCTACTTGATCTAACAAAGCGCTGAGATCCTCCCGCGCAGTCTATTCGAACACCCTCATGACTTCGCTCAACTCCCGCGTGGCCATCGGCGCGCGCCCCTCGAGGTCCGGCCCCGCAACCTCCGCAAACATCAGCTTCATGAACATCTTCAGCACCCACTCCGAGATTGACGAGAACCAGACCGCCTCACGCTCCGTCGTCCCGGGGCACCCCTTGCAGATACACATCTCGCATGTGACCGAGTCGGACCACAAGGGCCTCGGCTCGGGTGGGCCTTCTGACAAAGTCGAGCCGGTCAGTTCTTGCACGCTCGCCTGCGCTCGCCGTTCGCCGCTGACGCACTGCACTACACTCACCCAGGACTGGGACATTGAGATGGCTGATCTGCAAAAAGGCAGCGGACACGGCAAGGATGACGTTGCTCCGGACATGCTGCACGCCAAGGACGCGCTGTGTTGACCCGCAGTTCCAAGGACACTTGTATTTGTATAAGTCCTGTGCAGCGTGTTGTCAATGAGATTATGTAGTGCTCGATCAAAATTTCCGAATGCTCCCCAAGAACCCGATACACGTGATGTCGATGACAGGACGTTCCGTAGAGTGTCCGAATTAGGCAGGACTCGTGGAGAAAGGATTTCACATCGTCTGACGTCAACAGCATTGACCTTGCCTGATTGCGTGAAGTTCTCTCCATGCAAGACCATGGGATGAAGGAGAGACTGACACTGAATGCAGCATCACTCAACCTGTGTGTGCTGACTCAGGCCAGTGTGAATCTGCAGTACCGCGTAGTACATTCGAGCCAATTCACGCGCCACTCTCGCACAACGATTCCGCACCCGCGTCCCGGAGGTTTCCGGCGAGAGGGAGGCTCGCCGCGCCGCTGCGCTCGAGTGCGGCTGGCCGAAGATTTCGTGCGTCCGGGGTGCGGTGCGCCGTGCGGCGCGGCGCGGGCGACGCGTTTCAAGAAGCCGGAGCACGCGTCGCCCGCCGCAGAAGACGGAAGTCGGTGTGAAGTCGTGTATAGCATAGGCCACATTAAACAGGGTGGTAGTGTACTGCCAGCAGGGCCGAAGCGGAGGGATTATCGATTAGGTACGCGGACGAGGGTACTAGCGCGGGGTGCGTAATAACGGCGGAGGCTCTGGCCCCAGGAAACGACTGTGCGGGGCTCTCGTGCGACGGAGACGGAGACGGGGAGTGGAGGTGGGAAGGGAGAGAAGACAGAGATCACGGGCGACGGCGCGCAGAGGCGAAGAGGGGGATCAGAGGCGGGTGACGGACCACTCGAGGACGTGGAACGGCTGCGCGTTTCCCGGCCAGGTGCCGAAGAAGTCGCGCCCGCCGCGCTCGGTCGTGCGCAGGTGCGCCTCGACCGCGACCCGCACCCCCGCCTCGCCGAACACGCGCACCCACAACGCCCGCCACGAGTCCGGCGCGTGGCAGTCCATCGACGCCCCCGGCGCGGGCGCCCACACGGACGGCGTCGGGCGCCCGCCGTGCGCGCCGAAGATGAGCGAGCCCGGCGCGGGCGCGAGCAGGCCCGCGAGCAGCCGGGCGAGGTGCTCCTGGTGCGCGAACGAGAAGAGGTGGAAGAACGCGCCGGCGTAGATCGCGGACACCCGGCCCTGGAGCGGCGCGAGCGAGGTGAGCCGCTGTGCGGGCAGCGCCGGGGTCACAGTGGGACTGGTGGGCAGCGGCAGGGCGGGGGTGAGGAATGCGGGGTCGAAGACGTTGCCCCGGACGAAGCGGAAGGGCAAGTGGGCGGGTGAAGAGCGGAAGAGTTCGTGGCCCAGGTCCCAGAGCGCTGTGGACAACAGGCGTGAATCATGGCGGATCGACAGTACGGTGACAGGACGCATGGGGACGCACCTTGCGATATGTCCGTCGCAACGACGTTTCCGACGGGGAACCCGTCAACGACCGCTCTGCGGACGTCCGTGCCCACTGGAAAATTTCGACACGATAGGAGCTCTGTGAGTGCCCGAATATCCATCACGAAAATTTAGGCGGAGGCTTACGACAGCAACCAACGTCGAGCAGGATGGGGTCGGGCCGCTCCTGAGCCATCGCGAGGAGATTGCCGTACGCTGGAAGGCGTGACATTTTGAGCCTAGAAGATTTGGTTTAGCGTACGTCAACAGCGGCCATATGAGCGACCCTGAAATCGAGGGTAGTTCACCATGCAAAGTCGAAAGTCCGGATGCAAGGGTGCGTGTACACCTGTCGGGCCCTTGTTCAGCTCGTGCCTCAAGGAAGCGGAAGGGTGGCGCACCTCGAATGCCTTCTTCTGAACTGCGATGACGTGCGCCTTGAGCTCATTGTCGTTGTTGATTCCGGTGAGGGCGCGGAAGAACGCTTTTTCCTCCGCGTCGAGGGAGTATAGGGCGGGGTCGAGCTGCAGGTCGAACTGCTGGTACATGGCGATGAGAGGGAAATGAGCGTAGGGGAGGAAGAGGAGAAAATAATATGTACAGATGATACTAACCCCATCGGCTCTGCGACCTTATACTCTCGCAGACGCGCCGCCGGCGGAGGCGTACCACCCTCGAGGAACGCGAGCTGGTACGCTAACCCTGGAGGCTCGCCGAGAGCACCCAAACCCGGCGAGGCTGTGAGTGTGTCATGCTCACAAAGCTCCGGTCGCACTCCCCACAGACACCACCCGCGAGAGGCTCCGCTAGGCGCGTGCTCGCCGCGGGTGGGTGCGCAGGCGACGGCCGCGTGGGTGCGGAAAACTGTGTGCCCAACAGATGGGGACAGATGGGACGCGCGCGGGCGGCTGGGCTTTGAGATCTGGGTGGCACTGCTCGGGGAGCAGCTTACGAGACGCATCGAGGGCCGCAATCTTCAGCATCCACGCGACACCTCGATCGAGCGCGGCTGGCGTGCAGGACGGGCCAGCGCGACCTGGCAGGACGCTAGGCGTGCTTTGACCAGGGCCTGAGCTGGGGCCCTGGCCGCGTCGCGCGCGCGCCGCAAGAACGGCCGCAGAGCGCGTTCGCGGGGCTCTGCACGGCACACCCGGGGGGGAGGGTGCCGGTGGGCATGCAGCGCGGGCCACGAATGCGTAGTCAGCGCAGTAGCGTCGTCCGAGCGCGGAGGGCGGGCGTTGTCGGAGGGTGCAGTGTGTGAGGCGAGGGGCCATCACGTACGCTTGCCCACGCGCCTCGAGGGTGTGCGAGCCCCGGGAGCTCTGAGGCGGGCGGGCGGAGTCAGAGGCGGAGACTCGGAGTGATGACAGCAGGAGACACGAGAGAGGCGCGCACGCCAGGGACACAGGCGCCAGGGCATCGCCACCGGTCGAGTTTACTGTTTGACTCTGACCCCGATCTGGACATGGCGCTCGCTGCTTGCCCCGCGCTACCGCCGCCACCGGTCCACACACCATCAAGGAGGGCAGGTCGCCGTCTCGGGTGGCACTCTACTCAGTTGCTATCTCACTAGACTTGACTCAGGTCACCAACAGCGTGGATTTCATACCGCCCACCACTGCCTGCCATGGGCCACAAACTATCTTGACGGTGGACACCGGGTACGTAATCCCCGCTCAGACCAGCGTCCGGGGACAGCGGACGTCGTCTCTGTGCCCATCGGAGCGACAGCGTCGACGACGGTCCACCTGGGCGTGTCCAGCCCAGACCAAGCGAGGGCGCAAGTTCCGTACAGCGACGACGCCGCGAACGCACGGTCACATCGGAAGCCGAGGGCAGCCACGAAAATTGCCTCCCGCGGCGGACTCCTCGTTGGACACCGCCCAGGGGGACCCCGCGACCCACGTCGGACGTCACATCGGGGGACGAGTCGCCGTGGCCTGCGCGCGCGCACGCACGAGGGAACGGCGGGCAGTGCCAGTGACTCGCTTTTTGCTCGAAGGCGTCTCCGCCACGGTCGGTCAGGGTCGCTGCGCCATGCGCGGCCGTGCGCGGCGCGCGCCGCACACGAGGTACGCCCCGTGGTCGGCGAAGACGGCGAATGGGCCCTCTTTTGGACACGCCTGCCGTGATTCCCCGCGAGCGCGCGGCCTCGAGGGCGGCGTCGGCGTCGAGGACGGCGCGTACGCCTCGGGAAAGACAAAAGCGTGGCGGTGCAATGCCATCTCGACAGGAGGGTGCTCTTCCAGCGACAACGTTGGAATTCGTCGGGACCAATGGAACAGAGGTACTTTCTGAGCCGGGTCGGCGGAGGAAGAGACGTGCATCCTTCTGGAGGTTCTATCTATGGAAGGAAACGGAGGAAAAGTGCGGACCCTGGCTTGGAGCCGCTGAGGGACTGAGATGCCACGGTGGTTGTGTGAAGTGATCGGAGATACACAGGATGCAGAGCCAGTAGGTCGATAAGTTCGGTGGGACATGCCAGATTGGTCTTGCGATTGATTGAGAGTTAACATTCGCACTGAAAACACGGATGCAACACGAACCAGTTAGAAAAACTGTACAGCACACAGGGATGCGTTGCGCCGGTGGTTGCCATGGCGGTGGGTGACTCGGACCATTCATCTCCTAAAGCACCGATTTGTTTATGAGCCGAAAGGGGCAACACCATTATACTCACTGCCCTGGTTGTGGGTCAGACCACTTGAAAACCATCGCCACGATAGTGGAATACGCGGTGTGAAGAGGACCGTTCAGTTTGAACCCACATTACTTCACGCGTTCGCAACCACATGGAGACGATGACGGACGGCTTACCCGACGACTTCCAGGATTCGGAGGCGCGGGCAAAGATAGAACCGATGCCGCGTGGTTAGACACCTGCGGATAAGGCATTTCCCCCCCTCGAACTCGATGTATTCCAGATCATCGTGACGCCTTAAATGAAAGCCTTCTGGTCTTCCTTTTGAGCGTGCATGCAGGGTCCTAGGGTACACGCGACGCCGTGAACGGATGTCGAACCCCTGCGACTGTCATTGTGACACCCTGTAAGACCGCTGGTGTGTCTGCGCGGCGTCCCCTGTCATATGCGATCAGCCGTCAAACTTGGAACCCATGACAAGGACGTACCTCGGAGGACCTAGGACCCGGCGCGATGCTCAGATCCTCTATCTCCATCGAGACCATGCGTGTCCTACGGCGTCGAGCGGAGTAAAAATGCCTCCCCTGAAGATTGAGACCCTCATAGCATGTCTGAACTGCCATGTAGTGAGCTATCGCGACTGCGCAAACGATTGAACGAAGCGACCTATCCAAAAGCCGCTCAAGCCGGGCCTCCGCCGGACGTCAGGGTCCTCCCGTTGGGGACAAAACGACCGTCCCAGAACAGCACCCCGCACGAACCACCGACTGCGAGACGGAGGGCTGTGTGTCCCCGCCGATGGCATAACCCGGGCGCGTACCTCGTTGCTGCTCGGTGGACATGGAGGCCCGACTCAACGAGTGCGTTGTCTAGGGGGACGGGACGTTCGACGTTCAGCACCCGTGTCGGCGAAGGACGGATGCACCGCATTGCCTTTCTTCCGGTTGCACCGCGAACCTTGCGAGAGACCGGATGGCGGAGTGGTTTGGAGAGAAGGGACCCGAACCTTGTTGCGGAGATGGCTGCCCCGTTTGGCAGTCCTCGCTGGCGCTCCGGCGCTATCGGCCCGGTTATGCCGGTCTCCTCGGAGCCCGGCTCGGCTGCCAGCAGTCAACGAGAGTCGAGGACGGTCAACTGCTACGTTAAAGACGACTCCTTGCGTGTGACTCCGCTGATCACCCGCCCCCTACCTAGGCACCCCTGCGCGAGAAGACTCCCGCGTGAAGACACCCAACTACCCGTGCGGACGCGAACCCAAACCCTGCCCAGAATACCCACCGCACCGCGGCGCCCTCGTCGCCGCATCCTACCCACCCGCCCCCGCCCCAACCCTCCCATTACTATAGCGCTACTGTACCCATACTATAATTGCTCCGGTTTTTCTTTCTCTCGATTCCCCACTCAAACACACCCCGAGCCCCTGGAAGGGTCTGGTCCTGGAGATAAGCGCATATCGGATGGAAACATGGCATAATCGACGCAATCCATACAGGAAATGTCAAGCTCTGGAGGACGTTCGGTTACTCAGAAAGACGGCGACGCTAGCCACGCGCTTGGCCACCGGACGGCGCCAGTCGTAGTGATGCGCACTCCGAGCACCGCGGGCAGCGAGGGCGCTGCCGTGACCTCCGCACTCAAACTTCAGAGCCGGACACACCGGAACGGCAGGCCCGCACCGGCTATGGACAGTGCCCGGTACCTCGAGGACGACCCAACGCGAGTACCAGACGCGTCCCCGAGACCCGACCGCACCTCGTCAGCGTAGCCCGCATGTACGAGAACCATAACCTTCGCCAGTTCTTACCGCCAGCCCGGTTTTCCACCACCTCCTTCCGCCGTTTGCGTCCTGCCGTGGGCTCGCCCTGGCGCCACTGTAGTGTCTGGATGCGTCTCGAAGAACGTCCGGCCATTGGTATCCGCGCGGTCCTCACAGCGCGCAGCACCGTCGCTCGACTCCGTAGAGCGGTATCGCCTGCCAGGCGTCACTGATATGCAATCCCTGGGACCAGGCACCAGAGCGCTTCTTCGGCCTGGTAGCCCCAGCAGCGCAAGGTCATCTTGCGTGAGCAGAAGAGGCCGTCTTCGAGGAATGCAACGAATAAGGTCGCGGGGTGGAACGGAGGATCTCAGCGTCGAACACCTCGAGTGTTTAGAATGCGCATGCAATGAGTAAGTGCTCGAGGGCAGAATGAGGGGTAGGTCTTCGCCTGGACGGAGGTCCTGATTACGGTGGACTCGTCCGCCGTCATTCGATGTGTCGAGTTGGCCATGCACAGCGGGCGCGGCAGCTCACACCGAGCGTTGATGGGTAGTAGAAAATGTGCCATGCAATAAAGGACGACGCCCATAAAAACCATCATACACCTGTGATCTCCTTCAAATATTCTGGAAGATGGATGAGTATCTACCGAGTCCCAAGAGCGAAGATGCCCGCTTACCCCTTGTGAGCTCGAACGTCGCGAACGTCGCACCAGCAGCGGGTATACTGGATGTCCGTTAGATGGCGTAGACCGAAAAAAGACAAGGGTATGTCACCTTCGTAGCACTGGAGTTCTCAACCATGTTAGTGCATGAACACGCTCGAGGCTGCAAACGCTACTCACATGACGGGGTCAAACCGCGGAATAGCCCAGAACTTGAGGAGTGTCAAAACACGACCTAGTGCAAAGAATAGAGCGACTCACACGCCGGCCTCCGCGACGACAGCCCGGACCTCGCGAGCGATATATTGCACTGGAGTCCCCTCTGGAGGTGTCGCCCGTAGTTGCACACGAGACTTGATCACATCTGCGGAATCCAAGACGTGAGGTGAGACCTTTGGTGGGTTGCGCTAAATTTCCACCGACCTAGTGGGTAGCAAGACAGCCAATATGCGATCTAGACCGGGCAGGTGTCTCTTAGATTCATGGGGGAGTACACTCGCACAGAAAAAGGGTCGCACACCACCTGTAGATCCACTGGCAAGAAGAGCCCAGACAGGGATTTGCGAATCGTAGTTCTTCGCGAAAGACCGTTTCGAAAACTCGAAAGCTGCACAAATGCAGTGAGTAACGTTGACATGTACACCTATGAGAGTCCTACCAGTGTAGAATCTACGAGACGAGGTCAATCGCCACTCAGCATCCACGAAAGTTGGTCACTCACCCTGCATATGCGGGTATCTCACGGGCAACCGTAACCCAAAAGCCCCTCATGACGCCCCTGCGGAACCCCCAATCCTTCCACATCTCGCTCACGACCGCGCGCAACCGCTTATCGCCCGGGGACCCGTACTGCCCTTGCATGCGCACCTTGAACATCTCCACTGGGAGCGAATGCCGGTCAATCCTCCAGTCCACTTTCCGCAACGAGCGAGCATGATGTCACCCACCTGGACTAGCGAGCACCGAGTTGACCGCGCCTGCCATCGCTCCGGCTGCCGCAATCTCCGCGAGAGAGAGTTGAGGGAAGGGTGAGATGATGCGCTTGGAAACACCGTACGCGGCGAAGAGAAGGGAGTTCACGCCCGCGATACCGACCAACGGGCTGGCCATCCCTGAGCACCCCGGTGGCTCTTCAGAAACGCGCGAAAGACCCGACGCGGCGACGACGCACCTTTGTAGAGCGCAAAGAATCCCTCCTTCCTCACTGTCTGCGCGATGATGTCCATGGGCCCCTTCTGCTCGCCTTTCCTGTCAGCCTCCAGCCATCCCTCGCGGACACCCCAGGTGACTCACGAACATTCCTGCTATGGCGTGCGGTCAGCGGGAATCCCCACATAATGTGGAGGAAGGGGCATGTTGGACTCACAGGGAGCGGTCTGCGCGCGGACCTTGACAGTGTCGAGCGGCTGGCCGACGACGACCTGCGCCGCGCCGGCGACGCTCCCTGCGATGAGTTCGTTCACGGTGGAGGCGTCCATAGCGGTGTTTGCAGAGGTATAGATATTAGATGGCCGTCTAGAGGCGGTTCATGAAGCGGCCCTGGGAGAGAGTGGCAGGCGTGATCATTGCGCCATTTCGCTGAGTATGCACGGCGCGCTTCTTGTCTGTGGCCACATCTTTCGCCGGGTGTACGACATCGAGACGTCGGTTTGTCAACTGTAAGTGTGGCCGGTGTCCTTTGATCTGATGTTGCATTGTACAGTGAGGTTCTGCTGAGACCTCCATTTGGCACTGTACTCAATTCACCATATCGAGCATTCGTCGGTGTACGTTGCCCTCGTTCTATCTTACGGGACTCATTGTTAGTCATTCACGCAGCTCAAACTATGCATCGTGTATTGGAAATTCCAGAGATCGCGGAAATTAGACAACCTTATTGGCGTCGACATGACTACTAGTGTTCGTTCTTACGCTTCCTATCGCAAAGCACTCATGTTCTCGCGAGTCTCAAGCTTCATTCTCCAAACGGACGTAAGTACAGTCGAGCGAAATCTCAGCCACGGAACTTCTGCGATCCATCCGACGCCAGTACAACCCCTCGCAGTTAACCCGGCTTCGGATATGGCAGGCTCTGAAGACAAACGAGCGTGGTATACTCCTCGACTCCGCACGCCCGGCGGCGTCAGGTTTAAGTCGACGATCCTCAGGGCAGGGCCGCGCCACAACCACGGACAAGTGAAGGTCTGTTATCGCTTGGGAACGTGTGGCTGTGGATACTCGGAAAAGTAGCTAGGGGCCAGTGAAGGGTTGGAGGAGTCTCAGAGATACGAGCAGTACTCGCTGCGCTGACGTCATGATAGAAAAGGAGATAGGGAAATCAGTGAAAGAGACATGTGGATCCACGAGAAACACAGTATTGCGAAGAATGATGCATTGATGGTTGGCCCCTTCGATGTGAGAGTGGTCAATATTTCAATGTCATGGGAGGAGGTGTGAGGGAGAAAGCGCTCGCGCTCGCGGGCTCGAGATGCAACTCCGGACTTGGACCGGCGCGAGAGCCCCGCGGACTTCAAAGCTTCGCTTGTCTTCTTCCCATCTCCTCGCGCACTGTTCGCGGACTTTCCACTGGCCGAAGTTCGTATGATATCGATACTCATGCTGCATTAGCTGACAATCGCACACTTTAGTACCAACATGTCCGACACGAAACATATAGTGATCGTGGGTGGAGGGATTATCGGCTGCACCACCGCATACTATCTCGCAACACACCCCCTCACGGCCAACACATCCACAACCATCACCCTCATCGAAGCATCGAAGCACGGCCTCGCGCAAGGCGCTTCAGGAAAGGCGGGAGGCCTCGTCGCGAAGTGGGCATATCCCAAGGAGCTCGTCGACGTCTCGTTCAAGGAGCACGTACGACTCGCGGAGGAGCACGATGGTGCGGCGCGCTGGGGCTGGCGGTTCGTGAACTGCGGGAGCTGGGAAGGACGCGGTGAGCCCTTCGATCACTCTGGCTCTGCATCTGGCGCGGACGGCAGGCACAAGCGCAAGAGCCTCGAGAAGACCCTCGGGCTCGACTCGAACTCGGATACGGACGCGGCGGCCGTGGGGGAGAGCGGACACCCGGATGACTTGAACTGGGTCAAGCCCTCGCTCACCGACGCCTACTCGCCCATGGCCCCCGCCGGCGCGACCGCGCAGGTCCACCCGTACCTCTTCACCACAAGCATCTTCGCCCTCGCGCAGGAGAAGGGCGCGCGGCTCGTCGCGGGCAAGGCCACGGAGATCGCCATCGACGCCTCCGTGCCCGGAGGCCCGCGCGTCACCGGGGTCACCTACACCCCCACCGACGCACCCGACGCGCCGCCGCGGACGATCCCCGCGACGCACGTCGTGCTCGCCGCGGGCGCGTGGTCCCCGCGCATCCTCCCCGCGCTGCCCGTCGCCGGCACGCGCGCGCACAGCATCACCCTCCGCCCCCCGGAGGGCACGCGCGTCGCCCCGTACGTGCTCTTCACCGAGATCGCGCTCCCCCCGGGCGTCGCGCCGGGGGGCCCGCGCCGCGCGAGCCCCGAGATCTACGCGCGCCCGACGGACGAGGTGTACTGCTGCGGCCCGGGCGACGACGCGGCGGTGCCGGACACGGTGGACGACGTCGCGGTCGACGCGGGCGCGTGCGAGAGCATCTGGGAACACGTCATGAGCATCTCACCGGTGCTCCGCGCGGGGACGGTCGACAAGCGGCAGGCGTGCTTCCTGCCTGTGGTGGAAGCTGGTGGGGGGCCGATCGTCGGGGCGGCGGACAAGATCGCAAAGGGGCTCGTGGTTGCGACGGGACATACTTGTTGGGTGCGTAGTATTGGAATCGCTTTTACGAGACGGCCGATATCGTACGTGGCTTGAACTTTGCTGACGGGTCCTCGGGTTACAGGGTATCTGCAATGCGCCCGGCACGGCAAAAGCTGTTGCGGAGCTCGTCTTGACCGGTACAGTAAAATGCGCGAAGCTCGATAGACTAAAACCATCGCGGTTCCTCTGAACACCAGAGCAGAAGGAATCACCAAGACACGGAGAGCAGTTCCAGTTCGGCTCGTCATTCTGTACAAGACTGTATGTCTGTATACCACAGGTGTATCCGTATAAAATTGTTTCCGACACAAAGATTGTTGTTGGGACCTGCTTGCAGTCGACCCCGTCTTCTCGCGGTCTTGCACCAGCATGCATATGTCTGCCGCGCTCTCTCCGTGGCGGCGTTCTATTGCTCGTTCTCCGCCTTCTCACTTCCAGGGTGGCCTACCGACAGCTGTCCATATGTATGCCGGGTCTTGTTCATTTCGTCATGGACGAGTACTACCAAGTCGCCCACACCTATGTAATCCGATTACGATGCTCCAGTCCATGCGCGGCATTGAGCCTTACCGGGGGAAAGATGTGCGCGAGAGAATCTGACTTCATCGTCAACATCCCAAGTTTCTTCTCAGCCAAGTGTCGATATGTACCAGCCGCGATCCACTATGTTGCCAACGTCTCGACCCACGTCCCTGTTGATCCAGAGTGATTCCTCTAACGTATGCCTCGAATTTGGCAAGACCACACAAGTCACGCGAACGCGTAGCAGCTGGTCTGGTATGCCATTCTCACCACAGAAAAAATAAAAAGCAACAAAAGCGGGTGAGGGCAGAGGAGAAGGCATGATAGCAAGGCATACGTGCGTGAATAGCAAGGTCTAGTGGCGGGCACGGTGTCCGGTGTGGCGTGGCGGCGTCCGTGGTGGTGGGCGTACGGTATACGTGCGAGCGTCCCATGAGTGCGTAGGTGAGGTATAGTCAAGTCCGTGGATGCAAGGGAGGGAATGATGCGGGGTGCGAGCAAGAGGACGTGCGAAGGGTGGGGGGAGACGGAGCGGAAGACGCGGAAATCAGACTCAGAGCATGAACAGCGACGAGAACAGCGAGAGCGACACGAGCGCCGCCGGCGTCCAGAACGCGGCCCCGAACGCGGGCAGACGGAGAGCGCCCGCGGCGTTGCCCTTCGTCGACTCGGTCGGCGACGCGCTCGCGCTCGCGGACGAGATGAGGACGGTCGTCGTCGTGCCCGAGTTCGAGGCGGAGGACGCGGGCTGCGCGGTCGAAGACGGCGCAGCCGTCTGCGAGGCGGAGCCGCCCTCAGTAATGACGGCGCTGTCCGTGGGCGCGGCATCCTGTTTGTCTGCACGAGCCGTCAGCGGACGCGCATGGGGAAAGACGGAAGGGGTAAGGGCACTTACTGTCGAAGTTGCCATCGTTCTGCTGGGCATCTTTAACGGCCTCCTCGAGCAAGTTGTTGTCGTTCTCCGGCACGAGCGACACGAAGCCGATCCGGGGCGGGTCGACGGAAGGGTGGGTGAGGTTGCCGTAGTAGAAGATGACCATGTTGCTCTTGAGGAAAGGGTCGCCGAGGTTCCAGCTGAAGAGCGCGCCGTTGCTCGGCGCGTCCGTCGCGACAATGTTGTTCGCGATGCACGTGCTCGCGTCACCCTTCGTGTTCTGGGAGACGAAGTCGCGCGCGTCGACGGGGAACTTCTTACCGCCGATCTGGAACACGAGGTCGTGTGCGGCATCGCACGGCAGCGTCGGGGACGCGGAGGACGAGGCGGCGAACGCGGGCGAGACCGTCGAATAGATGTTGTTCACGACGTCGGACGGACCGCGGATGAGCGAGTTGCCGGTGTCGATGAGGGCGGACACAATGGAGCTGTTCTGACCGGCACCCGGCTGGGCGGAGTTGGGCAACTGCTTGCCGTCGAGGAACACGGCGTCGAGCTCGATCTCCCAGCGTCTGTAGTGAAGGTTGGTCACCGATTTTGACGAAGGATGAAATGACGTACAGAGGGTAAATTTCGTTCGGGGCGAACGAAGGGGCCGCCATACCTCCCTCGGAGGAGGCGTACAGCCGAACGGGAACCCAAGTGATGTTCGACTCAGTAACGTTATCCGGAAGTTGACCGATGGTGATCTGGCCTTCTCCAGAGACGTCGATGGTGTTGCGTTGAAGGGTGATCTGTACTGACGTCAATGCGCAGCCTTTATCGCATCGAAAGGGTGTACATACAGCAAACAGCGGGTCATCGATCATGTCCTGGTAGATCATACGAGGGACCATAGGGCCATAGGTCGCGGTCTCCGTGATGAAGGTGTCCGTTCCAGTGGTGCTGGGGAACTACAAGATATTGGGACCGTCAGCTCAAGGTCATACACAGCACGGCTACTCGACACACCTTGGCGCTGATGGCGGCGGCCTGGACGAAGCTAGACGTTGAGTCCGTCAGTCTTTACGACGCGAGCTGTAGGGTATAGCTGCGGAGGCGCACCTCTGTGATGGGAAGCCGAGACCGAGAATACCCGCGCCGCCATTCGAAACGGCCGAGTTGTCGGTGTCGTTGATCGCGGCGAGCGTCTGGTCGGGGAGGTTGAGGCCAGCGAGGGTGACAGAGTCGTAGCCTACGGGGCCGCTGGCGTGGGTGCCACTGGTCGAGTCTCCGTATTGAAGGGAGACGGACTTGCCGGAGGCTTTGAAGGATTTCGTGACGTCGTAAGGGGCAGCTTTCGACTGTTTGCACGCTGACGTTTTGCAGGCGGTGGACATGACCCAGAGATCGCTGGAACCCGTGTCTTTTCGGGATGTGAGGACGCGACGTTGCAAGATAAACAGCGCGACGAGGGGGCGAAAGACTCACCGAGGTTCACGGTAGTGGTCGAAGTGCCGACCTCGAGCGCGACGGTGTAGAAGCTAGCACAAGCTCAATGCATGCGGGGCTATGAGGCACGGATATACTCACAGGTCCTGACTGTCGCCGAGACCGATGCTTCCACCCACAATGTCTCCCTCGGGGGCGGCCCTCTTGGCTACTCTGCGCTGATGAAGGGGGAGGGTGATCCCACCCTTCTTTGCGGTCCCTTTGCTGTGGAGTGCCGGTGCATCGATGTGGGCGGGGACGGGGATGGCGTCGGCGAGGAGGGGGAGGATGGAGGCAAGCACGAGGGCAAGGACGGGAGAGGTGCACCAGCTAGACGCGTACATCATCGCGAGTAGAAAGAAGTGGCGGCGACCTGCGCAAAGAAGGGAGAAGAACGTATACCAGATAGCAGAGAGGAAGAGGAAACCAGACCAGGTGTGGCCTTCGATCGACCGAGAGCGACGAGGAGGTCACAGAGGAGGGCTCGGGAGGCTCGGACATGGTGTGTATAAGTAGACCTGGCCGCTCTCTCCAGCAAGGCGGTACGCGGGAGGCAGGTGGCAACCACCAATCAGCCCCGGACAAGGGAGCCGCGCGCCCGCTGCCCCCCATTGGCCCTCCTCCGCGCGCGCACCTGCCTGCGCGAGGGGGACAAGGACGCGTTCCCGGCCAAGCTCCCTGGCCAACTCGGCGAGAAGACTCATCCGCTCTAGAATACGCCCCTCGCTCACCCCTCGCGCTTGTGCCCGCTGCCCAGGCCCACTGGTCGCTGATCAGCGGGGCTGTCGATCCTCGCGAGCTGCGCACAACGCCCGAGACAACGCAGGACAACGCCCGGGTCAACATGCAGCGCTATTTCCGGGGACGAGCTATACTCGGACGGAGACATCGCAGGTCCATGAGCCTTCGCCGGGGCCGCAGCCAAGTTGCGTGGCATCAGCGAGTCGACACCGCTCGCTGATTTGAGCAAAAAGCACTCCACCTCCCGCGACCGATCTCTGGAGGGCCCAGGTGGAGACATGTGCCTGAGAAGAAAAGTTAAAAACGATCATCCTTGGCATACTTACATTATTACATACCGACCGTAAGAGACCGCAAGTGCGCGCCACAAAACACTTACCGTCGTGGTCCCAACTTAATGCTGTGCAGTGCGCATATCCTATATTTATTATTCTCGATCTTTGGACAGAGGCTGTTGTGCCTATGATTGAGATCGGGCACCAATAGCAAATGGGACGAAACCCATGTAGCTCGTGATACAATTAAGCAGGCTGGAGTTCGCAGTAACCAGGCTCCGATCGACCACCGTCGGGAACACCCCGATTTGCTTACAATAAGTACCACCGTCAGGCCAACGGACCGAACCAGACCGAACCCAGCCTCGGAGAAGTCGGCCAAGACAATAAATACCGCTCGCCACCTTGCGAACAGCCCTCAGACGAATGTTGAAGAGATATTCTTTTGTCCCGTTCTTCTCACCGCAATCATCGGAATGGCCCGGTCGCTTGTGCGATCTGGCCAATCAGAGGCCCAAACGCACAAATCACTCACGGCGTTACAAGCTGACCGGAGCCTCATGTAAAAGTCCAAGGCTCTTGAAGTGTGATCCGCGCGACATAAGCCAAACTGTTGACAGATCAACGGCGCACAACATTGCGACATCATGAAGCACATACACAGCACCGCCGTGATAGTCGTACAAAGCCCATCCACCCTTCTCCACACCCCCACTCAGTGCAACGCTCCGGCGACAAGCTCGAGAATCTCCCGCGTGCTCCTGCCAGTGTTCGAGATGTCCTTCGCGATTGGCTGCCACGTTGGTCCGTAGCGCGGTTCCGCCGCGACGGCCTTCCTGATCACCTCTTCCTGGTGCTCCTGTGAAGACCCAATTGTCAGCGACACGCTCTATATGCAAAAAGGCGATGAAGACAAGTGTTCGTCCTGATGGGCGACCCGAAACTTTACACCCCGTACGTGGAATGAACAGGCGTCATTGGTCCCCATCACAGATGGGCTGTGGTGGGCCAAGAACAAACGAGTGTAGCGCGCAATTCCAGACAGTTGCACCCAAGTGAACGGACGGCGCATTGCGCGACTTGCCGCAGCGCCTGTCGCACTACAGCAAGTCGACTCCGTGTATCTCGTTCAATGTATCCCACATCACAGGCCGCATCTCGTCTCTGAAATTACCTCCAGATCCAGACCGAGACCACCACTCACCTGCGTCCCATGTTGCCGCTCGAACTTGAGCCACCACGCCCACACGTCGCCCCATGTGTCGGAGGGGCGCTCGCTCGCCGCGACCGCACGTTCGAACCACTGCCGCGCCTTCTCGACCTTGCGCTCCGCCCAGAGCAGGCGCCCGACGCTGCAGAGCACCCACTGGTCGTTGTTCGCCTTGCGCAGCGCGTCCGCCGAACGCGCTTTGCGTGTCGGCCGCGGCTCCGCCCAGATCGCCATCGACCACAGCAGCCCCGACGACGCGCACTCCTGCAGCCCGCGTGCCAGCACGGTCTTCGCCTGCGCTGCGCCGCCGCTGCGCTCTTCGACTCCCGCAGCCTCGGCCCAGAGCGTGTCCGTGCCTGGGTTGGCGAGTCGCGCCTTGTCGAGAAGTGCGCGGGCCTTGATGCTCTTGTTGTCCGCCTCTTCGAGCCGGCTCGCCAGTATCCACAGGTTCACTTCCTTCGGGCACGCCTTGATTCCGGCCGCGTACGAAGCGCGAGCGGCGGCGATGTTGCCCTGCTGCTGGTAAATTTGGCCTTGAATCATGTACAGCTTGGCAAACTTGGGATACTTCTTGATCGCCGTCTCCAGCGTCTCCAGCGCCGTGGAGAGCTGTCCTTGCTGTCTCTCGAACACGGCGGACTTCATCCAGATCTGGGTAGAGAGTTAAGCATGACACAGAGGGAAGGTCACGGAATGAACATACTCTCTGGGTGTCGGCCACCGTACGCGCACGCACAAGCAGCTCCCGCGCGACGCGAAGCTCGCCGTTCTCTGCCTCAAGCTTGACAGCCGCTAGCCAGATTTGCTCGCTCTCCGAATTCGCGACGAACGCGCGCTCGAGCACCTCGCGGGCCGCGGGCACGTCCCCCGCGAGCCATTTCTCCTTCGCCCACATCAGCCACAGCACCTCCGCCTGCGGGCAGTGGTGCACCGCGCGCTCGAGGATGGCGTTAAGCGACACCGCGTCTCCATGTGCCTTCTCGAGGTCCGCCGCCTTGCGCCATAGGCCGCGCTTGTCGGGGAACACACGCAGTGCGTACGCGAGGATCGCCCGTGCTGCGCCGACGTTGCCCTTCGCCTCCGCTGCCTCGGCGTCGCTCGTCCAGGTGTCCAGTCGGTCCTCCTCCTCGATGTCCATCGCGACCGTCGCCTTGATGATCGCCTCGCATGTCCGTGGCGCGCCCTCGTTCTCGCATCGCTCGGCCTCCTTGAGCCACTGCTCGCGCGTGAGCAGCACCTGGTGCCGGCGGAGGGCCTGCACACCGCCTTCGATGGTCTTATCCACCAATCCGAGTTCCTTTTCCCGCAGTTCGGCAGTCTTCTCGGGACCATATGCTACTTGCTCGAGCAAGCGACCAGCGGCTATCCAAATCTCGTGGCTTGTAGGAATTGCCTTACGTGCCTTGTTCAACACCGCCTTCGCGTTGTCTGGGGTCTCTAACCGGGCGAGCGCGAGCCAGAGTTCGACGGATTGAGGGATGACTTCGACGGCACGTGAAAGAAGAATACGAGCATCTGACGCTGAGGACTCCAGGTTGACCGTTTCCTTCCACAACCGCACCGAGTTCGGAATATGTTCAAGAGCTGTCAGATACGTGAGCATAAAATCAGCGCGGTGGGTATATGCGCTCACCCTTTCGAAGAACGCGCTTCTTTGCCTTCACGTCATGCTCCAGGTCCGATGCAGCCATCCAAATCCTGACGCTCTGACCAACATGCTGCACGGCATTGGCGAGGATGACCTTCGCATCGTCGTTGTTCTGCTCTTCATGTCAGACGGGCATTCCAATAGCACTTGTTGTACTCACATGCAATCGCGCAGCCTCCAGCCAGACGTCCTCGTTCTTCTGGCACTGCTCGCACCCCTGCTTGATAATCTTCCGCGCCGCAACCATCCTTCCGGCGTGCTCTTCTAGGCGCGCTGCAGCAATCCATCCAGGGGCGTGCTTGGGATTGGACTTGACCAGCGAGTCGAAGAGCATCCGTGCGCGCTTGATATCACCAATCTCGGCGTCGGACTTGATGATGACGCTGTCGAGCGATGTGAGGTAGCCTTTGGGGTCGATGGATGTTTGTGAGCCAGACGTGGCCGTCCCGGAAACCTTAGGGAAGGCGTGAGACGCGGCAAAATACATACCAGGACGACACATACCTGATCTAGCTTCAGCGACAGAATCTTGTCACGAGCCTGGCTCATCTCCGCGAAGTTCGTAATCGTGCCGTTGTCGGCGGGAGTCTCAAAGCCACCATTCTATCGGACTGCGTGAGCTCCGAGTATTCAAGCGCTAAGAAAACCGCAGAGACGTACCGCTTGCTGTTGGGCATCCAACGAGGTCTCGTATTCGGTGCTGGCCCTGTTTCCGACAAGGACGCTGTCGGAAACAACGAATGACCTCTCGTCCCTTTTACGCTTTTTCCTCGTAAGATTGCCCACCTCAGGAATGTTCTCCCATTCTTCGTCTGTGACCGCCGACAAGCCGCGCTTAAGGTCCGCGAACTGCTGCTGAATTTTTGGACGCTCCGCGCGATGTTTAGCCAGTTCCTCATTCTCCCGGGCTTCCCTACAATAGGAGACCAGAATTGAACGTTTGAAAGACGGTTCAAGGAGGAAATCGGGGATAGACACGCCAATAAAGAATGAACAGTGTGTACTCACCTCCGAGCTCGCCGTCTAGCATCCATGTTTTTGTCCACCTGCTCGTAGATCAAGTCGGCCTCCTCATCGTCCGCCTCATACGTTGTTCCCGCAAAAAGGCCATATTCGTTGTCGGGGTCTTGGAACTGGTCCGGGTCGACGTCAGGCTCTTCGCCACGCTTTGCTTGGGCCTCCCTAAAGACAAGTGAGTCCGAGATCAACTACCGCAATCCAAACAGACTTACGCAATGGCCTCCGCTGATGGACCCTCACGGGCGGGACCTATGTCAGATCGTGTGGTGAATCCGGAGGCTCTGAGGGCGATGCGTTAGTGACCAGATTAGCGACGAGTAGCAACTACTCACCCGCGACCAAGACCCGCGACATACGATGCCGGCGCTGGCATGGACAGGAACGCCAGCTTGTTGGGGTTCCCGCTGGCCGCCATCGTAGACAAGGGGGGACTGAAGAGTAGGTGGTGGTGGTGGTGATGGTTGAAGCCGAGGTAACGGGCGCTTCTGGTGAGAGTTGCTCTGCCAGACACTTCGCGTGCCACTTTCATTCAACTTTCATCACATCGTTCTGAAGCTTTCAAGAAACATGCCGCCTGCGTCCGCATGATGCATGAGGTGCGCGGCTCGACCTGTCCCTGACGGAGCTGGCATCGCATTAACACAGACTCTGGAGGCGGCCCCAGCGGAGGGCGGCCCGAGCTCGACTGGTGCTGTTTTGCGCCGGGTAGACAGCTACGGTCAAGGATCGACTGCCCTATAAAGTTCCGCTCCCAACGTCATGGCATACTCAGTCTCATCCACCCATCGTCTTCGCAATGCCGCCCTCTGCATCCAGTCTTGTAGCGCTCGCAGTGGGGGTATGGGCTCTCTACAAAACATACATCAAATTCATCATGCCCCGTCCGGAGGACATCATTCCCGCACCACCGCTTCATGCCTGGTTCCTGGGTGAGTGAAGTGCACCGCATTGCTTCCAAAGCTCACGTCGCTCTCCTCAGGACACCTTCCGATGGTCATGGGCCGCCAGGGCTGGAAACAGTGGAGTGCTTGGACCGAGCAATATGGCACTACCTTCAGACTCAAGTTCCCCGTCGAAGTAGCAATCTTGTTTCATGTCACGCGTCCTTTGAAACTGACCAGGTTACATCCATAGGGGCGCATGGTGGTTACTCACGACCCCAAGGTACTGCATCATGTCTTGGTCAAGGACAGCGACAACTTTCCCAAACATATCTCGCCATCTGAGTGCGTTGATTGGTCTCTGTTAGAACTTAGCTATGAAACTGACCAGATGCTCTAGTGACCTTAAACTTCTCCTCGGCCCAGGAGTGCTCACTACCGTGGGGCACCAACACAAACGGCAAAGGAAGCTTCTCACCCCAGTATTCGCCGCTTCGCATCTTCGAAACATGACACACATATTCTACAGTGTCGCCCACAGGGTTTGTGCGGGATTGTTATTCCCATGCGGGCACGGTCACTGAGCGCGTCAACAGGTGGTCGAAGCTATGGAGAAGCGGATTCCCACCCACGAGACTACGGAAGACCTGGATGTCAACGGTTGGATGGCGCGCACAACTCTTGAGATGCTCGGCCAGGCCGGCCTAGGGTACTCCTTCGACAACTTCCTAGACGACTCGACGGACGAGTACGGGCAGTCACTGAAGATGTTCTTGTAAGGCTCTCGCCAACTTTGCTTGGGCCGTACTGAAGTTTAATGACAGCCCAACGCTTAACTCCGCCGTGCTCATACAGCTTGTGACCCCTGTCATGTCAAAATATATCCCTGATTGGCTCAGTCACGCCTTATGGCGCATATTCCCGAATAAAAACATCAACCACATGATGCACATTCGGGACACGATGTACCGTCGCTCCAAAGAGATTATTTTGGAGAAGAAATTGGCACTCGAGAGAGGCGACCAGGCGCTCGCTCATGAGGTCGGCGAGGGCAAGGACATCATGAGCATTTGCCGTGAGCGATGACTCCGCTTCTTCCTCTCCATCGACTGACTCTGTCCTACGATCCAGTGAAGGCCAACATGTCCGCGGCGGACCACGAAAAGATGGACGATGAGGAGATTATTGCCCAAATGTCGTACGTGTATCACTGCATCGTGAAGTTTTGCAGCGGTCTCTGACTAATCTGCTTGGCAGTACGTTCATTATCGCCGGAATGGACACAACTTCGAACGCTCTCTCACGCATCCTGTTGCTCCTCGCGGAACACCCGGATGCTCAGGAGAAACTGCGCGCTGAGATACTCGAGGCGCAGGGGGTAGACCGCTCGGACATCTCGTACGAAGACCTCATAAAGCTGAGTGCATGCCGCTATTGTAGCCAGGGATGCCACTCATATTTCTGACAGTGTAGCCCGGGGATACCGCTCGGGTGGGCTCATATGAGCGGGCGCTCTGTAGCCCAAGTTCCCACTCATATGAGGGCACAGCCACACTTATAAGCCAACTCTATGCCGCCTTTGTATTGCACCGTTGTTACTACTGCAGCTTTGCAGCTACTGCGTTAATATAAGCATGTAGCCTACGTTGCCCCTCATATGAGCTTGTAGCCCACGTTGCCCCTCATATCAGCGTATAGCCCACGTTGCCCCTCATATGAGCCCGTCACCGGCGTCATTGCTCATATGAGCGTGTAGCCTACGTTGCCCCTCATATGGGCACGTAGCCGACGTTGCCATTCATATGAGTGTGTAGCCCATGTTGCCGCTCGTATGAGCTCTTCACCGCCGTCATAGCTCATATGAGCCTGTCGCCGGGGTCGTCGCTCATATGAGGAACATCTAGATGCATATAAAGGCATTTTCTCGGTGTAGCTGCTCATATGTACATGCCCCCTGCGCTGACACTCTTGTTAACACAAACCGCTTTTCATAAATTCTAACAACAGGCGTGCATGGGGGACTCAAGGGCCAAAGGGGTTTCCTGCTTGTTGTTTGTATGGGAATTGCATGGTCCATGGAGGCCACATTCCTGAGGCCATGTGTTGGTAGGGCGATGGTGTAAAGACCCCGGTTCACACGTCGACATGCTTCTTTAGAACGCACGCGTCATGGGCATGGCTGACATGTATATAGGCCTGGGTCCGCCGTCTGCCCATTTCCTTATCGCATCCCTCCAGCCTCTGCTGTTCCCCTTTTCCCCTTTTCCCACCCAACAAACATGTCCGAAACCTCTGATTATGTCCCATACGTTCCAATGCTCCCTGTAACAGTCCCAAACGACGTTCCTCTCGGAGCCAACATTCTCTTCTCAAAGCAGGTGCGTTGCCCACAGAAGAGGGCTCGAGCCCCTGCTTATTGCATTTTTGTATCAAAAACCACAGTGCGACCACTGCCTCTCTCGGAGCGTAGATTGCAAATATTCCCGCTCGATGGATAGCACGAGGACACCCACTCGTTGTGATGGTTGCTGGATCAACGGACGGACATGCACGTACAACCTGCTCAGTGCCTACGGCGGCTTGACCAGTATGTGCACACGTTCAATGGGCTCTGTCTTCGATCATAACTTGGGATTGATAGTCGAGGACGACATGCCCCTATCCGCGCTTGCATACATGGATAGCAACGGCTTCCGCATCAATCCAAGGCTGCAAGGCCGTGATCTGATCTTGGCAGAAGGCGCCGTTCGATACTTTCTGGAAAAAAGCTCTCCACAGAGCTACTCGGTGTTGGCGTGGCCTTGTGAGGTTTACAGGCCGATCTTCGGGAATGACGAACAGTGGCCCATACTCGAACGCTACAGTTTTCCCAAAAGACTCGCCATGCATTCCTTGTCAGTCGCAATGCTCGGCTATAATCTCGAACATCAGTGCCGTCCACCAGTTATGCCCTGGGTTGTGGAAACGTGCGGCACCGAAGTGTGCCTACCCATTGCACCCTTCCGCCATCTAGATTATCTACGACCGCGGGTCAGCCCGCTCTGGCAGCACCAGGGGCCCATCGACGTGTCATGGCTCCAGCCTCACAGCACTAGCTTCCAGCAGTCCGAGTCACAGGGGTGGCATCCGTTGTCTCGTCCTCCAAGTCCACCGCCAGCCTACCCACAATCTCAGAGGACACAAGACGAGGCTCGTGGAGAGACTGACGAAGAACCCGGTGGCAACATTGGATTGGGTGGTGCGGCCTCCCTGTCACAGCCCAGCCGCTCCATCATCACCACCATGAACGCCGCAATCGATGGCAATGTCGTGCTAGGCCGGCCTGAACTATCTCCTCCTACACTCCCATACCGGGCCATCTTGAATTCCTCACAGAGCAGCGTTCACGTGCACGACAATGGACCAGCAATCGACGACGAAGGCGCCCGCACAGAGGCAAATAGCTATCTTTCATACATCGACATAGGCGGTGCGGAACGGCAGCTCACAGAGGCAGATATTCGCGGGATCAAAGTACACCGCAGCAGGTATGTGCATGCAAGAACGGAGCTTCTGCGGGGCTCCCAGAACCCAGCCTGGCAGCTCTTCGAGATGGGCAGGTGCGCAATGGATGAGGAGCTAGTGACAAATCTCCCCTTCGGACTGATGGAGCTCGCGGACGATTCGCCAAATGTGGAGATTCAAAATGTGGTGCGCCTCCGGGATGGGATGGAGGCCGGAGATATGATGCTTGCCGGTTGGCATTGCTGGGACCTTGCTGCACGAGCGGAAACGCCACCAAGAGGGGGTCACGGTGAACTAGCCCCTGAATATGGTTACATATGATGTATTGCAACACGCATGTCCGTCTTCTATGGGGAGACCGCTCAGCATTATGACATATATCATCCATTTGAATGAGCCTCATTCCCACTAAAACTGTTCAAGAATGGCATAGAGCAGTACCCTTGTAGCCACGCCTTACTGTTGCATAGCAAACTGTGTATGCGTCAGTGGCTTCAAAATATAGATGCCCGCAGGCGATGCAAAACACGGCTTTGAATGGAGAGGCGGCAGGGGTTCCAGGAATGCACCATTCGTATTTGTGGCAGAGGGCTCGGGTTCCACATTGCGGGTACTACGGTATGGTATCCACCATGCATTCCGATCCCAGGTTTTTAAGTACCCTATGTGGCCCGATTTTCAGTTTGTGCGTGCCCTATCAACTCCGAGCGCCCGTGATCGGGTGGCCTCTTACCTCCGAGCGCCCGTGCATAATGGCTGTATACCCTCTAAGCGCCGGGCTGCAAGTGCGATCTCAACTCCGAGCGCCCGTGTACATTTGTCTAATCACCTCCGAGCGCCCATCCATGATGCCTGTATGCCCCGTGAGCGCCCGTCCGCAGGGACACTCTCAACACCGAGCGCCCGACCTAGATGGCTGTATACCCCGTGGGCACCCTTTTTCTAGTTCATCCACGCGGTGTGAGCGTCCAAGCGCAAGGGTCTTCCGATACTTTTTCCCCAGGCGAGTACCGTCATTCGGGTCAAGCGGTGCACATTCGCAAACTAACGAAGAGGCATGCTATCGGCTCAAAAGCTACCTATTTCACCTAGCTGGGTTGAGGCTTTCCCGCCGTCGATGGTTGAACGTCAAGAATGGCCAGCTGCCGAAAGGCCGCCATCCCCGATGCTACGGAGCTAGGCCCTGACGGAGGCGGCTCAGTACGCCTAAAAGCTGCCATACCCGCCATAGGGGTGGTGTGGGCCGAACCGGGCGGGGTCTGCGAGGGGCGGCGCAGCGCTGCCATTCCGCTGTGATTGAAGGACATTCCTGGCGCTGCTGGATGGCTAGGGAACTGGCGTAATGTCGTCATTGCCTGTGCAACCGGGCGAGGCGAAGCGGAAGACGCCGTCATCTGCCGGAAAGCCGCCATCCCCTTTGTCACGCCGAGAGGAACGTCGATGCGACGTTCGAGTTCAGGGTTACACATGCCTTGACCATCTTTGGGGCCGGATTTGGCCAGGCTGTCCGGTGATACCGATATGGTGTGCTTTTCCGGAGAAGACTGCGCCTCGTCCGGGATAAGCTTGTGCACCTTCATCGCGTCAATGGGCTGTGACTAAAATTGAGTCAGAAAGGCTAAGGTGCAGTGTGAAGCACACGTCGACGCCAAACTCTTACAGGACTATGAGCGGGTCTGGCAGGGCCATGCTTCGGATTGAAAAAGCCAACTTTACCCAATGCGGGTTGCGTTTTTGATCGTGCCAGAGCGCCCCTCTAAAATATAACAATGGGTAAGAACAGCCGCAGTACGTGGCCAGAAAGAAGCCTCACCATCTGCCAACACTTTACGCAGCCATCCATGACCTCCATGCGGATCGACGACGCCCGCTCTGCTGTCCAAATACGACGGTCGACGTACAGCATACGTTGAATAGTGTTGAAGGTAATTGGCCCGCAGGATACGCCGTCAAATTGACGTGGTGCAGCGATCGCGATCTGATTATGCGCCCAAGGCTTTATACCGTCCGGTTGGGAAAGATACTGGTCGATTGCGGCCACGAGGGTGTGCACCCCAGTCAAAACGCGAGGGTCCGGGTTGTCGGGGCTGCGGAGGGAATCCACGATCACAAAGGTTCGGTCGTCAAGGTCGACCCGGACGGTTACCCAGTGGCGAAGCAGTGGAAGATGCCAAGGAATGATGATTTTGCCTTTTGCAGAGTTTCCAAGCTTGTGCAATGTTGTTCGCAGGACACGTTGTGAGGCATTCGGCTTCATGACGGATGGAGCGAACCCGGTATGGGCTACGACTACAGCCCGACCTTCACGTTCGAGACAGGAATTCCAGAAGTCGGCACAGTCGTTCAGAGACTCGTCGTTGAGCATGTTGTCTCCAAGTATGCGTTGGCACCGGGCCAACAGCTCCGAGTTCATTGCGGCAACCTCGCCCCAGTTCACCCGTGCGTATCGTCGAAGCTCGCGTCGCTCCGAAAGGGGCGCATTGCTTTGACAGAATGTGAGGCCTTTGATCCAGATATCACGAGCATTCCAAACCTCAGACATCGCCCGCCAAGGAATGGCCGCCCAAGCGGGAAACCGGACGTCTGGGGCGGCAGGGTGGACGAGTGAGGCAAGGCCGTCGTTGGCGAGAAGAAGATTGGATTCCGTAGGTATGGTGTAGTGGCGATGGTCGAGCTCCCATATGAAAGATGGGTAGGTGCTCGGATCAGTGGGTGGAAGATGTGAGGTGTGCACTGCACCGGTGTTGCTAGGAAGAGAAGGGGGAGGCGGGTGGGTGGGACAGTATTCGAGGAGCTCCGCTACGCGAATATCTTCTGGGGCCATCAGAAGTAGTTTTATTGCAGGGGGAATGGCCGGTGTGTTGACCGTTGGCCACGTCGATGCCTGGAGATCTTCTGGGACCCAACGAAACGGGTCCAAGTGGGAGGAGAGGGTCTCTATGAAGGCCGCGTTAATGTAAGAGACTCGAGTGCGCGTATAAAACGCACCTGTGCAGTGGTGCGACATCAGTTTGAAGAGAAGAGGATCTCGGTTGCCACCTCACAGCGCTGAAGCGTGGGCCTCGGAGAAGCTTGTCGAAAAAGTGGGCGTTAAACGGAGGCGTCGGTTGTGCAGACGCTAGACGCGGGCATGTGAACGGGCGTGTAGGCGAATTCGAACCACGCGTATGCAGCCGCATCCATAGCGCAAGATCTTTGCTTCACTCTATTGCTTGCACCTCTCTATCTGTCCGCTTCTCAATCTACCCTGGTATCAAACATGGCTCCCGACGCCTCTACATGCCTGCCGGACGAGGTGCAGGCCGAGCTTCGCCGCCACGCGACAGCCATCCACTACGCCCTGCGCCACCCCCCAAACAAGGCCACCACTCCGAACGACGTATTGCAGCGGTGGGAGGAAGGCGTCAAAAACGCAGTCTACGCGATCAGTGAGCTTTATCCAAAGCATCATGCGCAGATCCCCGCCCTGCCGAAGTTCGTACTGGGTGCCCTGTATGAGTACGACTACGCTGCATTCGCTGCAGAGACCGGCGAAACATATGTTCCCTCCCCGTGGAATGTTAAGCCGTATGGACGGGAGGATCCGCGGGATGGAGGGTTTCCATTCAGCTACCCTATCGTTGGTGATGACGATTGGAAAGTCGGATTCGTTCCGCTCAGAGAGCTCCAGGACGGCTGGGTATTCGAATGTAAGTTGCCTTATTCCCCCAGCCATCCATAGCGCTAAGCTCCGCATTAGGGAGATCCTGCAAGCACGCCCCAGGTATGTTATCCACTGGCAGCCATTGCGTCTGTTAATGCGTCTATCCAGATGAAGCAGGCCTCGCCTCTCTATTGCCCGTTGATCGACAAAAAGACGGGGACGCGCCACCCTCACCCACCCACAAGCCCTCCGAGACGAGCCGGCGGGCGAAAGGGAAAGCACTAGCACGATCGCCGGAGCCTAGTGGCGTCCAAGGAGAAGGCGAGTGTTCCGTCGCCCCGCAATACCCACCCCTCATATAGTATCCTCGTAGATGACGGCCACAGCAAGGAAGATGGGAAACGGGGGCGGACCCCTTTCCGTCATGCCCAGGAGAAGAGGCCTGCGCGTGCACAAAGGCTGGATTACGTTTCACCCCCACGCCACAGTATGTTGTTAACCAAAAAGACCGTTCTTCGCTACTAATGCTGTCTTAACAGAGGGGAAAGGAAAAAGGGCCGCTGCCGAACGGGAAGAACCGCGACGGGATTCCGTCGAAAGCGAAGGTTCGTTATCAATAGCGCGACAAAGCGTGCTGCTCAAAAACCTTATGCAGATACTCCAGGGTCCCCCAGCCCACCGCCGAATCCGCGCGGTCCTAACAAGCGGGTTATCCGCAAGCCGTCGCGCGCACCGGGCACGACCTCCAGAGCAACCTCACTGTCAAAATCGAGAGCAACATCTCGAGCAACATCTCGGGCGTCGTCGCGCATTTCTTCTCGTGCTCCATCTCGCGCTCCCTCTCGCGCTTCCTCTCGTGCACAGTCGACTGGCCGCGCCGGGAAAGCCAAAGCCCGAAGAAACAGGAAGAAGCAGACCGCGCCATTCGTGCACCATGAGAAATACTTTCCCCCGCCGGTGCCTGTCAGCGAATTCAAGACGTTCTACCCACTTGTAACCCTCCCCCATGTGAGTGTTATTTGCACCATATGCGGTCCAGCTTCGTGCTCATCCGCTGCACGTCTTCCAGTCCATGAGGTGCAGCCCCTGTAAAGAGCACGGTACAACTTGCCAATTCTGGCCTTTGGGTGGGACGGCTTGCGTTTGCTGCCAGAACCGGCGCATCGCTTGCGACGTTGTTCCCGACATCGCCGCCGGAAACTCAAAGTCTGTGCTTGCCAAACACCGCATGCTTCGCGTCGGGATGATGTTGGCGAATCCCAACGTCTTCCCCTCGCCGAGCCTGTACCCGAAGAAGTGGCGTCAAGCTTACAAAGACGATGTTCCGACGTGGACTAGGTATCTATCGGAGATTTGGAGGGTTGCGGGGGCCGACAAGCATGAGGAGGCCCAGACGCGCACCAAACCGGACACGTTGGAATTCCGGGATAACGGCTTCGTTCCGTACCCGGTTGGGGTTGCTACACTCGACGAAGAAAACGTTGCTCCCGTGAGTGCGTCATCACGTTGTGGAACCTTGAGTGCTGACGCCCCATTAGGGGGATCCCGAATGGCAACCAAACGACAACAAGAAACCGAGGGGCCGTCGGTTCCAGGACAACGATGACGTGGATGGGCTGTGTAAGTGAGAATAATCAATCGTGTTCGCTACGTGCTGATCGTGGACTGTGAAGTTGAAACGGAGGAGGACTGGCTTGAGGAGGTGCGCAAAGGTATGAACCTGGTGTCACAAGATACAAGCATTGGTGACTTATATGATTCATGCACCGCGACAGCACTTGAGGGTGAAGGCACGCATGAGGATCGCAATGTGCAGCCGCAGCGACCCCGAAAACGTGCTAGAATTCGCAGTCCTGATGCGGAGAGCGATGCCGACGAAGAAGGAATAAAGCTTTTACCAGGCCCATCCGTCGCAAGCTTTAACCTTCCGCCCCAAGTACCAGGTAAGTGCCCGGTCTCCCGTCCCTACCCTTTGTTCATTTTATCCAGGAGGTGACTTCTTCGGCATTCCAGAGTCGAACCTGCCCTTCGTCGATGGGCATAAGCGATGGCAAAGCAGGGCGGAATCGCGGCAAGCAACGATGGCGGACATCGACGCGCTTCGAACGGAGATTGCCAAAAACAACGCACTGCTGCAGCGCGAATGTCAGGAAACGAAGCGGCTTCGAGAAGATGTTGATGCTCTGCGCGCGCGCGTTCTCGAGCTCGAGGAAGTGAACCAAGCATTCCTGACTGCGTCGCCGTTCGTGTTCGATGCGGCTGCCGACTTCAACGATCCGCCAGCCCCGACTCCCGATTACATGGCAAATTTTGAAGCGGCCTCGTCTCATCTTGCGTTCAGCGCCGCGCCGTTCCCACCGCAGACATCAGCCCCCATGGTCTCCACACCGCCAACCTCCACCACCACCCCACCGCCACCGCTGACGCCAAACACCATGCTTGGGGGGCCACAAAATGCCGCGGTCGAGTCCTCGGTCTCTGCGCATCCCCAGCCATCACTTCCGCCCCGGGTTGAGCCTATGGTATCCACGCCGAATGTCCGACGTGTTGACATTGCGGTGTCGCCCCCATTCTCTCTGCCCCTTCCACGTCTACCGGCAAGTCTTACTCGGCTTCCATCGTATGCCTCGTCTTCGTCCGACGAGGAAATGGAGGAAACCAAATCGAGCCTGGAAGGAACAAGAGTGAGCCCCACGTCTCGTCTACGCACGAAGCAAGCTTCCGAGCCCCTGTCGCCGGGTGCCTTACCATCCGCATTGGGGCTCGTTGGGCTTGAAGAAGAGACGGCCACACCTACAGCGTTGTCCGGGCCAATTCCTGACAGCGAAGATACGCCGGAGTCACTCGGCGATCAGGTTATAGGGCCCCGCCTGCCCCCATGGCGCATCTTCGACGAATCCACCGAGACCACAGAGAACTGCCAGAGGGGCCCGCTGCGGGTGTCGCGGACATTCAGATGGACAACACATAAGACACGAGGATGATGTAGGGACTTTGTAATACATTCATTGGTATGTTCCTGGCGATATGTAGTATGTTCATGAGCAATATCTTGATGCACGCAGCCACTCAACAAAGGGGTTCGATGAATGAACACCACTGGGAGGAGCACTCGCAGCCTATGCAGCCATCGTAGTCGGGCGCTCGGAGTTAAAGGAACACTGGATGACAGGCGCTCCGTCGGTACACAGGTGTACCCAACGGGCGCTCGGAGTTAACATGGCAACATCAGACAGGCGCTTTGAGCGTATGCATGTATCGCGCGCGGGCGCTCGGTGTTAAGAGCGCACCTACAGACGGGCGCTCGAGCGCTATACAGCCACCACTGGCGGGCGCTCGGAGTTGAGATGAAATTATCTACGGGCGTTCGGAGTTCAAAAACCACCCACATGGGGCACCCGAGGACGGTGCATCCTTCAGGATAGTGCAACGTTTTGACAACGTGGGGCGTCAACATCAGTTATATAACGGTTGATGTGTCCCACAAATGCCCTTGGTTCCCTCATTACTTCCACCATGGGTAGCGTTTTCCTAACACAAGCTCATCTCCTCCTGCCGACATTCGTCCGTGCCCGCATAGATCATCACAGCAAATATCCCACTCTCACCTATATTTCTGAACTGTGCAATCAAGGAGACGACGTGGATCTTCATGATGGCTGCCTTAGGGCTGCTGATGTCATCTCCAAGGCCATTCGGAATACAAGTATGTGTTAATGCATCTCCAATTGTTTCTTTATTCATGATGGAGCAGTCCGGGTGCCTGTCAATTTGGAGACCTTTGCCAAGTCGGTACCCCGGTCCCATGGTTGCCCAACTTGGGAAGAAATAGAGGCACGTAACCGTGACTTCCCAGTTCCAATGCCCACTGCGTCTGGAATACCTGCGGCACAGCGACATCCTGCAGTAGTCGAAGACGAAGAAGAACGGATTTTAGCATGGGTTCTCCCGTCGATCCTCACAAAGACGCTCCAGGTGCGTGCTTCTGCCTACGCAGAGAGCACATTCTAACTTCATGCAGGCCGAGTTGAATGCCGCCAATGGCAAAATAACACACCTATTTCAACCACCGAGCAACGAGAAATTGAACTGGCGTCTCCACACAACACATTTCCGGCCTTGCGAGAACAATGGTGCTGGAATTTGCGACATTGGACCATGCAAGGTACCACTATTTACCAAGCACGACGTACGCGTCACCGTGTTTGGAGGTTTTGTCGGATTTTGACATCTCATAGATATCGAACGTCCGCGCGAGTGCAAACTGGCAAAGGCCGGAAATAGCACAATGGGCGCATGATATCCGGCGGTCAGGGGCGCTCCTGGACGCAATTTTGAAGTTGCTGCATCCCGAACAGTGGAGTGTTCTCCGAGCACATCTCGACTCCCATCTCGGAACACAAGCATCTTGGCCGGTCACTGGGATCGCATTGCAAATCATCCATGATCGTATAACCCCATACCACGTTGATATCAACAGCTTCACTGCAATGTTTGATTTGCTCGTAACATTGGGATCGTATGGAAACGATGGATATCTCAGCCTTCGTGGCCTGGGCTGTTCCTTCCATTACTCTCCCGGCACAGTCGTCTTGTTGCTTGCAAATCTCATTGAACATGGAGTTCCACAGGTGGCTGGATGCCGCACAGTTATGTCGTGGTACAATAGGAGAGAGATGATCAAACTCTGGACGAAGGGCGGACTTCCTGCATTTCTTGTGGCCATGGTTCCCAGGTTGGATGATGTGCTGAATATTCTAGCTGTGTAGACGAATAGCTACTTTCGGTGTATCTCCCCTCTCGTCCAACGCACATTCCATCCATGAAAAGCAACCCTTAACTGTTGGTGTCCCCGCGAGGCTTCTTCAACGGATTATTCCCATCTTCAATATTCGTATTTCTTCTTTTCCTGTGTTGTTGCTGTTTTGAATGACTTGCTGGCTTGGACACTGGTATAGTCGAAACGTCGTCGAACCCATTATCTCCGCCGTCTCGAGCTGCCTTCGTCTTCGCTGCAGGGATGGGGAGCCGGCTGCTCCTTCGAGTAACAGGGGCCGGTGGCATAGAGGTTTCATCGGCAGGCTTGTGGACACGATCTGAAGATCCAGATGGGAAGGGAATATCAACGCTCTTCACAACGGCTCTCTTCTTGGGCAAGGGTCGAGGCTTTGGGGGATGGCTGGCAATCTTTGGGCAGTAGACGTTCAGCAAATTGTCTAAAACAGACATTCTGGTGACAAAGGAATTATCATCTGGCAGGAGGGTGATCTGTCCAACAGTGCAAAACCGGAAGTGATTGAGGGTGAAGCTGGGAATGAGCGTTTCCTCTTCATCTGGCAGAAACTCATTCAGGAGCTGGAGGTCCCTCATCAACAGGCCAATTGCAAGGCAAAACCGCTGAACTTGGATGGGGGTTCGTGTGTCCTGAACGGATTCTGTTTGCAGCCAGTCGACGAGGGGACCGTATGAACTTGGATCCCTGTAGAGGATTCCGCCAATGTAGCCGTTGTCATTCTTCCATGTAGCCCATGGTGCTGTTTCGTTTGGTAACACATCAACCTGCATGTCTAGCTTTTTGTGAAAGTTAGTACATGTCCAACAGTAGTAGCATTGGGGCGTGGATAACCTACAGCATGGTGTACTCTAACAAGCATGTCCTGGTATGGCTTTGCATATTCACTTTGTAAGGACTTCAGATAGAGGGACCTTGCATTTGCAGCACTATTTCGCAGGGCAAGGGAAGGTGGCTGGCGACCTGGCTGGGCGTGGCCATCATGGCAGGGTGGAGGGGAAGCCGGAAGGTCTGGCAGTTCACTTTGAGTGATGGACATGTGGCTGATATTCGCAATGGCGGCTTCCACTGCATTGGTGTCGTTGTCATCTTCATCGCCTTCACCAACTGCAGCCTGCTGTGGAACCTGTTCACTTAGCTCCAGTACACCCGGGTGGGGTTTCTTTGGGGGGCGCTCATCCTCGTCGCTGGAGGATACATTATGGACATCGATGTATTCTCCGTCCTCCTTCCGCCCGTTGGCTAGGTTTGTTGCAGGGTGTTTCTCCGCCCTTTCCATGCTCCTTTTCGTTCGTTTTCCCTTTGCCTTCGCTCTTTTAATGTCTTCAGCCGCAGATGTGTGCTGTACAGGACCGTTTGCCGGGGCTGGTGCCTGCAATGTGCGATACTTAGATGGCCCTAGTTTTTCAGAGCCCCGCGACCCGGACCACACCTGTCGCAGGTGAAAGCGACCCTCTGGAGGTATGAATCGGCTACCATGATCAAGGCCGGTAGACTCCTCATCAATTGAATCCAGAGCTGTCAAAGCACCCTTCTCTCTTTGAATGACGAGCCCTGCCCACTCGATCAGGTCTGAGTCCTTGATTTGCTGTATGGTTTTCAGGACAAGGCTGAGGTTGGGAGGATACCAACCAGAGCCAAAGACATCTTCCATCTGCCCAGCCAGAAGACGCCAGGGCGGGTGGTGAACCGACCTTGTTCCATTCCCCATAGCCAGGTCTTCCCAAAATGAGGCTCCATCGCCTGACGCCAAAGGATTGATGCTCACCAATGTGACAATTGAACCATTCTGTCATAACCGTCTTGATGTTCAGCCCAACCTGCCACTGTTCGTTCGTTGGCATGAAGAGAACGGGGAGGTTGTCACGCCATTCAAATGCAACATCTTTTGTTTGGGGTGGTTTTGAAGCTTTTGCCTTCATCTGTTGGCCTGGATCAGTCCGAATGCGCTGGGGAACTATGCTGCACCCACCCCAGCGTTTTTGGCATACGATTCTGGTGTCCCGCCCTCTAGAACAGTATGGAACAGAGTGGACAGAACCTCGAACGGTCCTTCATCCCACTTTGGGTGTCTGTCCGGGTCTGGCCAACGAGGGCCGTTGTCTCCTCTAATATGGGCCTTGTTGAGGTATGTTGTTACAGACGATCTGGAATGTTTCTTAGCTGAAATTCAACGAAGATTTGGTAGTGGAACACATACACCATGTGGCGGACCTGCCCATTGTCGTCCCTCCTGAGGCCGTAGATGAAACATGGCATATTGCCATTCATCATAAGGTATTCCACAACATCCTCCATTGTTCGAGCAGCGTTCCTTTCAGCCCATCTAGAGAACCTGTTGTCGACACAATATATCCAATATGATGTGGTTGCTCACAAGCACTTCTCCTCATTGGTCCCTCCCCCAGCCCGAAGCCGTTGCTCCAGCTCCCTCCAAGGCTCCTTCTCATCCTCCACCAGGTCTTCCCACATCCTGCTGGCTATAGCCGAGGTTGCGCCAACAGAGGTGTCGCTTTGTTCTCTACCCATCGACCGAATTGTCTCCTTGACTTCTGGATCCTCCCTCCAAAGCCAGTATGCAGTTTTGTGACGGCCTTTGGTGAAGTTTGGGCTTTGTGTTTGAGTGCGAACAGCGTTGTTGTTGCCGAACCATGTGTGTACCCTCTGGCCACAAACAGAATGAGTCAAATTAGTGGGCTGGGCCCTAGTATTCAACCCACTTGAGTGACAAAAGCTCCCAAGACCTTGATGTTTTTACTTTGCCCACGGCCCTCAATGAGCACCGCTGCAACTTCTTGTTCAATGTTCTTTCGAGTGGCCACATTGCCTGCTCCCCATTCTGCGCATTTTGATGCCAGCGTCATTTTCTCCCCTTTAGTCCATGTCCACGGGCTGAAGTTGTCTTCGGGGTCGTAAAGTGCCATCGCAATGGTCCGCCACAGGGAGAAGGCAGATGGGAAGATTGAGACAAGTGGGGGTTCCTCAGGCTGTAGCGTTCAGTGAGATGAACCTCCACGTGCCACCACATCATTAATTTTAGACAGGACGCCTACTTCAGCGGCTACACCCAGATGGTGCCTGGGCAGAAATTTGCGCCTCAGCTATTGAATGGGCCTTTGTCTGCACACTCCACAAGCCGTCCTCATCACGTTCATCCATTTCGTTCACCACAATCAACAATGAGCATCGAAA